TTTTAATTTTTCTAATTTTTTTACCTACCTTTTTGCTGTGGCCGTTTGCCTTTGGGTGATCACTGTAGTGATGCTTGATATCATTAGCATCAAATCTCGGCGGTGAAGATTCCCACGTATCCATTGGTATGGCGTACGATTTGCTGTTATGTTCGTAAGGCAACTGTGAAGAACTTGGTGATGAATAAGAGGGGCTTAAATCAGTTGGTGGGTTTGAATTGGACGGAGCCAAAGTATTGCCCATGGCTGGCCGTGCAGACCATGCTACTTGTGGTGAGGATGAGGGCAAGATTCTTGAATTTGGTAGCATCAAGGTTAAGGAATGGAATAGGTTCAAAAGTAACCAAGTGGGTTGAAAGGCCAGCCAGTTTGAACTCAAGGTTGCACACGAGTTGAGTTACCAAATTACTTTTTGGTTACATTTGATTTTTGAGCGGTTCTCAAAAACCGCTATTATTGTCAATTTTCATGACATCCACACCGAAGTCTGATCCTGGAATCTTCAATGATGTTAGAGGAAAAGACACATTGCTCACCAGCTCTCCTAAAATACAAATCAACTCAGTTGAAAATGAATTCCCTTATGACTCTAAGCGTCTCTCTAAAGTTCCCGAGATTCATCACTCCATTGGCAATATCCGGAAACTATCAGCACGGAGAAAGTTAAAAAAGGCTATTCAAAGTGGTACAAAAGCACTTAGTGTCAAAACTGATACGTTCTATTCTACTGGTATGACCGGTATGATGCCCGCTGTCATGCCTGTGAAGCGTCGGCAGTATAATCGTGTATGGCATAACCGTCATAGATCAGTCTCAAGTTTATCTTCTAAGGAGAAGAGCGCCTTTGCATTCAAAGAAAGAACGTTCGTGGCCCTGCAGATCCTACCAAATGGTGGAAACGAACGGCTTGTGTTCATACGCGTTGGTCCATCTGGTCAACTCCTCATCATCCCATACCCGATGGAATTGACCAAAGAGTCGATTAAATTTGACCCTGTCCATTCATATTTCTGTGATCAAGGAGTCGACGTTGGTAAATTACGCACCAAATATCAAAGGCTGCAAACCGTCCTTAAAGGGATAGACAAATTAGGCACCTCCATGTGGCAAGCAATCGGGATGGTCGACGACTTGAGCCGCCAGTCATCGCTTTCCAATAACATACAGACTCGGTATCAAAATCGTTTATATAATTTTCAGTTGAAGAACAATGAACAGAAACAAGAATTATACAATCGAGTCCGATTTGAAATGCAGTTGTCAGAGCGCGAAACAGCCTTGTCACAAATGCCTTGTCAACCCACTCCGATAGACTTGTAAGTGAAAATATAATGGAGCGAAAAATATTACTCATTTTACTAAATCCGTCCGATGTAGTGATACCCTTATAACCGACCTCAAAGGTCAGGTGCAAGCGCAGCAGGCTGCCTTGCAGAAGATCGAAGCAAACATCAGTGAACACTTGAAAGACATCTCAAAATACTCTAATGATCTAAAAGAAATCGACGGTGGTATACCTGCCATAGAAGAATCCGTTGATCGTGCTTGGCGAGTGACGGGAACCAAAACCCAGCTAGAGCAATGCCATCAGCAATGCATCTTGATGGTTCGTCAGCTGAGAGCGGTCAACACTGCCATGAATCGACGTGAGGAAAAGCTTTCAAGGTATCGAAACTGGCTAAAAACTATGCAAGTCAGAGTAAACGTCATGACGTTGTCAGGAAGGAATTCTCATATCTGGCAGAAGAGATGGACTTATATTAGCAGTAAGTTGATCGTATCCTTAACATGACCATAATTTAAACAAATTAAGGCTCACAACGTCTCCTTTAGCCATGGTGGCGATCTTTTGTATATGGCTTGTGTATTGGCTGAATTGATGTGATGTTCCGGCGATCAAGGAACTACGAATATATTGTACATATTGACGCTACTTTTCCGAACCAAGTGCATATGTAATAGATGGTTCTGCATTTTCTTAAGACTTTTATGCTCAAAGTAGCGGCTGTAGATTTAACCTTCGAGATAACTTACAGTAATAAACTTTAATGTAATCGCTTCCTTAAATACCACATAGCATAATGTTATAAATCTCGAAAATGAATATCTACTGGATCAATGTTAAACTTGAAAATACTGTATATGAATGAAAGAAAGCTAAACACTGGTCGACAGAAAGAAAATAATTTCTTTTATCTTAACGTTGCAACGTGAAAGATGTTCGATTTTGCATGTGCCCCAATGAATCACCAAATTTAATTGTAATGCACCTGATTGGAATTTGCCTGTGACACCATTGTCGCTTGCAGTCCAAGCATTTACTTCAGCCGAAATGGAGGCATTTCTGTCAAGTCTGCCGCCGTATGTGCATGAATTCTTAGACAAAGAACCTCCCATTGAGGTTTTCAACGTTTTACGCGAACTCATTTGCTTCGCAGTACTATATTCTAACGATCGTAAAAACATTCAACGGCAAACCGAGCGTTTACTCGAGGAGAATGCCCAAGTAATTTTCATCGCTGCTGCGAATCATCCGAGAAAGTCGTCCTTACTAAATCTTGGTTCCAGCTACAGGAAAACGTCTCCCAGTCGACAGAGGATCAGATTTCCTCGCAAACCAATCTGTCAGGTACGGTGATAGAATCGAATCAAGGCAGTCCGTCGCAGAAAAGTGAGGCACAAGGCAGCAACCGAAATGAAAAAAGTCCTATTCCTGCAACATTTCCAGATTGGTGGAGTCATTTGGCTCCTCAAGATGATTTAGACGCAACAATCAACAGTGAATATATTTTGGAGTTGAAGAATGAAAGGAAAAATGGCACCGGTATACTGACAATGACGACAGATGTAAAGGAAAATGCTATAGATGAAGCTTCTTCATCACCCAAACAAGATAATCAAGTCAAAAGGTCTGAATTAGAGAAGACGAGGAAAAAAGAAGACTCAGCACCATATACAGCTTGGGTACCTTGTAAGTGTCCTAGACTTGCATATCACAGTTATTTGAGCTAGATCTGATGATTTGAAATAACAGTGGATACAACTCCAAAATCACGGCCCGTGTCGACCATACTTACCAGGTATGTGCACAATGCAGTCAATCACAAATCCCTTTCTCTAGTCTCGATCTAAATGTACATTGTATGACCATATAGCAGTCCAGTTTCAAGGACTAAGCCAGCGGTCAGCAACAAGCGACATTCGATTGCTGTCACCAATCCAGCGCGACGGCAATCACAAACGTCCGCTCCTTTCCAAGGAAATACCCAGAGAGAACAAGGTACGATCGTTGTTGACACATTTATCATAATATTGTGCTCTTCTAATGTAACGTACAATGACTGTAATTTTTAACAGTCTCCCAACCGCAAGCACTTGACAGAAAGGCACAAACTGTATCGGCTCGGTTGTCATATTTAGCTCAACCGAAAAAAATAGCCGAGCCCGTCAAGTCGACTAGATCCGAAACGATGCCCACAACCATCCATATCGCGCCCAGAAACGTACCATTAGCGAAACCTGCTCAGACTGCACTGGTGAAGGCGCGATCACTGCGGGCCCGAACGAAAACTGAGGAGAGATCCCCGTCTCCTGTCATAGCACCAACGCCCGCCTACGTCCAAAACGCAAAGTCGAAGATAGATTGGGAAGCAATTAAGCGAGAAAGGCGGACTGCACCGCCAGAATCTGTTTCATTTGAATTTGTGCCTTTGGATGGAGAAGATGAGAGTAATGCTGACGAAGCAAAAAAGATTGACGATGAATGATGGCTGATTATTGTAATATGTACAATTGTAAAATATAATAAAGGAAGCGTTCGGAAGTCTATCATGAGGTTTCATCTTCTCCCGCCTTCTTGCCTGTTACTGTATATAACATCTCTTCAACGAGCTTGCCGAATACAGGGTCATTTTGTCGAGCTTGATCCAGCATTTTGGCGGGGTCTTTGGATGAATCAATGGCGGATATCAAGTTGCGGATTTGTGGATGTTTAAGGTAATCATGGATTGCTTCTGATCGACTCAAGTTGCGCAGTTGCTCTTGACTCAGAAGGAATTCATCGTCGTCCTTTAGCACATCTTTGCTGGAGGATGTTTTCTGCTGTGATTCCTGTATAGCGGGCGCTATTATGCGTAGTTAGCTATTTAATCACCTGTTGTACAGACTATTGTATCGCATTGCTAAATGAAAATACCTTGCTGCACCTTAGTTTCATAACATGGTATCTCTAAATTGGAAAAGAAGTACTATTGAGCTGACAGAAGGTAAAAGCATTGACGTTGGCAATTCGATCTCAAACCTTTGTGCTTCTTAAAGCAGTTGAGTGAGCAGCTGTACGGATGTTAGAAGAAGAAGGCTCATTGCTGTTCTGGAGTAACTGAATCAGGCCTTACTAAGGTATTTTACACGTTGGACATTTGTACTTTGAAGGATTCTCGGTACAAACTTGACATGGTGTTCCTAGCATTGTGAACAAGGCAGTAAAATTTTTAGGTATGAGTGAGGGTGATTCCCAAAATTTTATTATTGTGTGCTGTGACAATAGGGAGGCCCACATAAAATTGCCTAAACAACTTCGACACAAAAGACGAACGACAAAATGCATGCAATTGACTTATTTTCGCCTCTTTCGTAGTGGTATGGTTGATGTACGTGTTCTTGCTACGTTTTCAGCAGTAAACGGCTTTTTGCCTAGCCAGATCCTTTCAAAATCTACATCAATATCAACAAACAGTCTCGTATATTCATTTTCTTCTATCTGACAGCACTGAAGTCGATAACATAACTTGATCGGTCGTCCTCCACCTGATTGCGTGTCTTCGCCATATATTCTGACTATCATAATAGATCGAATATCGTGAACAAAAGCAAGCTCTATATTTGGAGAGTTATGGTATTCCGGCTGCGCTGCTGTCTCAATCAGTTCCGCAACGCCAAAAAATCGGCCATGAACGTATTTCAGCTCCATCCAGCGACTCAGCTTCTGAAGAATCTCCTTCATAAGTGAACCTTTAACGAGCTGTACTTCGAAACAAGTACCAAAGTGACTCACAGTCGCAGGGACTGAAGATGGCAGACAGGAAGCAACTGTGTATTTGACATCTGTGATAGCTGGTAAATGGCTATTAGCAGATTTCTTTGTTGTTGGATAGCTTAAAAATGAAAGGTCGCCTTTCTGGATTGCCAGTTCTTGTAAGAGTCTTTCACGGGATTTGGGTCCTTCACCGTACGCAAGTGTCAAATGTATGGAAAGTATTCCCATCAAGGCATAGGCCATATCCTCTTTTTGAGTCGTCTCTCGAACGTCCATTCTTGATAATAGTTCTGTCGAATTTCCAGGACGATAATGAAGATGTAGATCGAGTAAACAGAGCTCATGACTCTGTTCAATAGCTAATTCTTGTATTGTGACCATCTTTCCTGCCTTCGATATTCCACGCAGAATTCCAGCTGCTATGCCTTCTTGCAAGCACCAGCCTCGCTTGCACCATACTTTAAGAGGAGTATCAGAGTTCAGAACAACAGCAGAACAAGCAGCGTACCACTTGTACATTGATCGAATAGCTTGATCCAGCTCTGATAAATTAGACTTGTCGATGCAGATTGTGTCGATCCAGACGTATCGTGTATAATTTTGTAAGGCTGATCTTATAGAATGTAATTTTGGAGACGCTGTGCTAATTGAGTGAAAAGTTTCTGACTTGGTATTGATCACATCAGAATACTCAATTTCTTTGTCGCTCCATCTGTGTGTTACAAAAACGATTTCTCTGGCATCGACTTTTTGTGTGGTCAATTTATCTTCCACCAAGTCCCATGCTCGGCTCACAAGTTCTTCTTGTTTCTCGCGCCATATGTCAAACCCAGCAGCTTTAGCAGCAGCCACAGGTGACAGAGGACGATGCATAAGTGCAGATCGACAATTACAGTTTCGTCGATTTAGAACCTGCCAATCGCAAGACGAACTGAGCTGCTCAAATGTTTGAACACCGTTCTTATTGACACTAAGAACAGCTCTTATCAGGTTCTCAATAAGTCCGTAACCACCAGCGATACTGAGGACACTCAATCCAGTTATCAATATAGCATGTAGTTTGCTCTCGAGTTTTGATTCTGATTCACCTAGGATCTCCGAAAACGCTTCTTCGTCAAGGCGACGAGATGAGCATCTGCATACATACACTGCATCTACGAAACGTAGTATTGGATTTACATTATCGTACCACCCTGGTATGGAAAATGCTGATTTCGCTAACGGTATCTGTACAAGTATAAGACCCGATTCTCGAATAATGCCCTTCATCTTATCAAATTGTTGAGCCCATTGAGTGGTAACGGTATTCGCAGAATGCTCTAACTTCAACATAAATACTTTTTCGGATACGAAAAATTTGACGTTAAGAATGCCAAATAGAGACGAGATTATCTCAGGTGCAAGGCTGTCGACGGATAATTTATAAGAGAGGTCGATCCCTTGAACAATCGATTTGACTTCTTCAGAATTTCCGATTTCATTGTCTTCACGAAAGATGTTTAGGTCTAGATACCTTGAAGACGGAAATCCAGCGCCGTACTTGTGCTTAATATCCTTCAATAATATTCGATTCATCGGGATCACTGGTTTAATCAAGTTAGTATGATATAAAAACTTGTACTTTTACATACATGCCGACACTTACATGTTTCCTCTTTTTTAAAGTGAAATTCAAGCTGTTCCATGGTAATATTAGGAAATGCTTGAGAGTCATTAATGTTACCATCTTCATTCGCAATATTTGACGCTTTGTTCAATATTGTCTTTTCTTCCCTTTTTTTATGAAACGAATTTGTGGTGAAAAGTTCTGCCAATTCTGGGATCCAGTTATTGAGATGAGGTGGTACGTGTATATTAGTGTTCGCACCAGCGTCAATAAGGAGAGCGACCACTTCCAGAAATTTGTTATTTAGTCCGTCATTTGAGCGCCAATAATACTTACAATGTTGATTTATGGCATTTGACAGAGGTGACTCTTTCCAACCCTTATCATTGAAAATGACAGTGTTAACAAGCGCACCGTTATCTAGCAATAGTTTTACCAGATTGGGGTTATAAAGCCTCGCTGCAATGTGCAAAGGTGTCGTTCCATAGCGGTCTTCTGCATTAATATTTGCGTCCTTCTGAATTATCAGAATGGCTTCATTTACCAATTCATTTTTGAGAGCTAAATGTAAAGCGGTTTCTCTTTGCATGTTGATAGCATTTACATTTGCTTGTCGTTCAATTAGTAAAGAGGCGATATCCGGATTATTATCCATGAGAGCACAGTGTAACGCAGAATTTCCTTCCAAATTCTTTGCTTCCTTGTCAACTGCACTATCAATTAGCAACTCCACGAGACTTAATGACCTATGTCGTATGGATATGTGAAGAGCGGTTTCGCCAGCATTGTCTTTAGCATCGAGGTCAGCGCCATGCTCAATAATCAGACATACTGTTTCAGAGTCACCGTTAGATATAGCGTGATGAAGAGCTGTGTTGCCGTTGCCATCAGTTAACTGAACATTACATCCGAAATTCAACAATACATGTAAGCCCTTTGCTTGGCCAAGTGATGCATAATAATGGAGAACAGATTGGCAATACTTATTTTTGGCTTGGGTGTCAGCACCGCAATGTAACAAGACAGATACTAAGTCTGGCCATTTACCTGCCAAGAATAGAGGTGTCATCTCATTAACGCCACACGTTTCGATGTTTGCACCACGGTTCAAAAGATACCGTACTAACTTGGTTTGACCATGCTGTACTGCCTCAAGTATAGTTGCGTTTATATAGTAATCTTTGTCTTCTTTGATCATGCTGTCCAAAGATCGCTTGATTATTTCTTCTCTACCGGCCGCAGCAGCTAAGTGAAGTAGTGACAAGTTTTGGTTTTCAGAATTGCCCATTGATGCACCTTTGGATTTGAGCATGAATACCAAATCCGTATGACCGTTGAGAATTGCTATGTGAACTCCAGTTTGATCAGCCTGATTTATGGCGTTAATGTCAGCACCGTAATAAAGTAAAATGATGACAATATCGGGCTGATTGAACTTTGAAGCAACATGGAGTGCAGTATTCCCCATGCTTGTTCTCGCTTCAATTTTTGCACCGTTCTTCAACAGTAAATCTACCAAGCTCCATTTCCCATGCTTTACTGCCCAATGCAAAGATGTCCATGAATTCTTGTCGATTGCTTCTATATTTGCCTTTCTGTCTATCAACGCAGACATCATAACAATCTCTTCAACTTTGTAAGTAGGTACTGTAATTAACTCGCCAAAATCAGTAAAAGAAGGAACATTTGATTCATTTGCCTGGAGAGCTTTGACTATATCTATTGGGTCGGCCGCTGAAGCAGCAATGAGAAGAGTTTGTCCTTTTTGGTTTGTTATCTCAGTACTCGCACCGAGATTCAAAATGTGAGTGACCATTTTTACATGACCAAGCTCAAACAGATGGAAAAGAAGAGTACTTCCGTCTTTATCTCGTTGATTAACATCTGCACCACCGGAAATTAGTTCAGAAACGGTGTGGTGATTTTCCATTGCCGCAGCCATTTGAAGTGGTGTTTTAAAATTGCAGTCTCTGGCATCAACTGAAGCACCTCTACTTAAAAGCAGAGACACTACATCAAAGCGTCCTGCTTCTGCTGCGTAATGCAATGCTGTCCTTGAAAAGACGGTTTTGGTATCAACAGCAAGACCTCTATCTAAAAACAGACGGGCTGCTTCTTTGCTTCCACCTTTTGCTGCATAATGAAGCATAGTCACATTATCGCTATCTTCAGCATCAAAAGCAGCACCGTTATTCAGAAGCAGAGATATAACTTCATTGTATCCACCTGCCGCTGCGACATGAAGTGCGGTCTTTGAACTGCAATCTCGGGAGTCGACAAAAGCACCATTTTTCAGGAGCAGTGATACAATGTCACGATGATTTTTTTCCGCTGCATAATGAAGTGGAGTCATTAATCTGCTATCCTTCGGATCTACAGCAGCACCTTTGCTCAAAAGCAGATGTACTGCTTCCTGATGTCCTCCGTCAACTGCATAATGAAGTGCAGTGCTTAAATTTTTCGTTTTAGCATCAACGTCAATACCTAATTTCAGGAAAAGAACTATCATTTCCTTGACTCCACCGATCGCTGCAAAATGTAGTGCAGTTTCTAAATTTTTGCTCTTGTCGCTAACATTAGCACCATTGCTCAGAAGTATACATACCACTTCCTGGTGTCCACGAAATGCTGCGCAATGAAGTGCCGTCCATGACATGTCATCCTTGGCATCAATTGAAGCACCTTGACTTAGAAGTAGACGTACGACTTCTTGGTGTCCATTCACTGCTGCATAATGTAGTGCAGTCAATAATTCGTTGTCTTTAGTGTCGATTGCAGCACCTTTGTTCAAAAACAGAGATACCACCTTATAATGCCCACCATTAGCAGCTTTATGAAGTGGAGTCTTTAACTCGTAATCTCTAGAATCAATTGCAGCACCTTCGCTTAGAAGCAGAGATACAATATCTTGCTGCCCATATTCCGCTGCGCAATGAAGTGCGGTACTTGAATGCTCCGTCTCGGTATCAACAGGAAAACCTTTATCAAGAAACAGAGCTACCATTTCCTTGACTCCACCATATGCTGCGCAATGGAGCGCAGTCATTGAGTAGGTTGTTTTCGCGCTCATATCTGCACCTTTGCTTAGAAGCAGAGATACCACATTCATATGACCTTGGCGCGCTGCGAGAAGAAGTGCAGTATATGAAAAAGGATTTTTGGACTCTATAAACGCACCTGTATGAAGGAGTAACGTCACAACATCCTGATGTCCACGCTCTGCTGCATGGAGAAGTGCAGTTCTTGACGAACTATCTTTCGTATCTACAACAGCACCTTCACTCAAGAGCAGACGTACCACTTCCAGATGCCCATTTTCGGATGCGATATGAAGTGCAGTCTTTTCCAGTTCAGTTTTGGCACTAACTGCAGCACCTTCACGAAGAAGTAGTGATGCAACTTTTTCGTGGCCAAACCTTGCTGCCTGATGGAGGGCAGTCCATTCATTAAAATCTTTGTAATCAACGGCGCAGCCTGCATTTAGAAGCCACTCTACAACTTCCTGGTGGCCACCTCTCGCTGCATAACAAAGTGCTTCATTAAGACTTTTAGCATTGACATCAGCACCTTTGTTTAGAAGAAAAGCTAATACTTTTCTGCTCCCATGAGCTGCTGCATAATAAAGTGGGGTTCTTGAAAGGTCATCTTGAGCGTCAATAGTAGCACCTTGACTCAGGAGCAGTGATACCAATTCTAGGTATCCACCTCCCGATGCGTAGTGAAGTGGAGTTTTCAATTCTTCATCCTTGAAGTCAACAGCAGCGCCTTTGCTCAACAGCAATGATGCAACTTCTAGGTTTCCACATACGGCTGCGTAATGAAGTGGGGTTCGTGACTTGCGTTCTTTGGCATCAACCGCAGCACCTTTGCTCAGTAACAATGACACCACTTCCAGGTGAGCAACTTTCGCTGCGAAATGTAGTGCTGTTGCTCCATAGTCATAAATCCACTTGATATTTCCACTATTGATTATATGCTCTTCTATATAGTCGATATTCTCGCTGACCATTGCATCAACAGCAGCACCTTTGCTCAGTAACAATGACGCCACTTCCAGGTGAGAACCTTCCGCTACAAAATGAAGCGCATTCGCATCGTAGTCAGCTGTCCAGTTGACATTTGCACCACGGCTTATTAGCTCTTCCATATCGTCAATATCACCGTCCAGTATTGCTATAAACCAACGAGCTTGAAAGCTCATTTCTTCGAAGGTACTCGATACTGTTGAAAGAGAATGCATTACGGAGTTCTCTGATAGAACTTGCAAAGAGTTGGTATTGGTTCAAGAAGAAATAGAAATCAAGTCAGTGAAAGTGAACAAAGGCAAGAAAGGGCTTTTTCGCAGCAGCTGATGCAAAATATTCGGTTTGTGTCCTCTGTACTACCACTTGCCCAAGCTGGTGATGTCGATACAGATGAAACTGTGGTGTTCAAGTGATATGCTCCCCTCTTGATATTATTCCATACCTGTAACGCTTGAAATTGAAGCCTAGAAATATTCATATGAAAGGCCCGAATTGATACTGAAGTGTAGTTGACAATAATCTATAGCGCTTCTAATATCACAATAATCATTTGCGTTCCTTCGTCAGTTTTATTTATCACTTTTTCTTCGTTGAAAGATATCCCAAACATTGTCTTGAGTGGCGAATTTTGTGACTCGCGGTTCGTCCAACATAACGTTGAAAATTCACGGAGCAGATCCGACAAATTTGTGTATTCAGTTTTCTGTCTGGTTGGGCTCTGTTCGTCGTCTCAGCCGTGGTATCATGAGTCAATTGAGGAGATTCAAGGCTACAGACCTTTTCAGTTTCAACAATGTGTAAGTGACCGTGGAACTGTCACAACTTGTATGCATCAGAGCCGATCCACTGACTGAATTGCTCCTTTCGATAGTAACCTAGATGTTTTGACCGAGACGGTACGTTTCTACAAATGAAGTCCTTGAATGCAACAATGTGCGCTGACATGACAAGTAGTATAATATATCCTTCTATCTACAATATCTCGCTCGGTGGCCAGATCTTTTTTCCGTGCAAACGACTGCTCAGGGAAACGTCATGGGTTATGGTAAATATCCAAAATACAGACAGTGAGCAGTATCGCAGAATGCTAAAGTTGAATTGAACAGTGATGGGAAAGGCTGAAGGAACAGGAAAGAATTGGCACGGGCACGTTACAGCAATCACCGTAGGTCCCGAATATCGTCGGCTTGGATTGGCTGATGGAATGATGGATCTCTTGGAAGAAGTGTCAGAGAAAACGCAAGTATTGTCCTTGAAGATGGCACTATAAATGGATATATGAGTTTCTAACGACCTTTTGCTGGATCTAGTTATGATGCCTGGTTCGTTGATCTGTATGTGCGAGTATCAAACGCTGTTGCGATTGGCATGTATCGCAAATTTGGATATTCTGTATATAGACGGGTCAAAAACTATTACGCGGGGACAATAGACGAAGATGGATATGGTAAGGATGGAGCATGATTATCTGTTAAATGTGGGCCCAGAGCTGATGTGTTTGTGTTTAGATATGCGTAAACCGTTGAAACGAGACAAAAAAAGAGAGACTATACGAGAGAATGGAGAAAACGTACTTGTCAACCCAGAGGACCTTGACTCGTGGCGCTAATGCTCAATGTCGATTAAAAATAAAATGTTCAGATTAAACGCTAGACTACCTCGAAAAAATTAGAAATATAAAGACATAGGCTGTGATCTCCTATATAATCAGTTGGCGGTGTGCTTTATTGTATATGTCTAGGTAACGGTAACGTTTTCGCCTTGATGTTGGCTATGGACTATTCTATAACTTGCTATTTAATGAGGTCCTCAGTGAGGAGATTTAGATCATCAGTGCATTAACAGTGTGCTCATTTGATCCAGCAGCGCAGCGTCAACTTTGCTCAAATAAGTCTTGTTGAACACCTCAGTCCCACCGTTCATGTATTCACTTTCTTTGAGCTTAGTCTGAATAAAGGTAAGTAAGTTTGTAGTATGAATGGGGTCACGTTGAAGTAGCTACGTAGGGAAAATGAGTTAGAACCTGAGACTGTTTCCTGATATTATCATGATATAAAAACCTACTTCTTTTCTACGCCTGGTTTCTGGAGTGCCTTCAATTTCGGCTGTGTCAATGTCATTGTTGTTGTCTTCCCAGTACACCAATGCACTAGTCGAGAAAAGTCATTAGTTACAGATGGCCGTTAAATACAGGTTGACAGGAATTAACACTTACTCGCCACCTCCGGATTCTTTGACCTCACTGAGAACATCGGACCAGATGACCATAATGCCATGAAGTCTTTCCAAAACAACTGGATTGGTTGTGGCGATCAAATTTGTGATGGCCATGCAAGCAAGTTTACGTTGTCGAGGGTGACTGATGTTATCAAACTTGAGGGTGTGTTAGAAGATATTTTTTAAAGTCATGGAGTAACTATCATCAATAAAACGAACCTTGTCCATCCAGTTGTCTACAAATGCTCCAAGTAGTCCTGGTTGAGGTGGGTTGAATTGTTGGCCAGCGATTTCAATGAATTTAAGGAAGATAGAGAGATCGAAAATGGCAACGCGTGCAAATATTGATAGATATTGGGTGAGAATAAACGCGTATTCCTAGCGAGAAAAGTTAGCTGAGACATTTTTCATAGCCGATCTCGTATGGAAAATTCTATACCTTGTTCTCCATAATGATGTTGAGCATGCGCCAAAGCAAGTTTGAGTTGATCAAAGCTTCAGCGTACAAATGAATTGGAGATGCCAAGAGAATAGTGTCCAGTAGATGAATGATAGTGTTAGTTGCTTCGGGTTTAAGGTCGCCAATCAAGCTGTTGAGACTAGTGAATAACGGTAAGGCATATTGTGAAAGAACCAAATCTGGTGCAAGAATGGAGTAACTCTCTATGATCTTCAGAACCTTGCGCAAGGTTTCCGTTCCGTATTCAAGATATTCAATAGCAATTGGGAACATTTGTAGCAGTCGAGGAGTGCATTCCGTTGCACTCTGGACCGTAACCCACCACAAATCTAAACCGTCTTCCAGTAGGTAGATGTGCGCTTCCTGTTGAACCCAACTATGATTAACAAGTGCTATTCAGCTCGATCAATCGGTGTCTGATTACGAACCTGGGTGCGATCAACACTGTGCTCAATTAATGGCAAAACATAGTCATAGAGATGGCTAGATTGCTCTTTCAAGGACTATGATGCAATAATAGTTAGGCATTGTAAATTGTTGTAACTGAAGTTCTACCCAAAGGATCGATACTCACTCCCATTAGCTTTGTAAGAGTAACAAGGATAGTTGATTTGAACAGATGATCTTCTTCTGATGCGGCCCATAAAGGAGGCAATAGTTCTACAATTTGCTGGGCATATGGTGTGATCTGAAGAGAAAAAGGTGAGACAAATACACTAAGAAGTCGGTTAATCGTACAAAACCGTTGCTTACTCTAGATTCGACTCGGTCAATGACGATATTGAGACAGCTAAGGATGCGCATGCGGCTATCAAATTCTTCAACATCTTTCAACAATGCGGTCAATAGCTGAATAGATGGCTCAATGTAAGGGATAAAATCATCTGTCTCAAAGTCCCAATCGTCTACGCAATTTCGCAGATTGTTGGCAGCCACAAGTCGCACAACCATGTCTTCCTCCGGAGCCAGTAGTTGTAGCATGATCTGATATACATAAGTTCTATATTGTTTGTCAATCTTGACTCCAATCCAGTGTCCTATGATCCAAGCTATGCGACGGCGCAGGATTCTAAAGCTGTGAAAAGTATTTAGGGTCATGATATACATTTGTATCTCATCAACCGATTTAATACCTTGGTTCCTTGTTTGATACCTCTGGTACAAGCCGGTTAACCAAAAAGTTATTGAAATCGAAAGAATCAAACAATTCGTTAGCTCCAAGACCAACTGAACAGTAAATGGCGTCCTTGAACAGCAAACTATTATGGTCGTTTACGACTGCAATTATGAGCTCGTTAGCGTATGAAAAAGTTGAAGAAGACTGATGTTACCGTAAAACAACATACCAGCGACAGTGTCCACAAGGTTGATAAGAATAGGTGACAATTGTACTCTATAAGATGTCAGCAGATCCATGAAAACCTTTTCTGCGCATGGCTGAATACATATATGTGTTAGTAAAGTCTGATTATTTCGAAGCCGGTGCTGGATCCATCATCTACCTTCAACTCGAATTCCCAGTGATCAGCCTCTTCGCCATTCACCCATCCTTCCGGATCGCTTTCCCACAGATCTAAATCCTCTGGTCTAAGCTGCATGTATTTGGTCACCAAAACCTCGGCGCACGAATTAACAAATGCAGGTGTAAGCAGGCGGCTATCAATGAGAGACTTCGCTTGCATGGCGTTTGCATTCTCTTCTTCGCTATTGGCAGCATCTACACTGTAGGAAGCTCCCTTAACGACACGTTTAAGAAGTAAAAGGCCCTGAACTAAAAATCGCTCAAAAAGAGGAGGGTCTACAGCACGTCCTATAATTTGATTACCATAACGACGTGTTTAGTATGCATACAGATTGACGATTGTCATTGCTGATATACATAATGAAAGCGCTTACCTGCTCCATAGAATGAGATAGCTCTTTCACCTTCAAGAACAATATGCTGCCAGTAAAATTGAATGATTTCAATAGCAGAGGGCAGCAATATGAAGGAAACTGGGTGGGTCTTTTGCAATTCGTTGAATAACTTTCCAAGTTTTGTGATATGGGACTCGACCAATTTTCGAATAGGAGAATGTTCATCAAAATTCAAAGTCATAAGAACCGTGCCTGTTTTGTTCAGTATTATGAGATTATATCGCGGTACATGTGCAGGCATTGTGAACTAGACACTTACGCATCTCAAAGTATTGCTGTATGTGTTTGTAAGTAATGGATACGAACTCCTAAACACGAAAATTGAAAACGGAGTGAGAAAGATTTGTACATAATGATTACAATTACTTTGTGGATGGGTCTGAATCTTACCCTCGCCTCTTGGCTCTGGTGGAGGTCGGTAAAGCCGTGAATGAGTAAACGTCGCAAGCATTTCAGGCAAGTAGCAGTGACGTCCAGATCAGATAGAATTCTAGTATGCTCATCATCAATATTTACAATAGATGGCTGAGCTGCCACCTTCGATATTGTCAAATCTGCGATTGAGACGTAAATGCTGGCAATGCTGCGAAACAGGTCGGGAGCGATTTGTTGGAATTGTCGTCTAGCTGGCGCCAGCGTTTTGGAGCACAACGCTTTAATAACAAGATTAAGAACATGCAAAGAGCGAGCTCTCAGTAGTTCCGATGAAGCATCTGGTGCTGATGCGGTAGTCTGAATGACATGGAGGAGATTATGGAGTAGGTCCGGCCTATCAACAGCATTGATGTTACAAGATCAAAAACTATACATCGACGTTTGCCACTTGAACATTACATACCAGTCTTGAGGATAATCAAATCTAGCAATTTTAGAAATAAGAACAGCATTTGCAACAGCAAGCTATTGTCCAATAAGTCAATATGTGTCTGTTAATCGCCATCATTGTATTGGAGCATACCTGCTTGTTTTCCTCGTTCAATGAGGTGAGTAGCCTACTTCTAATTTGCGCACGTTCTTCCGGACGTATAGCGCTTTACCAAATGTTAGTACTTATGGTGTCATGTTTGATGAATTGCGCCAAGATCAGCAGCAGATCACAAATGTTGAATCACATACTTTTTGGCCGTCTTCCGCCAATAAGCGTCAATACCATTCTTGAGGTACAGGCCAGCAACAAAACGAAGGTTGATAGGTAGTGATTTATCGTAAAATATGTCCTTTGAAAGATAAAACGAGATAGATTGAGGGTCAGGTTTGTAAAACAGGTATGCAAACATGGGTTGAACTTAGTCAATTTGTGCTTACCTGTAGAGTAGCATAGAAATCTGGCGATGTCTCCCATTGCTTTAACTGTTGTTGTGCCGATTTGACTTTGTCAGGCTGCTGTGAAGCAGCATTGTCCAGTACACCAAGTAATTGACCTCTAGCTTCTGTCATTTAGTTCAGCACACAGTAAAGATCAGCAGGACGTATGACTGGTGGCTTTAAGTACTGGGCGGTGCGACAAATTTTCGCTGTCCATGCTGAAAAGGGCAGTCGGCAAGCTGTCAAAGATGGGAATAAAGGACGTTTATCGTGCTTCTACGATCATAATAATATCAATGAGGAATACTTTGTAAGATACTTATTTACATTTGTTAATGGATCCTATGATCACCTTTTTACATAGAGTTAGCTGTCTGCCAGACGAAGCAGTGTGTGCTGTGTTCGAAATTCTAAACTGACATGCCATTTTTCAATCGAAATATTTGCAAGTAAAATGCTTTTTACACCATATCGATCTGCCAACTTTTACTAGAGTAACGATCTTGTCTAATTGATCTCAGAAACAATCAATATCTCAGTACAGCAAGAAGGGAAATTCGCACCATTGTTAGCGAACACAAATTTATTTCTACATTATTTAAAAACATAACCAAAAAGATCATATTAGAGAGGGGAGTTGTACAGTGAAATTCATTCTAAATGCAGATTGAGGTTTAATGTGAGATGACTTGTTCTTTCTGAAGACCGTCAGCATATTGGAGTTCTCCAGAATTTTCATATTCGGCCATGTCCAAAGCAACAATAACGCTATCACGGACCACAATTTCTTGATCATGTTCAAATTCCTTTAGCAAATCCATCACTTCAGGAGTTGCAATAGAACCCAAAGCTTCAGCTGCTTCATGTCTGACCATATGAATCTCATCGGGTCTCTTGAGGACTTTGGATAGAGATGGGACGGAAGCAGGGTGTTGCATTTGACCGAAAACATAAGCGACTGGAAATAAACAAGAAGGTTAATGAGGTGTATTATAACTTTCAGGTTGCCCATTTTAGTCACACTTACTTTCATGACGGAAAAGAGCTGTAATATCGTTGAATAAAGGACATGTCAGTATCCTTTCATTTCACTGCTATTCTAGTGTAAATAGCCTTACCGCTGCTGTCATCGAATCCTGTTGCTAATGCCTCTACTGCTTCAGTGTTGCCAATGTCTCTCAATGCAAACATAGCGCGGTATCTCTCGAAAAGTGGTAATTTGGTGTTAACCAATTCCTCTCCAAGTTCGGCGATGGACTTCGTGTTTACTGAAGGAGGAGCAGGATCAACAGATGAATAGGCACTTTTGTTGTTTTCTTTCTCCTCCTTGTTCTTTGGGTCGTTGTCGTATTTGATCTTGGCAATGGCCAACTCGCATGTCTCCGCCACAGCGGTACTTGGATCTTGAAGGTAAGGCTCCAGAATGGGTAATGAATCAAGTTGACCAAGAGCACCAAGAGCTTCGGCGGCCTAGCAAATGAATAATATGAGGAAAAATATTCATCAATGTAGTTTTCTGGCATAATTGACTTCGTACCTCGTGGCGAACCATTTCATGTTCGGTGGTATTTTGAAGAACTTGGTTGAGAGTTGGAATGGCGGTCAAGTTACCAGTTTGACCCAGACAATAAGCCAATTCGTGCTTAAGCAGAGCAGAATCATCGTCCTTCAAAGCTGTAATGCGAAAGTATTTAGGTTCATTGTTATATATTGCATAGTTTTGCGGTAGTTACTGTTACCTTTGCCAATGATCTCAACACTTCTGTCGTCGGCGATGTTCTTCAAAGTGAACAAAATTCTAAAGCGCTCACTTAAAGGAACATTTCCGGAGGTGTTGCACAAAAGCGACTCCATTTGGTCATATTTCTCGGCAGAAAGTTGAATAACGTCAGCAGATGCCATTGCAGATCAAGAAAGCTGAATTTGCTGTACAAAGGAACGGTGGTTTTTTTTTTTTTAAGAAAATTGTTAAGATAGAATTTAGCAGTCACAGACCAACTTGTCTCTCAGGGACAACTGGCAAACCTAGAGGCTGATATCTGAAGGCTAACTAGTCAATTGAATAAGATTGGCTGGTTTGAACAGATAGAAGATGAGATTTTTGTTCAGTGAAGCTGATGAAATGATGAGTACCATAACTTTAAAGGTCAAAATGCTAATTTCTCTCCCGCTCACTGTTAGGCAAATGTCTTCCCCACAAGCACGTGCAATCGAGCGGGCGGGAATTGATTGAAGATCTGTCAGCCTTTATTCGAACAGCTTTTCGTTTTTCCTACGATCCACTCGATGCAAGCCCCACTACCATCCGCCGAGTATATTCCACCCTGGAGGCGAGAATGGAAAGATATACAGCCAACATTGCTCAAAATGCGTAGATCTATGGCTGCGTTGAAATCCTCGCCGCTACGAGTTATGAGAGTTAGTCAACTAGATTCTGATCTCTTGGACGTTGAACTCTTCGGCATGCTCAAAGAACAGCTCTGGAGCGCATTTTCCTTATTCAATGTAAGTATTGATTACATAATGATCATATAAATTAAAGCTTCTTTATCCTAATATTCGTTGTCGTAGCATTCCATACGAGAAAAGTTCGAGCCAGAATTGGTGGCCATACTTAGCTTTCTATTGTACAAATTTTCTATATATGACTCAGCCGCATCATATGGCGCCCAGCTCCAGAATCTCAAGTACCGAAATGAGAGACTGCATAAAGGAGCTTGTAAGTGAATATGCTGGCTTATGAAATGTTATGGCAATGGAAGGTTCCTGACATTAATTCCTACCACTAGTGGAGTCCTTTGCCAAAGATGCCCCAATAACAAAGACCCAGAAGATTTTGTACGGATTGTTCATGGTTGGCGGACAATATACCTGGAGTCGCCTATCGCGACTAATGACTACTCAAGGCTGGGGCGCGTTAGACGAGGTATGTATATGCCATATTGAGACAGGTCGGTTGGTTACTTTTCATTGAACAAGTTTTGTTGTTTAGGACGACACACGGAAAAAAGTCTATAATATCCTTCAGCGTGCTGAAAAATATTGGCAAGCGTTAACGCTTGTGAACTTTTTGGTTTTCTTATTTAATGGAAGGTAAGTATTTGTTGGCACCATAAGTAAGTGCAAAACGGTGGATATTAAACGCCATTCTTCAAACTTAGGTTTCGAACATTAATAGATCGTATCTTGCAAATGAGACTTGTGTATGCCAAGAAGTCGTTGAACCGACAAGTTAGCTTTGAATTCCTCAACCGCCAGCTTGTGTGGCATGCTTTCACGGTATGTTTTAAAATGTGCGCACACTGATCCCATTTACATTGACTAATGCATAAATTATTTTGATAGGAATTCCTACTTTTCCTTATGCCTTTGATCAACTTAGAAAAGTTGAAGTTGAAGGTCTCTCGCATGCTTCTTCCCAAATCTTATCTGGCTTCATCTCAAGGCTATGACCAACTTCCAGATCATCAATGTGCCGTTTGCCATGAAAAGTCTACTAATGATGCCACCGGTACAGGTACTGGAGCACCTATCGGACAGATGGAAGATTTGACTGTTCATAATCCCTATGTTGCCAATTGTGGTCACCTATACTGCTATGTCTGCTTAAAGAGCAAGATAACGCTCTATGAAGGCGAGTGGGCGTGTCTGCGATGTGGTGAACGAGTAGAATCAATGGAGAAGTATGCTGAGATAGTCGAAGATGAAGAAGTAGTAGCTGAAACGCAAGACGACGGCAACGAAGATTCCAACAAGAATGAATTGACAAGCAGCGGATACATAGTAGGAAGTGACGATTTACAGGATTGAAGAAAGGAGAAAAAAATATATTTTGTACAATATTGTAACCCTGAAATAGTGTTTGTATGGCTTGAAGCGAGAGATATATACACGATGTAATACTGTAACCAGTTTATGGATTGAGCTTTTCCGGGGTGGGTTCCACTTCGTTCATGTCCACAATTTGCTTTGCCTTTCGAATGTGGTCGTCCATATATATGAGTTCTTCAACACGAGCCATCTTCTTTGGATCCTTTCGTAGGATAAATTTGACATCATCGACCTTGACTTTTCCTCGCGGTTCCGCTACTTTGGCTGCCTTCAGGCACTATATCACATGAATAATTACTAACTTGTGGTATACCACGTTGAAGTGGTGTTGTAAAGATCTTACCATTTCAGTAATGTAATCAATAATCAAGTCGTCCATTAACGCGACAGTATCCGAAGCAGGCTGTGGGACATCTCCAGCTCCATATATCATAGGCTTCACTGTTGCATGTAATGAATGTTAGATTAAGATTGGGTTTGCGTCAAGATTGTTTATCTCTAATGGCCATACAGTACTTACGATCTTTCACAAACATTCCCTTTCTTACAGTTTTTCTACGGCCAGGTCCGGGTCCTGACCCAGGTTCCTTCACATTGCTACCTTGATTCTCGCTCATGGTTGTAATGCACTGAGTTTGTTTGAGCTGGGCAAATTCGAGTTGCCCTAGTTCACGCATTTCGTTGTGACGGCTGAAATTCTGCTGCCTTAATTTTTTGACCTCTTTTTTTTTTGACCTTCAAAAATCTCGAATCAGCAAGTAATTGACAGCAGTAGATCATGGTTTGGAACGTTAAGGATATTGATTTAGATCCTATCGATTCTACAAAGCCTAAGGCTACCAAGAAGGGAAAGAAGAAGCAACCTCAACTTTCAGCCGATGAAGAAGCATGGAACAAGTTGTCGCTAGGAGTACCACCTCCACTACCGGAGACACTTGACCCGTCTGCTGAAGGGTCAAAGAAGAGAAAGAGGACAAAGCCCAACATTGAGGACGTACAGGCATTTGCATGGTCCGAAGTGCAGAATCCTTCGTCACTTCTATTGACTTCTGACGACGCTGGCGGTTTTGTGTGCTTGGAAGAACTATCGGACGTTGACGTTGAATACGAAGGCGATGAAGCTACTGGCCAAATCATCAAATTCAAGGTAAGTTTTGACAATAATGAACAATGATTACGCAAAATTCTAATGTACGACTTCAATTCTTAGAAAGTTACGCCAAAAAAGAAATCAAAAGCAAACAAATCTGATAAAAAGCTCGGCCCAGCCAATCCTGAAAAACCGCTGTCGATTGAGGAGACAAAGGCATTCTATGATCTGGATACTTTCGACGAAAATTTAGCCACTAAGCAGAACGCTGAGGAGCAGAATGCTGAGGAGCAAACGGAAGGCGATCAAGATATAGAAATGCAGGACAACAGTGAAATTGACGGCCAAATCGAGGAGAATGTGGAGTCAGTATCAGCCGACGTCGAAGAACCGTCAGAGCAACCTGAAGTTAAACTAAGTGCAAAAGAGAGGAAGAAGAAAGAAAAGCTGGAAAAAGCAAAAGAAAAGCGCAAGGCCGCCAAAGAAGCCGCAAAAGAGAAGAAGCAAACCGAGCAGACAGCAGATGAGCAGGAAGGCGATGAGGAAGTTAAATCTAACAGAATTTCAGTTACTGAAGTAGATCAAGGTATGGTTTGAAAGACTGAATATCAATCAAGTGTCTAGCGTGTTGATTGACTAATGTGTGCAAATTTGTGACAGACTTTGACACTTCCAAGTGGGACCAGTTCAAACTGCATGAAGATATCATTAATGGCCTAAAGTATCATAAGTTTGGCAGCCCCACTCCTATTCAAGAGAAGACGCTACCTTTAGCAAATGAAGGTCGAGATATTATCGGAGCAGCTGAGACTGTAAGGGAAATTTGCCATCACAAGCTTCTCGCATGACAACATAATATTGACACCAATTGTATCTTAGGGTTCTGGTAAAACACTGGCATTTGGTATACCCATTGCCCAGTATATTGCTAGCTTAGAAAACGAAGACGACAAACATAAGCTTGCGGCACTAATCCTTACGCCTACTCGTGAATTGGCTATTCAAGTTAAAAATCACATACAAAACATCACCTGCTTCATGGATATCAGAGTATGTACCGGAAAACTACTCATTAATGTGTAATGAATGTAAACTGACGCAAACTTTACAGACTATTGCTGTGGTAGGAGGAATGTCTGCTCAAAAGCAAATACGCCAATTGAAGCAGAAGCCAAACATCATTGTTGCCACACCTGGTCGTTTGTGGGAACTGTTCTCTGAGGTACGTCTGTCATACAATGTAAAGATAATAAAAAGGATACATGCTAACAGTTGCATCCGTTAGACTGATGAGCATCTCAATAGTTTGAAGCAAATCAAGTTTTTGGTTCTGGATGAGGCTGATCGTATGATTGAAGGCGGCCATTTCCAAGAACTTGACGAAATCTTGAAGGTCGTTCAACAGTATGTGTTCTTGCAGATTTGCTGTGTAATTTACAGAGCGCATCACTCACTAATGTTCTGATTAGGGATAGAAAGGAAAACGTACCTCAGGCTGAGGATGAAGCTGAAAATGAAACGGAAGCTGAAGCTGAAGTTGAGAGCAACATACCCAAGCTACAAACCCTAGTGTTCACCGCCACTCTTAGTACCTCTTTGAGATTCGATGTCAAGAAGCGCAAAGGAGGCAAGAAGTCAAAAGGAAAGGCAAGCGAAGGCACCATGGGTAAAGTTTATGTCATTTTTAGAAATATGGCAGCAACTGTGGTATTGAATATATGGACTCTTTTTTCTAGAGGATTTGATCGAGCGCCTGGAACTGAAAAACAAAGATCCAGCAATCGTTGATATTACAACCTCTACTGCTGTGGCTTCCAAACTGGTTGAAGCTAAAATCGACTGTCTGAATACCGAGAAAGACGTCTTCCTGTACTATTTTGTCACAAGATATCCCGGGCGAACCATTGTGTTTGTCAACAGTATCGACTCCATTCGCCGACTTGTACCTGTGTCAAAGTTACTCGGAATGGAAGTCATTGGTTTGCACGCGCAAATGCAGCAGAAGCAGCGATTGAAGAATTTGGATAGGTAGGAGACATTCGCTGTATAACATGTTGCGGAATGGACAACACGCCCGGCTAACACAAGCAAAATTTAGATTTAAGGCTAATAACAAGGCAATTCTGGTGGCATCTGATGTTGCCGCCCGTGGTTTGGATATTCCTCTAGTTGAGCATGTTATTCACTATCAAATTCCTCGATCTGGAGAAATCTATGTTCATCGTAGTGGAAGAACGGCTCGTGCAAATCAAGATGGTGTCAGTTTGATGCTCTGCAGTCCTGAAGAACTTTCGCTTTATAAGAAGTTGGTTCTAAAGTTACGAAAAGGTAAAATACTTCGAGCCAGCGAGACCTTCCACTGAAGGAACTTATTAATCAAACCGTTTACTTTAGGTGAACCATATCCTGATTTTCCGGTAGATTACAGTATCCAGCGTGAGATGAAAAAGCGTGTGGAGCTTGCCACCAAGATAGACAAACAGGAGCATCGACTTCAGAAGGTATGACACTGTTGTAGGTTATCCTATCCTTTAATTGTTTGCGGATTTTAATACTTTTGGTTAATAGATCAGTCACGACGACGATTGGATGAAGCGTATGGCAAATGAGCTGGACATAGAGTATGATGAGGATGAGCACAGCATAAAAAAGCAAAAGCGAAAGCATGCCGAGGATGACGACGAAGAGGAGAAGACTAAGCAGAGGATCAGAGGATGGAAAGCTGAATTGAAGCATATGTGTGCTCAACCACTTCTTCCTCATGGTGCATCCATGAAGTATATCACTGGATCTACTATGCAAGACCTAGTCCAGAGACTTTTGAACGAAGACAGTAGGTGTTTCCACATTTATGCTCACTGCTCGATCCCGCTTCTAACGTTTCTTTTTTTTCTCCTAGGAAATGAAAAATTGCCTGGGTCTGCTACTAGTAAGGCCGTCGACGATGTCAAATCGAAAGCCAAGAACAACAAAAAGGGCCAGACGGCATGAGCGTACAGTCACAACAAACACATCACTACTCGAAATTAGAGCACATATATCATCATCAATCATAATAATAAATAGAAATTTCTCTTTTCCTTTCCTCAAGGAATATGAAAATGCTCTGGTGAAAGCACTACCTTGCATAAGAAGAATCTGTTAGTTCCCATCAGGTGTTCTTAGAAATAAATGACTACAAATGAGCAGACTATGACTGGATCCACAAGCGGGGACTCAATGCCCTGAAAATTTCACAGTTTAACTCTGAGATTTTTTTTTTCGAATTCTGCTCAAAACTGTCCTCGAACGCGCAATGCTCGAGTAATGGATGAATATGAGAATCCCCACCTGATGTCAACCACTGAAAGCGGCACAACCTCAATTTCAACTATTATAGACATTAGCCGTGAATCGAATGCATCAAGTGAACCTCTAATTCAGGCAGCAACAGACCCCCCACATATTAGTCGCCCTGACCGAGAATTGGACGCCGATTTTCAATCAACTTCAAACTTGAAAGTCAAACGAAAACGAGAACCTTCAGTACAAGAACCTGATTCTCAGGACGACTTGGTGTGTCAATGCCCGATTTGTTTCGAAAAATGGGGCAATACCGGATCACACAGGCTAATATCCATGAAATGCGGGCACCTTTTTGGTCAAAGGTATTTTCAAAATCGATGCAGTCAAAAACTTCACCTGTTCAAAGTTCTCAATCTTTACACTTGCAGCTGTATAGAAAAATGGATTGCAAGAGCGAGAAAAGACACCAAAGCCAAGTGTCCTCAGTGCAAGTATGCTTCCCTTCCTCTTACACCCTCGGCCCGAATGTTTGCAGATCACTTTCTAATCTTCCCTGCCTTCCTAGCGCTAACATTTCAAAGAGAGATATAAGGCCTATTTGGGCTAAACAAATCATCTCGGTAGACTCTTGCAAGATTGAACAAATGAAAACCGATTTTGAAGCATTACGACAGAGACACCAGGAACAGGAAATTGAGTTATCGAAATTACGCTTGGCATACCAAATGTGTAGGACTGAACTGATGCGTAAGGACGCTGAGATAAAGAGGTTTCAGCTGTTGGTTGGCAAGTATGTGTTATACTTGCCTATATCTTGAAATAGATAGCATACTCACAAAGTGGTACCTAGTAATACTGCAGCTGTCGATATTGGAGTAAGAGCGACTGCCAGTCTGATCCATGGACTGGAATTCGATAAGAAACTCAAATTCCACGAAACAGTACGTATTATAGATACTGAATAGGTTACAGGACGCAAATTAACAACTTTCGTTAGGCGAACATATGTCGAGTGATGGCATTTAATCCCGGTTACAACATGATAGTTGCAAGCAAGTCTACCCCTGCTGGTGTGCATGGCGTCCAAAAGATCAGCTTAGTGGATAACTTAAATTTAGAAACCGTCGTTAACCATTCTCGAGCGATAAGAGATATACAATGCTCGCCATCTGGACTCTGCCTTACAACCGCACTCGATAGCACGGCCAAAATCACCTCCTTAAAGGACAATTGCGTTGTTCAAAGGTAAGACATAGAACCTAATCTCTAGTTGAGATTGTCGATCTCACCTTCTTCACTGTTATATAGTTATAATCTGACAGCCCCTGGTTGGTGCTGTAGCTGGGATGAAGTCGACGAGAATCGCCTATACTGTGGATTGATTGACGATTCCGTTATGGTTTTTGACGTCCGAAATACACGAGAGCATATATACCATTTGAAGAATCATGAACTCACCAAAAAGAAGCCCATACATTCCATTGTACACATGGGAGGACCGAAAAACAGCATACTGTGCGCGAATTTAGATTGCTTGTACCAATGGGACCTCAGCGGTGATGCGCCTGTTTGTTCAGTCATTGAGGTGGACAGCCAAGGTAAGCTTGACTTTTTTAATCACTTTCCATGGCTCCTATCCTAACATTGGGGGTCTAGGATATCACCCATATTCAGTCTCATATGATAAGGCTTCCGCGACTATACTGGCTTCGTTTCGATCACAAACTTCTACCAAGCATATTCATGGATCGCTGGCCGAAAACATTTTAGAAGTTCAAAATGTATTCCATAACCCCCAAAAACAGACAGCGCTGGCACGGACGTGGCATTTTTCGAAGCCCAGGGTTGCGCAATCAAATGATTCAGCAACTGAATATGTCATATGTGCTGGCGACGAAGTTGAAAAATCCGTACGTTGAGACGTTGCATTTTACTGTATAGCACTCAAATTTCAGGGTAAACTAAATGTTGTTCAATTTGCAGCTTTGTCTATGGGATGATGTTTCTACTCGACGATGCATAGATATCGGCAGCAATGTCATGGACGTCAAAACTTCAGTCATCAATAACGAAGTATACCTTGCCACTCTCACAGGAAATGAAATGCATCTTTATCGAAGCTGAACCTCCATGTTTCTATAACCCGGGGTTTTTTTGTCAAATAATCTATATTTTCATGAACCGAAATTCAATTGTATTATACAACCTCACTATCCTACATATAAACCTACTATACCATTTTCTTCGCCTTCAGCCCAGTGCTTTACTCAAAATCTCATAGTCAAATTTGCGTGCCTGACGTGCACTGAGGCATTTTCCTGGTGATATCTCATCCAGCTCAAAGCTATAAGTTGGGAGCATTTAGAACACTTTGTACCGAAAGGTAAAACATCAACAAGGTGCCAAATATTCTTTGTACTTACGCAAGCTTTTTAGTGTAAAATTTGAACGCCCCTGTATTCACTGTATGCATTTATGTGAGCCAATCGTTCGTATTCAGATACATAGTGTTCCAGTATATCATACCTTTAAAGACAGTCAGCATAACCTTATCCATACTCCAGCGTTTGCCAATGTCCTCCAGCAGTTTGACGAGATATTCTCCCAGACCTCTGCCTCTTGCACTGTCTTCAATTTGTAACTCGTAGCTACATCGAATAACGGTCAATCAGCTCAAGTAGCGCGAGAGACATATACGGCGATGCAAATTACCAATATGCAACATCAGCCAGGACGTCGTCATCCATGGTCTCTTCCTGCACTATCTGAAATAAAAGATACCCGAAAAGACGTGTGGGATCTGTGCGAGATCTTGCAACAAGGTATCTTGCTTCCTTTGCAAACAGCTCCGACCTTTTCTCGTCCTCATTCCAGCCATCCTTTGAATTCTTGTACCTGGAATAGCCATTAAATTATGACTCCAATAGAATTAAAGCTCAAGAATAGGAACCTACATCGTCAGCATATTAGCTTTGAACAGTGTGAGTGCCCATTCTCTCAAGTGCTCGGGAAAATCGTCAATATGGTAGTAGTCGATATCAACTTGCCAATCGTCCCTGTGGATCAAGTCAGCTGGCCATTCCAAGATACAGTCATAAAGGGAGCATTATACTTACTTTTCATATTGTAAGGGTAGCTGCAGACCGTCAACCAGGGACTTGATCTACACGATGTTGTCAGTTGAAGCATTTCGCAAAGTTTGAGTTGTAGCTTCTGAATGTACCTGATTCACAGCAGCGACTTTACTGATGCTGCCTTTCTGCTGTTATGGGCATTGGTTAGTGGAATGAGCAGAGTATTTTTGATCCTGCCACGAGCATGAACAGTCATTTACCACTGAAATGGGCATTAAAAGTATAGGTGTAGTAGGTGTAGTAGGGTTTTCAGGGTTTTCTATTTTGAGCGAGGGAATTTTGGTTGACGCGTAAAATATCTTTCATTGTCTGACTTACTACAAAAAATATAAGAGGCGACAAAAGATAAATTTATTCATATGGAAACAATACTTTAGACATTGAATGCCTACTACTTTTGTGATTTGATGAGTTGAGTATGTTGCTTGGAGCTCATTGACTGCCCTATTAATTGTGATCAGGGCTCGGTGTTCGAGGCCCACGAAAATTCCGTGGATGATGTGGTGGACTTTTTGATCGTCGCGTTGCCATATCTTCCGATTTATGTACGGTTCTCGATTGAGAAAATCTCTTCATTCCATTACGACTGTGTCCCTCTTCTCCATAAGGGCGTGGTACAGGCCCATTGCGTTTAGCTGGTCCTCTCGGCGGCGGGGTTCGAGATCTGCAAAGGCGTTGCAAAGTTAATGCGAGGCAGAACACGACGTCTTTATTCCATTTGACTTGCCTTGTTCGAATTTCTCTTGATGTCCTCCGGTAATCCTGGAGTGATGAACTTCGTCCTGGGCGATTTTGGGTATGCTGATTGTTGAAGCGCGCACTGCTTCTGTTATCCTTGTATCTTGGACCATCAGGTATACCTACACAGAGATTGTTAGCCTCAGAAGAATGAGAACGGAAAATGCTCGTAACTTGATCTTCATTCACTAACCCCTTTGATCTCTGTTCATGTTAAGATAAGTAGTAGACCTCGAACTCATGGGAAATTCCCTTGGAATGGGTCTGTCATATGCCGATAGGTTGTTGAATGAATGCCGGTTTGTATTAATGCGAGTAGAGTACTCTCTACCTAGGTGATGGTGATCCAAAAGATCTCCTGAAAGTGGACGCCGTATAGGGGGGCGCTCCACTCTCATTTCATCTGATCGATGTCTTGAGTGTAAACTAAAATTGGTTGTATTTGTATCACCTGTATTACCTCTTGGTCGTTCTAAGCCGTGGGCGAGAGCCAAGCTGGCTGCAATGGCGCGATGTCTGCTGGTAGCACAAGGAAGAAAAATCCGGTGGATTTGGAAAAAATGGGTCAACGCAGGGATTCGTAGTATGAACAATACCCCAATGCAAGGTAAAGTGTTGCGATTCCGTCACCAACATCAATGAAGCTCCAATGAGTGGTTTGGGTTGCACTTTTGACCAAGACATGGGGACTGTGGAGTAGATCTTCTTACCTAGTGGGACATTCAATCGCAGTATGGCCAATACCGGTGCATACTTGGCATGTATGATTCAAAGGGATATCGTCGTGTGGTAGTATTTCGTCGTCTCTATCGGTGAAGCGAACCCTTATTGTCGCTCCTTTGAATAGCACTCCATCGCAACGATCTAAAACGGTGCGACAGTTTCGCTCGTCATGCATTTCCTGCAGCGAAGGAAATACTAGGTAAGTTGTCTGCGATTCTATTGAGTTGCTTTCGTCTAGCTTGCATCAATTCAGTCTCGATGAGGAATGGCAAGATTCAACCATTCTCACAATCTTTAAAGCTTCTCCACTCCGAGACCGCCGAAGTGGCGAAAACTTACAACGTAGGCGTAACCATTTCTTTCTTCTATATATCTAATCCTCCCATATGGTTCGATCAAATTTTTCAAAGCGGGCGAATACGAGCGCGCGGGTAGGTTGTGGACGTATAGAGGCATGAGGCTGAAGAGAACATTGAGCATCAATGATCGATACCCTTTTTTAGCATTGGCGAGCGTTCTGAGAAACTTTAACTGTGACTTGTGACAAGATCATCTTCGAATACAACCATGATTTTCACTTCAGCTTCTTAACATCGCGCAGTAAATTTGCATTGTTCATCTAAATGTTAATTATCTGCGTACTTCAATGGCTAAAACCCGGTTTATAGTAATCACGGGCCACTCTTTACCATTGTTTTGGGTACATTCCCGAAGGCAAAAACCTTGATTTATCCTTGTTTATCAGAATAAAGTATTTAGCCGTTGTCTGAGGTTTAAACCACTATCAAGGTACAAACACCTGGTACTCAACCACCGAGAATCTATTTATTCCTTATTTTTTCCATACTGCCAATATCATCTATCTTTTCGAACGCCTTAAATAGTGGTGAACAAAAAACCTATTGCTCGGAAAAGGTCGATCAATGGTTCATCGGAAGGCCGAGCCATTTATGTGTAACGATGCATGTTGAGCACGCGCAGAAAATGCATGTTGGCTGATCACTGCAGCAACTCTCTACAATGACATTCATGCTAAGATTGTCATGCCATTTTTCTTCAAAGAAGAGAAAGATGTGAAGCAAACTATCCTAAGACGCGTTTCAAAGTGAAAGTAGACACGACATCCTTTGTATTAGCTCAGCTTATCTCAGCTTATTAGGAAGCCATGTTCTCGCTTTACAAAATAGTGGGTATTATATTGTCAGATGATATTATTGGGAAAAAGGGCATACATAAGTCTAAGTGTAAAGAATCTCATCGATTCCCATACTTCTGCGTACTTGAACTAGAGCAACAAGCTCTTTAATACATTCTTCTAAAATAACCACATTGTTCAGCAGCGTCGACAGCTTGATTTCAGTGGACTTGTCTTGCCTCTTTGGTTGTGATGGATTCCTTCCTTTAGGTGCAAATGTGTCTTCATCTTCATCATTCAGATTCAGAATGGTCTCACGAGGTTCTACCACGAAATTGGAAGGAAATAAAGGCTGGATACGAACGTCTGCCATTTTGCGCACATGTGCAACTAGAGCATCCGACATCTCCGCATTTTGGTAAGCAGTATTATTACTATTGGGGATAGGGCTTGCTGGATTCTTGTTTGTCGCGTTCTTGGCAGCAGTACCTTGGCTGTTGGGTTGGGTATTTGAATTCACCTTGGATTTTGATGACTGCTTCTTGCTTCCAGCACCAACGCCAAAGAAGAGGCTCATAGTAGAGGAAGAAGTTTGCGAGATTTCAGCTTGTTTCGCATTATCACTTGATGCTGATGGCGTCACGGAAAGGTTGGCAAATGCATCGCCAAAGAACAAGCCTTGTCTTCTGTCTTCCAAATACGTGTCAAATTGAGTTATTTCTGACCGATAGTAATCAACCTGTTGAGTTAAAGTACGAAGCAACGTGAAGATGGGTGGGAACGACCTAAAGTTGGTGGCTACAGTCATATTAACCGAATTTCTATCCATGCCAAAATCAATAGACCGATCATCACCCTCATCATCTTCATTGACTGGTGTTGGGTCTTTATCAAACTGCGCGTATATGTCGTTGACACGAATCTTGTTTCCTGGTCTGTTGGATTGTCTTTCTGTACTGGTCTGATCAGGGCCAAGGACAAGTACATCTCGTGCTCTATCTTCTTCGTTAAATGCGAGCCACCCTTCTAAACTGCGGAATGGGCAGATCGCCAAGGCAGATATAACAGCTGTCAAGGCCAAATTGAGTTCTGAAGATTGGGCGAAGAAATGTGAGAGCAGCCCCAAAAGTATTTGCAACAAAGGATCTGTTTGCTTCAATCGGTGCTTGGGCATCGTGTACAGATGTTGGTGAGTGTACTTGGCTGGGAATTTACCAGAGCTTGATTCCCTGCTTCTTGCTACCCTTTCATCGTACCTTTGACCATACTTCAAACTTCGTCGCTTCTCTAGCTTAGATTGCCTTTGGTGGTGGTTCCCTGCCATGTCCGAATCCATATTTGCGCCATTTTGATAACAGCAATCACTCAAAATGGTGGTCTCTACATCACTAAGATATGCTTCATAACCAAGTGAGAGAATATCTTGAGAGTGTTTGTAGTCGATAGTGCATATCAAAGAGAAAAACAGCTCAATTTCACGATTGTGGTGTGAAATGGTGGTCATGGTGGCTTTCTGCGCATTCAATTCACCATCTTCCAGTCTTTCTGTTTGCTCATTGAATTGCACAGTATGAGGAAAGCTAGTAGCAGTATCGTCCAGTTGTATCGACAAGAGACGCAAGGAGTATCGGCAGTGGTTTGATATCAAAGTTTTCAATAATTTGAGAGTGGCAATCACAGTTGGCTGAGAGCTTGATTTGAGGCGTGAAAAGATGAGATCTTTGAGAGTGAACCTTCCAAGGGCAGTGAAATAAGGAGAGCTCTTGACTTTGTCGCCTTCTATGCCAACATAAATGTCGGATGCTTGTTTGCCATCCGGTAACAAAGCAGGCTTCTCGACTTGTGGACTAGTGACTTTCAAATCTTCAGGATTATCATCCATAGCCATCAAGAACCCTACAACAACATCTACTAGTTCGTCTTGTTGTAAGGTCTGCAGGATCATGTCGATGTAGCTAATGACAGCCACAGCTGAACCATCGGTATCAGAGCATTCCAAAATGGATGGGTATAAGATATTCTCCAGAAAAATAGATCGTATGTTTTGCAATAGAGAAACACAGATTTCCACACTGGGGCACCGGGTCAAGACGTCTTGACAAAATTCCAACAATTTTAGGAAAGAATCCAATCGACTTCGGAAGTCAGATGAGTTGGAAGTTTCAACGTCAATGTCAAAAGGCATACCCATGGTATCTTGATCAGATGCCAGTAGGAAAGTAGTACTGTTATTGGACGCATCTGTTTCTTCTTGGACTACGAGTTTGCGGGGTAACTGAGAGTAAAGTGCACCAAGACCGGCCGCCATAATAGTAGCAAAATCCGACTCTAGAATGAAATCACCTAGTTGACCAGTAGCCATTTCCATTAGAAACAATAGGCCGGTTCGAGCGAAATCTCCTGATCGACCTTCTCGGTGTACAAACCGCAGTAGGTAGCTGAATAGAACAAATTCGTAATCTGGCTTCTTCTCTCCTTGGCCATGCCTTTGGAGATTCGTCAGCAGCGGATTGTCTGCGGATTGAGTTTGATCGGGCGTAGTTGGGTGCTGGGTTTTCTGAGGTGTCGTCAACCATTGACGATCATGAAAGAAGATGTTGAGTAGCGCAGGAAAGCCATGGATTTTGGAACAGATGATATACATAAGATCGACAAGATCTTCATCGTACTGATCGCTTTGTTGTTCATCCAAAACACAGAATCGAAGCAAGCGGATGGTAGGCTTATGTACAGCATGCTGTACAAGAAAGCGGTCATCTAAAAGATCGATCATACTGGCAACTGTTCGTATGGTTTCGCTGCGCATGCCAACAGGATAGTCTGCTTTTTCGGATACGTTGACGAGGAAGTGCAATATGCCGTTCTTTAAAAAGTACTCCATGCACACTCCAGTTGAGCTATCCTCTTGTCTGGCTTCTTCATCCACAAGCAAATCTACCATTTGTCGTAAACGGCTCGGTATTTCGGTCTGCTGAACATGTAGATTGGGTTTCCTATCATCGGCAGCATATATATTCTAATAAAGCGAACATTGGCATGCTTAGTAACAGATGTTCGGCTAAAGGAACGAGTCCGTTGCCAGGGACAATCTTACATGTACATAGTTCCAGCATTTATGAAATTTGGCAAGCTGCATCGCCCCAGTAGGCTGAGCCTTTGGGGTGACGATGCGCTTTCTGAATTTTGAAAAGTAATCCATCTGCGCGTCTCCAAGGACGAGCAGATCCTAGCAGAGATGTCAATAGCAAGTCCGCTTGCAACGAGTACTCCGTAATTTATGTATTTTTTAATTTTATTTTTTGTATGCAAAAAAAAAAAAAAAGAGTTCATTGATCCGCACTACCATTACCATAAGTATTAAGAAACTCATCCATATCCACATAATCCAAATCATCTACGTTTAAGTTATTGGGATCAAATCCGAGATGATTGGTTAGAGTGTCTATATCACTCTCCAATTTACCAATTTCTTGGTTAATTTCTTCCGCTGATCTGGTTGAATCGTTGACTTTCTGAGTGACACCGTCCAATGACGGTGTCTGAGACTGGAACGGGGTGATAGCGTTGCCATTGTAAAGAGGTGTGAGAAGATCATTTGCATTAACACCACTCGATAAAGGAGGATAGCTTAAGGTGCTTGCAAGATTGGGGTCAAACTCAACCAACGACGTGGAGGGAGCTCCCGATGGTATACTGCTGCTGGGTGCCTGGTATGACTGGTACTTCAGATTATCCAGTAGCGTTGGGTTACTCATAGCAGCATTCAAAACCTGCTGAAGGTTCTGAAGTTGCTGAATGTTTCTGATGTTGTCCCAATTGATAATGTCTCGTTGCTTATTGGGGTTGGAGAGTGTATCTAGACAACAGCGATATTAGTCCTGAACGGGAAGTCATTGCATAAGAGTCAAAAGGCAAAGCCGCTTACTTTGTATTTCAGCAAGTTGATCACTAGCTGTAACTGATCCTGGAGAATGCACCGATGGGCTGGTGGGCATTGGCGATGATTGCCGTATACTTTGACTGTTGGCCACACTGGCACTTTTAGACGTTTTCGATACTTTCCTGGGCAAATCTTGAGAATCTTTTTCAGGTAGAGTGGTGACCTTGGTCACGGACGGAGAACCACTTTTTTTGCTTGAAGGTGTTGGTATCTCTTCAATTTCTTCATATTCTTCATCATCGCTATCCTCTTCCCTAATCTTGGCGCCAGAATCACTGTACTCAGTGTTGGTATCTCCAATTAGATATCGTCTCTTCTTCGGTATGATAGCTCTCTTTTTATCACCAGAAAATACGGAAGCCAGGAACCGGAGAATCTTATCTATCGTTTCCTGATGACGCTGATGCCTTTCTCTTGCAGCCAACGTCTCTTGCCACAAAACCTGGTTGTCTTGCTGAATGTTCTTCAACTCCGAACTAATGTTCATTTGATGCTTCTTTATCGCCGTAATTTCGTCCAGAATGTGATTCAAATCAAGACCCGGCGCCTCCTTCTCTTCTTGATCTCTGCCTTTTTTCCTTGTTACTAGTAGCAACAAGTCGGGGTGGTTTTTCTGAAAGTGTGGATTGCTAAATTCCCACCATTCTGTGTCCGAGTCCGACTGCAGGACGCCTTGTTGCAGATGCGGTACTTTGTGAAATCCATACATATTGAGTTGGCGGACGAAAGATGAAAAGTTGTTATGCTTAAAAAATCGAGGAAGGACTTCTTTGGCAAGATCTTCGTGGCGTACCACGATGAACGATTTGCCGTCCTCTGACCACCGAATCAAATCGTTAGACGCTGGGTCTTGAACCATGCTACAAGCCAAAAAAAATCAGAATCTATACAAATATCACTTTGCCACGTAAAACTCTGTTCTGCTTACTTGTACAACTTGTTCAGAAATGCAGGAACATTGCGCTGGAAGCGCTGGCTCTGTAAAGTAGACATTATGGCTCTGGACGCCGACGAGTCTGGCTGGGACGGAGAAGGGATGGAAGTGTTGGATGGCATGGAATTGCTGAGAGATGCAATATCAGAAGTAAAAGTAGGGCTTGAAAGGTTTTCGAGAATGGATTGAGGTGCAATGTTCGTTGAAGTTAATGAGGTGGCAAAATCGTCATTGGGTGAGCTATTCGAGATTTCGTTTGCCTTTCTTTTATATGCAAGGGAAGGCATAGACGGATCTCCAGACGCTCCACTTGGAGAATTATGTCTGTCAGGCATAATGCTATTGATGAGAATGAGAAAACTTTGGTACACCAATCAAACGCCCCAGAGTACTGTTTTCCAAAGAAGTGTAAGGGAATTACGAAGAGTATGTCTGCCACGCACAAAAAAAAAAAAAAAAAAAATTGTCAATGAATTCCCGATCACAATTTTGTGATATTACGTACGTCACTTGTGGAAAAAAAATATGAGTGCTGCCTGATCTCGATCCTCAGCAAGATATCTACCAAGTAGTCGTTACCCTTTCTTTGTTTTATCGAATACTTGTTGCCATCCTTCAGAAATGTAGTGTAGTTTTTCATAATCATCATAGCAAGCAAAAAATGATTGAATTTCTTTCATCTCCGTTTCTCCAGCAAATACCAATAAGACAGTATCAGTATTTTTTTTTCTGGATCGTAATTTGATCGGCAATGTCGGTATTTCCTATTTGCTGCTACCTGCTCTCTCCATTAGTTTAAAATAGTGGGATCTTCTCCTTGAATTCAGAAAAGAAACGTCCTTTTTAGATCAATTAACTTCTTGTTAATTTTTCAGTATGAGCACACACTGTCTGGCTTGAGGTTTTACCACCTCCATGCGATCATAAATATTTGTGCTCTTCTCCGCCCGCACAGACCGTCCGCTGCTACGTTGATAATCTGAATCACTATGCCATTTATCCTTTGAAGTGCGCAAAACAATGACCAGTATATGCACTAAGGACATTGCAATATTGACACAGCATTATTGCAATGAAAAGGAATTGGCCACCATGCATATCGATTTCCATAAGGGGTCTCTTGTCGAACGTAAGGGTGTCTACGGAGTCGTTTACATCTGTCTGACAAGTACAACGATTTGAAAAATCATACTCAAAGTTACATAAGGTGCTGGTATTGTTGCAGATTATAAAGCAAGTCCAAACACGAACAATGAATAAATTACGTATGACTGACCTTGTCCGTAATTTCATGTATGCAAAAGATTGAGCTTGTAAGGGGCTGCGTATTCTGTCTTATTGAGTTTCTGCAATTTTATATGTTCAGGTATATGGCAACAAACAAATGGCCAGTCATCGGCTGAGGAAAGGCATGACGGCCGTCCGAAGAGGCTTGAAATCGGCTCGTCTGCAAATAATAGAGTTTGAATAGAATTACCTTTTAGCTTTGTAAACATAACAAGTTGAGCGAACGTACATTTAAAGATGATAAGTTATGTCGATCCCAGTAAAAATCATTGCTTGGTTTAAAGGACTTTGGAGGAAATCTTGCATGTTTAATAGCTTGTTTGTCACACATTGGTGAACACGCGATGACTGGTCACATTTGGCAAACTGTCTGCAATATGTGATTAAACCTTTTGTTGTTTATCATAACGAAGGGGTGGAATAAAACCAACCTCCTCAGTTGCATCGGGAGCATTTGTTCCTGTCATGTCTACCGCAGGCCCTGCCTACGAAATTCGTTTTCGTGACGATGAGGTAAGCTATTGTTCTACCAAAGGAATGGAGGAGAAACTTACTGATGCTTTACGAAACAGCATGTCCAAATCATAGATCTTACGCGAAATGGAGCTGCTCCAGAGACACGACCGTTACCTAGTGGTAAGCCATGAGCTTTATCTCAACTTCCAGTGTGATCGTTTATTGACAGTGTTGCGCTTGGGCACATGAAACAAACAGTTTACAGGCAGTCATGCTTGCTTCGTCGAGAGAGTGTCCTACTTTCCCATAGTACATCAGAGCCAACTTTCTCTCGCTATGCTACCAAAATCAATAAAGCTGAGGAGCTGTTCGACGAGGATACACAAGTTTCGTCTCTAGCTGTCAGTCGAGACACATCAATCCTACCAGTTACAAGTCAGCCAATAGCAATTCAACAGCCACCACCCCATGAAACTTATAGCCTTGCCAAGTCGGCTCCGCATCGCCGTGGAACGTCCAACACTTACCCCTTAAACAGCGATGCCAGTTTTAGTTGGACTGGCCGAGCCAATAAAGACTTGGATGTTATTCCAACAGTTGCACGACGATTGGCTGAAGAGGAGGCACTGGATTCGTTAAGACGGCAAGAAGGTGAGGAGGCTATGCGAAAGGCACTGGAGAGGAAGGCCAAAATTGCTGCTGCACGCCAGCATGCTCGGACGCGCTCTGGTGGTAAGTGTTAACGTATCATTTGAAGCTCTTGCAATCAGAATGTTAACGTTCGGAACAAGGGATGTCGTCCGATCACAGTGACGGCGATCTCAATTCTTTGGCTGTTGAGAACTACGTATCTAGTCCGGTTGACCAAACTTCAATGGACAAGTCGGCTATATACGGTACTTTTGCTCATACCAATGAACCACATTACGAAACCGTGGAACAAAAGTTACCTCAAGACAATCATACTGTTGATATGAAAGAAGACGACACCTATCGCTTGGACAAAAAGGGCATGGATAATGTGGAAGGTGCGCAACCAAGGATAGATTCACAGCCAAACGTATATCCATACAGGCCACAGCAGCACATGGATATAGACTTACGATATCCGCCAAAGGGGCATATAGAAGACAGGTATCAGAAACAACGACAGCTGAATATGCATGAGATGAATACCCTGAAGTCTGAGAACGGGCAGTCAAAGGCAAAATCGCAAGACATGCCATCACACTATCTGACGGAAGAAACTGTTAAAGCCGACGAAAAGCAAGGCTGTTGTTGTATCATATCTTGAAATTATCTATTAAGTTTTTTTAAAGCATACCTCATTATTACCCCATTCCCTCAAGACATGATCTATCATTGTAGTAAATTTGACACGAGTATATCCATTTTTTTTTTCAACATACCATGCGGTTTAAGAGAATATGAAGAGGGAGAGGGTAGCTAATCTCATTTTTGCTTTATTTTACAGGAAAAAAGGATGTAATAAGTGGGTTGTCATTTGGTCGAGCGAAAAAAGGTTATGAGAGCATCATACGGACACCCATAATAATGCACGCCAAGGAAACGTATGGGCTAAGTCGCTCGCCGATACGTGCTGCTTTCCAGAAAAAACCCAAAAATCTAAGGCACACATCCAAATGTTAGTGAGCTGCAATCGACGTCATGAAGTTGATTGATTATCTATACTTGCCCAGTCTTATTTCTGTCCATTAGTGATGGCGCTTGGGCTCGAATGTAGGAGCAAGTGCAGATCAAGAGCAGTACGACGAGCAAAAGGCTCTCAAAGTTAAATATGGCTGACTGTTAAGGTGAAATCACGTTGAAAGTGTGGATAGATTAGTAACTGCCAACGATTAGGACGTCTGTACAGTGAGGAGCATTACCATCTTGAAGGAAGAGCAATGGATGCTGTAGGCAAAAGGAGCTTCGGACAGGGAAAATTTATGGGTTTGAAATTTTGTACAGATTTTTTTATATTTAATTCGGATTGCATACTCAAGTGGTTTTAATTGAACTGACTACAGTTAGATATTGTATGATACTGGTGAAACATATATGTTGAGCAATTGTATTGAGAAAAAGGAAATAAAAGGAATGGAGGAAAACGCTTAAACGAATTCAAGCTTAGCTACACCATGAGCGGCGGAGACAACGACAACAGAGGCCGAATCTTCCTTGTAATAACCAGCCTTGAGGTAAGGTCTCAGCTTGGTGACATGAATATCAGCAGGATTGGGAGCATGAACAGTGTTGTGGCCGGACAAGGCTGAGACAGCAAACTTGCCTTCATAACCATCAGCGGGCTATTGGATAAAAAAGATAGTGAGTAAATTGCATCAATGAAATTGGGAAACGTGGCGAAAATCGCGACTTACCAATTGAATGTGAGCATAACCACCAACAGTGTTGGCCTTGATAGTAGCATTGGCGCTAGTAGGAGTCACGGTAACGTTGGAGATGCCTCTTACAGTGCTAGCTCCAAAATAATGAGAAGGCTTGTAGGAACCGGTGATCTTGCCACGGAAAGCGGCGACTTGAATGTCTTCAGCTTCGATGTCTTCCAAATGAATGCGGCCCCGGCCAACACCAGCACGGAATTTGCCAAAGGTGAGACCGCTAAGGTTACTTGAGACAAAGGCAGCACGGAGATGCAAATCCAGACCATCATATTTCTTGAGTCCAGCGGGGAAGGTGATCTTAACATGTGCTTTGAGGCAGGGAGGCGGGGGAGGATGGTCAGGCTCATCTTGGGGACCTCCCATGAATTTACCAAAGAAAGAATGAGATGGACGAGGAGGATGGCCAGGACCCTTGACTTCAACAGAATATTTGCCTTCGTGGTCGAAAGAGCTGATTGCTACCAAGTCGTTCAACTTCTCGTCGCTGGTAAGAATGCTGACTTCGACTTGGACTTTGTCGGCAACGGCATCGTCACTGCTAGCTTGGGTGATTTCAACTTTGGAACCGGAGAAGGCACCATCGACGAAGAGAGCAGCTTCCTTAAATTCTTCAGGTGAGAATTCTAAAGTTGTGACTTCAGAAGTCAAATTGGCGTCTTTGCAGTGGCCACCACGGTGATGAGGAGGGCGTCTGTGGTGTGGGGGATGATGAGGGAATCGATGGTGAGGAGGACGGGGTTCGTCAGTTGGGTGAGGGACGTCGGAAGAGGTTGGAGGTGTAGGCTCCTCAAAAAATTCGCCACCAACGTCTTCGTCATCAACAGCGTTCATAAAAGGTGGCATGTCTCTATCATCATCATATGGCATTGAATGCAATTGGTCATCGCCTTGTTCAATACCAGTGAAGTCTTCTGTCTCAACTTCTGGTACGTCAACGTCTTCATAATTAAAGTGGTGATCGTAAATTCTGATCCATTCTGAGCTGGGTACTGGATCGAAACTGGGTACATCCAACGGTGGGAATGAAACGTCGAAGTCTTCATCGATATCGTTTGCTAGATCGTTTTCGACTTCGGGTTCAGGCTGAGGTTCATCGTGTGGGTGCTTTCCGTGATGCTTGCCATGGTGTCTACCATGACCTTCTCCATGGTGGTGATGATGATGATGATGATGATGATGCTTACGACCATGGAATGGCATATCATTTTCTTCGAAATCTTCATCATCTACACGTTCATCAGGACCGGGAGGTCCGTGATGGCCGTGGCGACCAGGAAAACCGGGACGACGGGAGCAACCAGGAGGACCATGGTGGAATCCACGGGGTCCATCCTGTTCCTCAGCAACGGGAGGGCCATGGTGGTGACCATGATGCCGGCCCCTGCCCCAATGATGAGGACGACCGCGACCGTGGTGGTGATCGAAATCACGGTCCTGGTCAAAGTCTGAGAACATGGAGGCAACCTTCATGGCGTAATGATCAGGTTCAGGAATATTTTGCTCAGCAAGCTCTTCAGGGTAGTAGAAAGTGGGCTTGTCTTCGCCATTAAATTGTTGTCCTCCATACTGCAAAACAGAAAGGAAAAATTAGTTAGTTAAATAATATTTCAAAAAGGATAATTTAAACATAGCTATGTTCACTCACTCCTCTCCATGACCATGAAGGTGTGGACAGATTAGAGAGTGCAAAGATGGTAATTGCAGCACCTAAACCTATCTTCTTGAGCATCTTACGACCTGTTGGTCAACAGAAAAGAGTGAGTGACATGTATGAAACAGAACGATACTTGCATAATGATGACGGTGATGATAAAACCTACGCTTATGTTGGCATCTACGCTTGCAGTGACGCTTCATATCATGACCTTCGAGAGCCTCAACATCCTCTTGCATGGGGATAGGAGTGTACTCAACGTCCTTTGATTTTTCGCTCATTTTTTGAAAGAATGAAACAAGAAGAGGTGTGAGGCCACAGCTCCGCCATCTTTATATAAAATTTAGCCGTTGCCAAGACATGCGCAACCTAACCGAATGTCCGCCTCCCGTCATGATTGGCTGCCTGTCGGAATTGGAAAGATGTACCATCTTAATTGTTCGAGAAATGCATAATGCTTATGAGGTTTTTTTTATTATATGGAAAGGAATCTATGCCAGCATACACATTATTACAGAGCTATGCAGTGAGTATCTACATAATGTCATCTCCTCTCTTCCGTCGCCTTTCATCTTGAGATACAGCAGGACTGGCTCGACCATTGTTGCCTATGGATGGAATATCCAAAATCGTCGATGGTCCGATCGATCCACTTTGAGCCATTGTTGGATATTCATTGTCCTCTTCCTCTGACGTTTCGGTTACAGAATAACCCATTCTGCTTTGCTTTCTGGGAGATGCTGATGTAACGGCAGCTGGTAGGTATCCAGAATTGTCATCAGATGAGATGGTAGGAGGTGTTGGCGTAAGACCCATTTGATAGAATGAATTGAGATTCGGCGAGCTGCCAGTTCGCGCAGTCAGATTAGTGAAACTTCCATTTCTGTTGGATAGTCCTAGTGCCGAAGATGAACTCTTGATGCCAGTATACTCTACTGCGCCAGGGCTAGAAACGGCCGACTGTGCTCCCATTAGACTAGCTGCACTATCTCCACTGTATCGCTTTTTGGTCCAAGGCCGCGTAGGTATAGATGGTTGCGATCGAATAGAATTGCTAGACGTAGGTCTTCGTAATACACCCAAACTAGGGCTGGATCCTATATTAATAGCAATGCCTTCAGATCCAACATTATCCAATTCTGTCACTGTAACACCATATTCGGAATCATCCACATCCAGGTCATGTACTGAAGTGGGGGCTTGATTGTACGATCGATTAGTTCTTCCTAGTCTTGAAAACCAATAGCGAGCAGTATTGTAGGTTTCGCGCAACATTCTATCAGGATGAAAATGAGATAGCTGAGAGCGGAAACCGTGAGATTGGCTGGCATGCACTGAATCTGAATTGCCGAGGATCCCCGCGTTGGGGTCATAAGAACTCTTTCCTGCTCGGCGGCGAGACCGACTGCGAGAAATACACCATACGAGGAAACAACAAATTATCATAATCGACATAACGAAGAAAGCAAATGAATGCGCATTACTTGGCGTCAATGATTTGGGTATAGGGTTTCCTGGTATACCGATTACGTTTTCTAGCGGTGGCTGACCATCTTCTTTATCGATAGCATGAGGGCCTTCATCATCCGTACTATGCCCTGGGGACCCATTATCCGTTACAGGGATTTGATCGGATACGTACTGAAGCATAGCACCCAAAGTCCAAGAAACTTGAATGTCATTGATGGTGTCGATACTTTGGAACGGCGGACTCCAATGCTTGGCATTGACACTTTCAATCGACTGTTCCAAGACTTCCTTTTCTTGAGCTGCCGTGCCTTGACCACCATCATCTACGATTCTTGGTATTTCGATACCATCATGGAGCACATTGACCATCCAAGCAGCCTTGAAGCATTGCATTTCGTAACGCTGCAAATCAATTTCGTTGGCATGTTGGTGGTTCTGCCGAATCGTGTTCCACTCCGATTGGCAATATTCGGTGGCTTTCTTCTCGTACTCAACAAAATCGTAAACCCCTCCTAGACCAAGAATATCGTGCGATGAATACCAGTATTCAGATATTCCTACAAACTTGTTGACTAGCCAATCAATATGTGGAGTGTGTACACCATTAAATAAACAAGGTTCGGTTGGGCATTCAACATCCTTGTTCAGAAGTGGAAGGGTAGCTTCCAAGCATTTGGAGAATGATCCAGTGCCATGAAGTGTTAATGCAACACTTGTTGACGAGGAGTCGGTTAAGTTGAGATCAATAGGAAGACATGGGTCATCCAAATGGAGCGTATGATGCTCATCTAACAAGTCTGATTTTGGTCCACTCTCATCATAAGCCTTGCGTACTCGTTCCTCCAGGTACCGTCTCCTTGCTTCATTACTGCCATACCCAAGAAAGGTGGTTACAAAAACATCGTATTCAATTCGGCGTCCATCTAGGGTATGCAGCGTGATTTTCTCTAGGTCATCCATATGTTCCTCTTTCTGATGATGTTCTGGCTCAAATGCAATTTGTGTGCTAGCGCCTCCCATGTCAAGGAATCCAAATGTGTGGTGCTGCTCTCGTATACCATCTGCGTTCTTAGGTTGTTCATCGAGTGATGCACTGATGCTAGCGTCAAAGCCTCCCATCAGATAGTTGACAGCTGTCCATCCGTAAAGACCTTCCAATTCTCCTGATATGATTTTGATTTGCTTGTTGCAATTTTCTAGCTTGAAGCCAGAGTTTTTTTTGATATAATTACAGGTGGCACTTAAGATGTCCTCCTGATCTTCTTTTGGTAAAAGTCGCATACCAGCTGTGGCCATTAAAAATATAGGTGTTTGTTTATGTTCTGTGGCCGGTACAACTTCTTCGGCGAAATCTAAAAGCATCTTCAAATGATCTCCTATGTCCTTTGTTTTGCCAGCATAAGTTGATATTCCTAGAATAGAAGTTTAGTATGCCTGCGATCTAATCAAATATATCATCGGAAACCTTACCTGGATGCTCTTTGAGAGTCCATTTAAGCCCCAACTTGTCTCCGCGTTCCACGGTGGGTACTTTACCGCGCAGAGCCTCTAGCGGCTGGGTTTGGAGAAGATGTGCGTAATCTTTCCAAGAGTAAACGTGGACTCTAGAGCCAGAAGATCCAGCATCAATAACGATTCCGTAGCGACGATGTTCATTCCATTCCGATTCGCTCCCTATGTCCTGACGGTGAACTAGCAAAGAGGACATTGATTCAATAATTTATCCTGTAGGAACAAGTAAAGCGGTGCGAGGGTAAGAATCCGAGTGTGTGGTGATTTATTCTATTGTTGTCTAGGCCAGTTAAGAAAGCATAATCTTGGGGCTTTTGGTAAAAGATAATGTAGACTTTCCAATGAAAGTTCTGATGAGCGGATCCGATGGCGATGGAGATGAATAAAGCAGGCCTTGTCTTTTCTGAGGTAGCAAAGTGGTTCAGTTGCACTGCAATTTTCACCGGATTGATTGGCGGGGCATATAATCTGGGTTTTATTTTTGGGATTTTTTTTTTTTTGTGACGATCGACGAATACATTCTACAGTAACGTATTGCCTTCAGGAACATAGCAAAAGAAATCTCGCAATTAGCAGTGGATTTGACGACGTTATATAAAATTATCTGTCGACACTAAAAATGAATAGAAGAATTGGTTAACGCAGACGACATAACCTTTTGAAACGGTATTGTTTTGAATGAGCTCATATTTGGATAGTTTTTCCTGCAGCTGCAAGAGCGATCATGCTGATATTTTGCGTTCAAAACACAAATACAAAGGCAAAGGCTGCGCATGACTGAGAAACGAACCTACAATTACTGTGTATTTCAACATGCAACTGAGTCTGACTACAAACTTCTCAAACTCTACTTAAACTGTCCTGTGTTTCTCTAATAATGTCTACGCTTTCCGAGTGCAAATCTTTATGTTCTCTTAATATGTACTGAAGTAAGTTTATCGTCAAATGTATTCAGAACATTGGCTTAAAAAACTCTCTTTCTTTTTTGGAAATGTTACGTTACATATCCGAGCTTTTTCTGGTCTTTTCCAAACTTTCAGAACTACCATTTTCAAAAACGGCAAGATATTGTTTACTGTGTGCATCGACGAAAAAGAGATTGGCGTGGGGTTATTCAACTTGGGTAGATTTCGTGAAAATATGTCAAATATCACGCTGTGCTGACATAAAGTGGGCATCCACACTTCCTGCAACCTGCTGCACTTTCCGATAAGGGTGGTCCTGAGCCTGAGTAAAAGAACAACAGCCGACCATTAAATTACACTCATTCAGCACCTGATTACACGTAAAGGCGTCTTTGTAAGATATACTAATTATTTTCTATAACGATAAGTATATCTTGTACTTTAATGGCTTTGACCATGGTGTATCATGTAATGGCTTTGAAGACAGTGCATAAGATATCGGTTTCAATAGTCCTTAGCATCCTGATTGGTTGCAGATGACCCAATCAAACCCCGTATGAATTGGCAATATCTCTCTTTTTTTTGTTTCAACCCAGCTTTGTTAAGGAACTACATTCCCCTCAATCATAGTGAATGACAGACGCCAGTCCACCTGTTCCGGTAGCAGGTAGCCGGAGGCGATACACTCTCGGTATTGTTGCCTTGCTATTGGTGGTAGTAATATGGGTGTCCTCTTCTTTTGTTATGAATGTAAGTTAACAAAGTGGCACAGCACAGAACACAAAACAGATAAGCAACATAACAGTCTATGCCTCCCGTTCTAACCATTGCTACCATTCAGAGCATTTTCGGCGAACAATCTTACAACAAACCATTCCTCATCACCTATGTCAACACGGCTTCCTTTTCTTTCTACCTTTTGCCATTTTTGCTGAAAAAGAAGCTGTCAAATAAGAAAACTAATCATGTGGATGAACTTAGGTATGTATCATCAATTGATTTCATGATAATGCGATATTAGTTACTCATACAAAATATCTCGTGCGTTGATGCAAACAAAGTGTTTCAGTACCGGTATGTAGTGTCATTGCCTTACAAACAATATCAAACCATGTGTATCTGACTGAATTGTTACTCTCAGATCGAGCGAGCGCAGTCGACTTCAATGGTAGCTAATGATCAGGAGGCATTAGGCGAAAGCTCTCTTTTTCTGAGAGCAGACGCCGAAAACAATCAAGCTCATGACGAAATCAATTACGGTCCTCCTCCAGCTGATAAATTATCGACGAAGGAGACAATCCAACTCAGCCTTACTTTCTGCATCGTTTGGTTCTTGGCCAATTGGTCTACCAATGCCAGTCTAGCGTACACCACGGTTGGAAGTTCGACCATTTTATCGTCAATGTCCGGTATGAACCCAGATGAAAGTCATTTCTCGTCAATTGGAAATTGCGTATTAATGACTTGAGTGCACTAGGTTTGTTCACCTTGGGTATTGGTGCCATGTTTGGTATCGAAAGGATCAATGGGTTAAAAATTGCTGCCGTCTTTGTTAGGTACTTATTTATAGCGTGTTGAAGTGTTTCATGAGGGATCATACATTACATAACTAATTACCTTTCGATTTGCACTTTAGTTTGATCGGTGTATCCCTTGTATCATACGCCGATAAAAACGCAAGCACTCTTCCTATTGAATCACCTTCGTCTCCTAGCAATCCACTTTTAGGTGATATCTTGGCTCTACTGGGAGCATTTTTCTATGGTTGCTATACGATATTGCTGAAAATCCGTATTCAAGATGAGTCTCGATTGGACATGTCACTCTTCTTTGGATTCGTTGGAGCATTCAATGTTGTGCTATTATGGCCATGCTTTGGTATACTACATGCTCTCGGCATCGAGCGACTTGAATTGCCAAGCACCGCTGCGGTTTGGGGACTTATATTTCTGAATGCCCTCATTGGAACCTTCTTGTAAGTTTTCATAGCCATCACTCTGGTTTGTTCCTCACAAGTCAATTCTGATTTTGATATCCCTAGGTCGGATTATTTATGGCTGTTAGCCATGCTCATGACTTCTCCTCTAGTTGTAACTCTTGGATTGTCGTTGACGGTAAGTACTTGATAACAAATTAACGCCAATAGTAAACTGCGTTTCTAATTAATGTTACAGATCCCTGTTGCATTAACTGGAGATTTTGTATTCAAGCATGTGGTACCCAACCTCCAATACTGGGCAGGAGCCATTCTTGTCATCGCAGGATTCCTTTCTGTCAACATGGCTGCTCTTTCAGAAGTAGATGAGGCAGAAATACTGGAAGGTCGACAATTAGTACCTCAAGAAGACCCTCTTGACACTTCATTAGAAGATCGACATAACATATACAACCAGAATATACCCAAAGGTTCACAAAATAGCTTAAATAGCACTGGAAGTTACCACTCAATGGATCAGACCGCCCCTCGATAACCGTACGCCTCGTGACGATAAAAAGATTCTATCGCTAGTATACTTTTAATTGCAGTAATAATTACTCTCATCCACTAGTCACCATTTGCTGGCTAGGTGTATTTCTATTTTCACTTATAAAGTGGTTTGATCGCTGGCTCGGCTGGAACTTGAGCAAATGAATGTTATGCGGTCTAACACTGAGCCTCTGAAAACACCAGAGGCTTTAGCACATGTTCCGTTATTTGGAGATGAAACCCAGCGTTCTAATGAGCGAGTATATAATCTGGCATTTTAATTCCTGTAAACAAGGCTATCTGCTTTGTCTACTCACTTATCTCCAAAAAGATGATACCCCACAAAATCAAATTTTAAAAATCAATGATAATAAAGCATACATTGAGGTATTTATCTTAACGTAAGTTATGAAAATTGGTGATATGCGTCGTTAAAGCATAGCGAAGTCTTTTGTGTCTTAATAGACAAAGTTGATGGTAGAGGGATCAACACCAACGAAGACATCACCACCGGCTTTGCTGCCCTTGATATCAATCAAAACAGCTTCGCTCTGAGGAGCTACCTTCTTGCGATTGCTCTTGATAGTTACGGTTGTTCCTGACTGGGTAACTTTTCCAAGGCTGCTTGAACCGACGGTCTGACCGGCAGCGACATTGAAGGTGAGAGTCCAGGAAGCTCCAATAGGCTTGGTTGCAGCTGCGCGAACGTTGAACAATCCAGTGAATTCTGTGCCACCCACTGCAGCATCATCAACTACAAACGCCACTTGAGCATTTTGACTCTTGGTCTTTGGCACTGGACCGCCGAGAACTGCTTGCAAGGCTTGAGCACTTCCTGAGGGGCAAATCTGGGTGTGACCACTTGCATAGTCGCAATAGACTGAAGCACCATTGCTACTAAGCTGGCAAATGAGACCGGATGAACAGCTTTGGAGAACCCATTTTCCATTATCGCATTGAGCAAATTGCGTTCCAGCACAGCCATAACTAGTGGTACAAGCTGCACCGGCGACGGGGCACGATCCAGTAGATGTTGGAGAGGCAGTAGTGGTGGTCTTGGTTGTAGTAGTAGTAGCCTTGGTGGTGGTAGTAGCCTTGGTTGTAGTAGTGGTCCTATTTTAAAAAATGAGCATAGTTGCATACCATAATTTAGTTGGCAAGTTGTCATATTTGATTCTTACTTGGCTGTGGTGGTGGTGCCAGTGGATGTACCGCAGTTACTTCCGCTATGGACATATCCAGCCACTACAGTGGCAAAGTTAGGGCTGACTTCAGTATTGTCAAAAGCCTCAGATGCGTCCCCTTTAAAAATTAAAAGATCAGTCATTTGCATTACAGTGCTCATGGTAGAGTAATACCTACACATCATTACACCACCAAAGGAGCTGTATTGACTACGAAGAGAAGGAATGGTCGACTGGAGAGTGCTAGCGGTCACATATCCGCTACCGGCGGCGCCCTTGCTTCCTGGGAGGCCAAGGAATACTCTGACATTGGGGTTCTTGGAGCTCTTGGCCCAGGTATCCCAAGTGTTAAAGTTGAAGCTTCCTCCTGAAACGGAGCAGTAGTTGTTATCTATTGTATATAAAATGAGTCATGTGATTTTGTACCTTGACTTGCAAACTATTGTTATTACTCACAGAATTGGACCCAAACAAAGTCATACCAGGCATTGGTCAAAGAGTCGCCGAGCCACTGATCGGGATAAGGACATTGCGGTGCTCCACTGATGAAATACTGCTTAGAAGTATCGGAAGCTAGATCGTGCACGAGCTTTCAGAAAAATCATGTTGACCACGGCAAAATGTCATTCGAACACTTACCATAATGAGTTCTCATTTGAGTAATAAATGCAGCATAACCGGTGTTAGTACCACCTTCGATGTCCAGATCAAAACCGTCAACAACGGCATCGCCAAAAGGGCGCAAGGTTGCGCCTCCATTTCCGAATAAGCCCCAGATCTGGTCGGCATAGCTTTGTGCTTGAGTGTTATTGGTAAAGCCGTAAGTTCCAACAGCACCACCTGTGAAGGAGCACACATGGTATCAGTAAAAATTGACAGAAAAAAAAAACGATTGAAAAGGCTAATCACCCACCAAGAGACAGTAGCACTTTCTTTCCATTAGCTTGACAGGTCTTGATATCTATCGGTTAATTTTGTGATTAATAAAATTGCATGCTATCACCGTTGGCAACATCTTTCTTCCGCGAAATATCGTACCATTTCCAATGGTGGGGCAATGATAGAGATTAGTTCCAGAAAAGTAAGTGCAACCGCCATCCTCGTTAGCAAAGTCGATTTCAGGTTCGCCGCCAGGGCCATAGAAAACGTAGAGGAACGACAAAACGAGAATGTCCACGGTGCTTCCAGAGCAGTAAGAAGCCAAACTCTGTCACAAAAAAATTATGCAACTGTTTAGACATGTGGGAACAATAGATAATATATATAATATGTTAAAGCGTTGTAAAATTGTAAAATGTACCTGTTGATTATTTGATGAATCTTGTCCCCTGCAAGATGAGAGAGTCAGTTACAGGGCATCAAGAGATTCAATAGGTTCAAAATAATTACCAGTATAAAACGTATTGGCCATTGCAAGTGGGATTGTAGGCGCTTACAATGGAGCTGGATAAGAATGCCGCAGCGGTAGCGATCTTTGTTAAGAAACCCGAGGAGACCATATTGATGTAAGCTGAGTATTCAGGACCCTGTCTATCAAATATTTGCTCAATTTATAGGTGTCCGTAGGGATGGTGTGGAACACAAGAAAAGACTGTGGTTCAATCAGACTATGATTTAGTTTCCAGACCCTTGAACGACCGGAATTTTGTGATGCGTACCTTCTGTCCCAAGATATCAATTGTGAACACAATTTACAAAAGCAATTCCACCAGCATACGTTTGTTGTAACACAAAGAGGTTCAGGGTAGGTTGGCGTAAAGGGTTCTGCAGACAAATTAAATGACGAGCATAGCGAGATAAATAAATTTTAATGGTCTATCATTCCTTTGACCATCTCGTTCCTGAATAAAAAAATTGGAATCGAACCAACACTTGGTATGACGTGGAAATCTTTTCCAGTTGAAGACATCTTTATTGAGAAACGAAAGTACTAGCAACTGCTTAAAGGCATATAGTCGGGGGATTACAGAAATCGAGAGCCGAAAGCATGCTGCATGGGAGTTGAGGATAACAGATGTGTATGCAGACCTCTATCTACGGGTCCTTGTACTGCAGCAATCCAGGTAACACCACTTCCATAAGTTCCCATATTAAAAATTACTTCTGATTTAGGTAGAAGTACCTTTTTCCTCCGAGCGTGATCAGGGCCATATGCAAGCGCGTCTTTACTGCTCGACCGATGGCGACGCTTTGTGTGATGTTACAAAGATTATGGTTCACAGACGTGCGGATCGAGTAGTCAATACCAGACCCTTAATTCAGCACTTTTTCATTTTCATTTCATTAAAACTTCTTTTTATGTTGAAAACAAAAAATTGCAGATTTACATTCCCCAATAGCTTTGAATTTATGTTTGACCGATTGTAGAATATGTGGTACCAGAACGCATATTGTTGTGTTTGCTCCATTAGATATATATATATACTTATATACTTTTTGCAGCAATGAGTTTTAAGCCGAAGATTGAAGTACTGGACTGAACCATATGAACAAGTATTTCCACCGTAATGGTGAAGAGCATCTTGTGGCCTAGTGAAAAAGCCGCACACCCCATTGTAAAAGCTATTTCTAGAGATAAGCTGTCCTCTCTTGTGGCCACTTTGCAGTTTCTTCTTTGCTCCTTCAGCCAAACAAGATCCCACATTATAAAAGTAGATCGCAGTAAGCTGGCTTATAGGATATTCTTCATAACGGTACGTTAGTGGTCATAATATAACTGCTTTTAGGAGAAGAACTCTATCTGTAGTTAATCAAAAAAGAAAAAGTTAGCAGGTTACAAATATCATGTACTTAGTTAGCTACACATCGACTGCATCGTTCTAGCAAGTTGTGGTAGAAAAGAAACCACATCCATCGAGCATCTTTATTCGAGAGCAGCTGTAGGCTAAGCATAAGTTCACAACGCTATAAAAAGTCTAATAATATAAGCGTTGCCTTGCCCTACATGGAATTTGGCCGAGGAAACAGGAAAATAAATACACATAGAGCCAATAATAAAATATTATACCCTTATGCACAATTACGAAATGCAGAGTAGCCGAACATCGACCCCTTAAGAGTGCGAAACCCATTATACTTCTGAACAATGTGTGATGGGTGCTTAAATTAGAGGCCAATAGCAAGCAAGGGAATGAGGCGATCCGTTGTTGCCGTGGTTTGCCAATCTCCATTGAATGTCCGCTCTACACGATCGAATTTCATAATCTGATCCAGAGATTTGTCATCGGTGCTCAATACTTTGTCAGCCCAGGAACAGTATAATTACAGCTTATTGTGACCTGCAAATTTACTAAAATCTTTTCCCTTCCCTCTGTCAACTACTATGTCGGATCAAAAGAACGTCGTTGTCGTCGGTCTCTCTTCTTATGGTACTATTCTTTCCCTGCCATAATATTAAATAACTGTCAGTAGTCACTAACCTATTTGTTAGGCCTTAATGTTGCTAAGGAACTCGGCGTTAAATTGCCCAGTGGATACAGAGTCATTGGTGTGGTTAGTGATTTTTTGAGTATTGAAACATCAAATATGGGCTATGGTGCTTAACCAAGAGAATCATTAGGAAAAGAATGACTTCGGTTTCAACCCTGTGCCAGCCTTGAGAGCATCCACCATTCCTGGCTGGGAAGACAAAGTCTTGTTCCCTCTCAACAACTTTTTCCCCTCATCATCCAAGAATCTCGTATTCGGCGGTGTTGCCGTCACTGGCATAACCAAGGACTCTGTCAAGCTTGAAAAGAGCATCACCATTGATGGTGTCTCTACTGATACCATTTCCTACGCATACCTAGTTATCGCTACCGGTTCCCGGGCAGCTTTCCCCATTCGTATTCCTACTACCACTGACCTCGAAGAAGCCAAGGAAGGCTTCCGCGACATGCAAAAGCAAGTTGCCAAGGCTCAAAAGGTTCTCATCATTGGTGGAGGTCCAGTTGGCTTCGAGTTTGCTGGAGAGATCACCGAATATTACAATGGATCCAACGGCAGAGAGAAGAAGGATGTTACTTTAGTCAGCTTGCTACCAAAGTTGTTGCATCCCGATGCAAAGGACAGCACTCATCAAAAGTGTTTGAGCGCCTTGAAGAAGGCTGGTGTCAAGGTTATTTTGGGCCATGGTGTCCAAGATTTTGACCCTAATCAAAACGGATACCTTGGCGAACCCAAAAAGTTCACTCTCGATAACGGAGAAACCGTTGAGGCCGATTTTGTCCTTGCTGGTGTAGGACCAAGAGCCAACACCAACCTTGTTGCTGAGGCTTTCGGAGAAGCTGCGCTTGAACAACCTACTCGCCAAGTCCGTGTTCGCCAGACTTTGCAACTTGTTGATTATGACAACATCTTTGCCGCTGGTGATATCACCAACATCAAGGAAAACAAGATGGCTGCCTGGGGTTCTAAGCACGCTGCTATCATTGCCGGCAACATCAATGCTCTTATCAACAATGCTCCATTGAAGGATTACAGCCCTATGGGTGGACTCGTCATGCTTGCATCCTTCGGAGCAACTCAAGCTTATGGTCAACTTCCATTTGGTCTTTCTCTTCCTTCCTGGCTCGGAGCCAGACTTAAGTCCAAGACCCTCTTCGCACAAATGATGCCAGAATTGCTTAATATCAAGTCAGCATAAACTCAAATTTATTAATAATAGATAATTTCTTACTTTGTTTTAAATACACTTATATCCTATCAAAAGACGTGCTATGGGTTTACATATGGGTATCACGAACGTTTGGCTAGCTCCGCTTGTAATCGATCTATCTCACGTTCTAGTTCACTAAGACTGAGTTTGAGCGTTCTTACATCGTCAAATTTCCTCTGCCGTTGAGCATCCTTCACAAAGCCTGCCACTAACGTTTTCTGCTCATCAAAAGCTGCCAACTGAGCAGTAAGATCATCTATTTCTGCTTGCTCATGCGATGATGGTGTTTTTGCTTTTCCGTTAGCTTTGGCACCTTTCTTAGGTTTGCTGTCAGGGTTCAGGATCCTAGGAAGCATTTGCAGAGGAAACATATTGCGCTGTAGGTAGTGATTAGCAGAAATGTGGATATTTGCTTGCAATCTGCGCATGCTTGAAGAGTGAGCAGGAAGCATGTTGATTCGCTTTGATATAGCATCAAATGCTGCAAAGCTGTCAAGTAAAGATTTTCGCACTTGCCCGGCAAGCTTGAACGTTTCATGCGATTGATTGGATATCTCGTTACGTCTGGAGAGATAAAAGTGATAGTTAGATATTGGATCAATGTTCTGGCGTTCTCAAGAGCGTTATAGAAACATACTCAAGCATCATGACCATATCCTGGAATCGTGGTAACATTTTTTCTATGTTGGCTTTAGTAGCAGAGAGTTGCTGATAGAGCTGAAGTATGGGCTGCGGTTTGGTCATTTCTTCCTTTTGAATTTTACGCCTTCATTATGTTTTACAAGTGAATTAGCAACCGGGTTTTCCCTTCAAGTTCATTTGACCAATACAAACCTAAACACCATTCTCTTGCAATCTTTACATGCGCGAGTTTCTCCTACAGGAGGCTGATCCACTGAGTCTGTAAGAACCTTAATCAGCTGCTGGATCGTTTTCAATGGCAACATGAGAGTACATTAACATACCTGAACTCATATCAAGGAAGAGAGGTATCATGGAAGAGCAAGTTTGGTTGCTACATACAATGCGGCCACACAGTCGACAGTGATGCCTTCTGTTCGTGATAGTAAAAGTTTTGCTACATATGATATGTGGTGTAAGCTATCGGCCGTAGTCAATCAATTGAGAATGTCATAAAATAAAACTTGCTTACTTGCAGAGCGGGCAGTTCAGCACACTTCTATCATCATCCCATGAGACAACAGTTTTCTCCGCATCTGGTATAGACGCGGTTATATATCTGAAAGTTGCATTTGTTGGTTTACACCTCAATTATTTACCTCTATTCTTCAATCCAATGGAGATTAGCCTGTTGCCATTGGATCCGGAGTTAGCTTTTGGACTCAGCAGACTACCAATACTATCTATGGACGAAGCTGAAGTAGTTCTCTGCACCACGAGGTGGTCGCTTCCGGACCCTAAAGTAGCTGTTTTCAACAGCGATGGTTTCTCTAGACGAGATGATGTATCGGATGAGGTATGGATTTTGGCTAGCTAGCAAAAGGCATTTGTTGTTTGAGTATAAGAAATTGCAAGTCTTCCATGTAAAATTTAAACGAGCTTTACCTTTTCTAATCGCTTTTCAAGCTTATTGCTCTCCAAGTGGACCCTGTCAATTGTTTTCATCCTTCTCATCAAAAATAATGCAGTTCTTGAACGTATTGCGCCTTCGTTGTCAAGATAGCCATCTCTTGAGACGTAGCATGTATGACAAACTCTGCACCATATACCATTTGCAGGGTCATGCTTTGCCGACGTGTTCAATTTCATTTCATAGCGGGTGTGATCAGCACAGTACAGCCTACCGCAGCTGGGGAAAGAAAGAAACGGTTGAGAACATATGAATCAGATAAAGCATTGGATAATTAACAATCGGTCTATACTTACTGGTAGCAATGTTGCTTTCCAGCACTGCCTCGGCCAAGAGTTTTACCACAGTGCGGTTCAGAACATCTATCTTGCCCAGTTTCACGCTGCCAATGGTCACGACGAACAGCTTCCATTTGTTGCTCCATTTCCGGTGTGAACATTGGTTGAGCTCCATTAATACTGAGGTTGCTTATGAAGTTGGGTTCAAGTATCTGATTGAATGACTTGCTGATAGAGCTAGCAACGGGCGGAGTGGAGCTTGATGAAGAGCTTTTCTGAGTAAGGGGAGTTAGCACCTTCTTTTGGGCATTTTTGAACCATGATATAAGATCGCCCTTTGTTTCTTCTTCATTGTGTGCTTGGTCCAAATGCTAATAGAGAGACATTCCAGGTGAGCTACTATACAGGGGACACAGCAAGACTGTGACAAAACTCACCAAATTTAAGCGCTGCAGAGATGTACATTGAACTTGGCATATTGGACATAGAATTTCTGAATCAGCAGGTATGTAGTCTTGGTAATTGAATGCTTGCTTAGGTTGCTTTTGCTGGGATGGAGTGGCCAGAGTAGACATTGCCCTTCAAGAGAAGCATTCAGCTCCGCTTCGGGCATTGCAACGATCACGGCTGAGATAAGCCACCCGATAAAACCATAAATTCTTAGCTGGGATTTTTTTCTAAAACAAATTGCTAATTTGCCTTTTAGATCAAGTCAAACTGAAAGCATTGTTCGATAAAGTTATGGTGCTCACTCGTCGCCAGAGTCACCGTAGAGGAAATGATGAAGATCGATTGACCGAATTGCCTTTGGACAAGTCAATTGATCATAAGGCCACCAACAAACCGAAGCGCAACCGGGGAAAGTCTGCGACGGCCAGTGGTAATGAGGAAGATCAGAGTGTAGAAGCTGATGTGATCGCCAGCGATGAACAAGATACAAACGAAGAGTCATCTGGAAAGCCAGAAGCTAGTGAAGGACAAGAGGAGACGGAAGACGACTCCGAGGCCCAGAGTGAAGAGGAAGATGATGAAGATATTGATGCTCTTCTTGACAAAGCTGAAGAGGCTCTTCGAATGAACAGTGGTAGCCAGCAGTCTAGGTAAGAAGAATATTCGTAAATTCAATAGGATGGCTAGGCGATTATCTCGGTCCTTAACAGTTTTCCTTTAATTTTTCACTAGTAGTGACGGCAAAGTCGATTATAAGCGCTTCAAGTAAGTTACTATTTATTTTGACTCAAGTCATATGTACATCATCTAATCGTATAATTTAGATTACCCAAACTCGATGCTGGAATATCTGTTGAAGACCAACTTTACATTGTTAACAACAAGAACCAAGCGAAAATCGCACATGAACTTGCTGTCCTTGATGACGGTGGAGAAGGTTCATCCAATACCAAAGCTTTAAATGTTCTCAAGGCTAGCAAATCAGACGCTCCTCCAGTGTCACGAAAGGATAAACAAAAGGTATATTTTGAATATGTTAATGATGTAGTTTGGTATATGACTAGTCATCTGATGCAATTGACTTATAGGAAAAAGAGGCGACTGCTGGAAAGGGTTGGTTCGATATGCCGAAAACAGAGATTACCCCCGAGATCAAGCGTGATCTTCAGGTCATTCGCCTCCGAAATGTGTTAGATCGTAAGAGACATTACAAGAAGAGTGACTCAAAGGATCCGACGTATTTTCAAGTGGGAACCGTGATTGAGGGACCTACTGAGTTCTTCTCTAGCCGTCTCACCAAGCGTGAGCGCAAACAGACCATTGTGGACGAGCTCTTGGCTGATGACGAAGCTCGAGGCTACTACAAGCGTCGTTTCTTGGATGTTCAAAGTCGAACGCAAAACGGCGGTAAAAAGCACTTCAAGAAGGTCAAGGCTAAACGTGCCCAAAAATGGTAGTCGTGAATTTTTTTTGTTCGCGTTAACTCGTAGTTTCTTATTTTCCAAGCATTCAGCATATTTGATAATTTCCCTTTCATACTTGTATTATACATTTCCATCATTCTCAATATATAGATGCTGTTGGATAACAGCGTATTCGAAGAACCATTCGAACAACTTCAATTATCAAAACATGACATTGGTGCCTTTGAACAATTGCCAAATGCTTCGTCGAGTAATGACAATACCATTTAATCATAATCAATTTCACGCAAATAACTAATCAAGCCTTATCACATAAAGGATCAACGGTTCATGCTGTAGGCAATTCGATGGCATTCCCAATACTGGACGCGCCATATAATCTCTTGGACAAAGTTAACGAAACTACATTCAAGGGACCAACACAACACAGCATTTCAACCAGCCGCACCCCCAGAAAACATGCCGGCCAACTTTCTGAAAATGCACCTTCCCCATCGTTCGACCCTTGGCTGGAATTACAGAACAAAGGACATATGCTGACTCCTTCAACGAGCAACTGTACTTCTTGGGAATCCTTTGCCCTCAACGCGGCGGATACCTTAAAGATGAGATCAAAGCCGCAATTGAAGTCTCCGTTCCTGAGCGAGCTCTCGCTTGATCACTTCCAACGCGTAGAAGAGAGGTATTGTGTTATAAAGATGTAGCTATTTGGATATGTGAAATAGCGGCTAACCCCTTCCATTAGCTACCGGCAATCGACGGATCATCGTTATAATCCCGAAAGTCTGATTACCCACCAATACTTAATTAAAGTGAGTTTGAAGCGAAAAAGTGCTGGGAGAGAGGTTATTTCCACTAACCTTTTTACGCAAAGGACATTATAACACTACTACTAGGAGCACCATCTAATTTATTCGAATTTGACGTCGACAAACAGTCATTTGTTCCTCGTATACCAAACATTAGAACCATGGGGATTGGATCGAAAGGGCTAAAGTCGTAAGTCTCAATCAATGTGTTACCACAAATGCTAAACTGTATCTGACATTCAGCCTTGCAGAGTTATTGATCGATTTATATCTATCGGCAACCAAATGGCAAGGCTGGATAAGATTATCAACACCAATAAATATCGTTCAGGGTAAGTCAGTCGCACTATGGCTATTTGTGTTGTAATGTCATGTTATTGATGGCAGCTCTAGGAGTTCTGTGGCGATGGCATTCGTGGATTGTCTTGCCGATTATCATACATATTTGCAACAGTCATTGCTGGCGATGATTGAAAGAATTGGTGGTATACAAAAAGCTAGCATCATGGAATTATATTATAACATGGAAGATATTTGCTATGTTCTGGACGAATTGGTCAAACTTTGCGAAACGGTTCGTACATTTTTGGTAGACTGACCTGTAGATGAGCTATAATAGTAACCTTTCTTCCATGTTATGATAGACTGATGTAGATGGCAATTCGGTTACCAACTCGAAAGCGAGAATATCTGATAGCAATGGCGAGCTACCAAATGGCGCAGAGTTACTTGATATAATATTCAAAAAGGTCAAGTCTTTAGATACCGCTCAATGTGGTTGCACGTACCTACTACGATCTATTCTTTCGGCATTTTTAACCACTTCAAGTACGCCATACTTCACTCTCATACTTGGATGGCTTGGAATACAGCCTGGAGAACAAAACGAGCACAGAACACAGCAAACATTAATATACGACCAAAGCCTCCAATCTATAGATCCACACCATGAATTTTTTGTCCAGGCAACGAATCACGTTTCATCATCGTTCACGCAAGATTATTCAGTCAGTCAATCGAATATGAGCAGTATTCCAGGGATGTTCCACTCCAATACGGCTATTCAAGATGGTGACCAATATTGGTATTCGTCTTTTCAGGTAATGCGGCTTCCGATCATTTTTCACTGATGCGCATCAACACATTAATCCATAGTCAACACAATAGCTCCAGGATTCTTTGCGACCATGCTTCATCTCAGACGAACTTGCATTAGACATTCTAGAGACTGGAAAATCACTAAGGTTACTCAAAAATCTGTTCCCTGTTGACGGTCCGTCTCTGAACGATTATATCAAACACTTCATTGTTCAAGACGATTCTAAATATGTATTACCTACATGGAAATTCATCATTTTTAATGAATCACAACATGCGAAAGCGAACGGTTGTACAATATCTACGGACGGTCCATCAAGCACCACATTTACACTAGACATAGATGTGTTTGGCAACTCCAACCAGGTTACTACTACCAGGGAGAAGCATGCTTGTGACGATTCTTTTATACTGCCGTCTCCAAAGCGTCAGCGACATAACACTCAAGCAACATCTGATACCCTCAAACCGCCTTTTGCACAAGAACTTTCCTTACCAGAAATAACCAACCCGCCTACTTCAGCCTTCATCAAATTATTAGAAGACTTCCAGATATGCGGATTTACGGAACAACACGAAGCTGAAGAGGCTGCTCATATGCCACCACTCGATGCCGTGACAGCTACAAGTGTAGAACAGCCACTCAGTCGACTTTGCCGGTCTCTGAACACCAGCGTTATGGCATACTTCTTCAAAAATCTGCAATTACTACAATACTTACAAGCACTTCAAGATTACTTCACATTTAAAAATGGCGATTTCTACAGTAATGCCATGGATGCACTGTTTCGCAGTGACTTGGATGAAGATCAACCAGGCGGACTTGTAACGATCGGCTTACCCAAATCCATCAAATCGAGAAAGTGGCCACCTAGTTCCATCGACTTAAACATAGCATTGAAAGATGTGCTGCTAAACAGCTCTTCCAACCTTGATGATCTAGGCTCCAACGTGGCTAATCATAAATTATCTGTGGGCAGATACATTTCATTTTCGGTCCGACAAAACATGGAGAGTGGCGCCAAATGGACAAATCCACAAAGCTTAGAGGCAGTTGATTTCTTGCAACTATCCTATTCGCCGCCGTATCCGCTCAACATTATTATTACACCCACCATCATCGAAAAGTACAATCGTGTGTTCTCTTTTCTTCTTCGACTTTTTCGAGTACGTCTTGTTGTTCAGAATATGCATAAATGCATGCAAGCACGACGTGGAATGTCCAAGACCAAAACCAACGCATACCTTTTCATTGAGCCAGTGCGCTTTCAATTTGCTCACTTTGTTGAAGCGTTGCACGGCTATGTTATGGACGCTGTCATCACCTCCAATTGGAAAGCCTACATGCGTCATCTTGAGGCGATGGCCAAGGAAGCTACAACGCAAACCAACAACGACCAGCATTCATCTAGTGATGCCACTGACAACGACTTGACTGAAACAATAAAGTTGATGATGGATCTGGACACCTTGAGAACATACAATGAATATTTTGTCGAACTCTTGTTGCACCAGTGCATTCTCAAACGAAAACAACAAGGCATCTTGCGAATCATCGAAACATTACTTGGATGCGTCCTTGCTCTTGCAGCCTTGATCTCTGATTTTGATACGGTGTGCTACGATAACCGTGAACCAACTGAAAATGAAATTCGCAAACTTCACCGTCATTGCACCAAGATTCAGAATCGGTTCCATAGTCAAATGAAGACATTGGTTGCTATCCTTGCGTCGCTCCAGGCTCGTGATAGTGGCGATATCCGGTTTTCAGTGGATCAGCGAAGGCTGTCGAAATTGGAAGTCTTTGCAAAGTATTATGAAAAGGTAGCGTCTGCAGATGGTGCGGTCAACTGTTATGAAAGGCTTTTGTTACGGCTTGACTTTAATGGATACTATCAAGATGTACAATAAAACGATGTAGACAATTGTATATACTCTCAATTTTTTTTTTTATTTATTGGGAATTAATGAAAATGTGCGGGATGGGATTTTGTAGATTGGAAAAAGTACAGAGTGTCAATGACATTTTTATCCAAAGACTTTGCGCGTGCTCAATTCGGATTCTTTGCCTTCTGCCTCCTTCAACTTTGCCTTACGCTCAGTTTGGGCAGCCTGGCGTGAGTTGTATTTGGTGGCCTTCTCACGACGGTGAGCAGCACGGATCATGTTAGGACTGACGAATTCAGGATTCTCAAAGACAGTGCTGCCACCGAATGAGCCTTCAAACACACGAATGACAGTCATACAGAAACGAGGTCCAATTTCAACCAACGTAATATCATCCTGATCCTTGGCGGTATAACCAGGGGTGTTGGAAGGATTCTTCTCAACAATCTATACGGATGCAGTAGTTTAGCGACAACACTTCCATATCCCTATCTTCAATCCCTACGCTTCTTACCTGGTAGTTTCTGAACCAGATTCGGTTGTCCACAATAGAAAAGGACAGAATGTGGTCGATGAAAGGCTTGCTTCGTCTTGCTCCCTTTGGAACACCATAAACTTGAGTGAACATCTCCTTCAAGAGCTGGTAGTGAGGTGATGCATCGAAGTTCTTATCGAATGAAAGCATATGGCGTGATCCCTTCAAGGAATTTCCAGTGAGCTTGAGTTCATCCATTGTATGAATGTTTTGAATGTGAAGCTTTGCTGATGGACCATTAGGAGTCTTGCTAATCCACATATACAAATCCTGGCGTTTTCGCACTTCAAAGAAGATACAGTTGTTGCAGTTGCTGAGCTCAGCAAGCTCGTTCAATATATGCAAGTGTGATTTTGAGTCTAATTTGGAATCCTTCTTTGCTTGTGGAAGAATGGCCTCGAGATCGTTCATCAAATGACGATGACTGAAAGAATTTGGTTAACTCGGTGGATCAAAAAGGTGGACAGAAGGGTTCCTTGTTTGAATGCTTACCGATATGTAATACCACGAGAAGAGAGAAGAAGAACTCTCTGCTTATTTATACGTCTATCAACAGTGCCATTTGACTTGTTCTCTGCCTTCTCGCCTGCTTTGGCAGACTTATACACTGATGCCATGTTGGTTATTACAGAGATCTACTTTCCGTACAAAGAAAAAAAAAATGAAGGGAAAAAAATTGGTTGAAGCAAAAACGCAGTCCCAACCTCTTTGCTTCTTTGACTGGCAGCTATCCTTACCCTATGTTTGATCCATGGCAATTGATAGAAATACCCTCGTATCTGTTCAAAATTATTGAATTGCGTAAAATCCAAGCCCTCATGTATATCTCAAAGTTCACTAATAGTAAATATTCGCTATGTTACTGATCCCTTGGGTGGAAGTATAACACGGACCAATAACAGTACAGACCTTACGATATTGTAGCCAATTAAACTTTGACTTAAAATTTCCATTCGCCAACCAGACGCCATAAAAATTATTTTTGGGAAAGTGTGACGGTGCCTTGATTTTCAGCCAGCTGGCGACAGCACAGACAAAACGAGCCATCCAGCCAAACTTACAAACTTCCTCTTTCTTTGACACGATGAAGGCAAGTATCTGCAGATACTATGAATGGATTGATTTCCACAGGAATGGATTACACTCGAACTGGATGGATGATAGATAGATCGATAATCCTGAAAAACTTCGACCTGCCACACATTTACATTCCATCTTCGCCATTGCATGACATTACCAGTACATCACGGTCAGGAGGAAAGCATCATACCAAACTAGGCACCTCAGCAGCTAAAATGTCCACACCTGTAACACGATCCCATAGCATTCAAAACAATACGCATACCATGTCCCTCTTTGAGCCACATTATTAACATCTAGTGTCTTTTCTTTTAACAGCTTAACATCGCCAATCCCGCCACTGGGTGCCAAAAGCTTATTGAAATTGAAGACGAACGCCGCGTGTGAGTGTCCTTTCTCGATATTATCTATCTGTACACCCTCTGCCATCAATATGATTCAGTTGATTGGAGTGATAGAGCTCCTTCTTGCCAGAATCACCCGGATGTGACCTGAGGGTTAGAATGTCCGATCTCGATCTGTACTCATTCCTTATGCTTCCCTCCTATACAGTCGTGTCTTCATGGACAAGCGTATGTCCGCTGAAGTTCCTGGTGACTCCATTGGTGACGAGTTCAAGGGTTACGTTTTCCGCATCTCCGGTGGTAACGATAAGCAAGGTTTCCCTATGAAGCAGGGTGTTCTTCTTCCCCACCGTGTCCGTCTTCTCTTGAGCAAGGGTCACTCCACCTACCGTGCTCGTCGCACTGGTGAGCGCAAGAGAAAGTCCGTCCGTGGATGCATTGTCTCTTCTGACTTGTCCGTCATCTCCCTTGTCGTTGTCAAGCAGGGTGAACAAGACATTCCCGGATTGACCGATACTGCTGTCCCCAAGCGTCTCGGACCTAAGCGTGCTAACAACATCCGCAAGTTCTTCAACTTGGAAAAGACCGATGATGTCCGTAAGTTCGTCATTCGTCGTGAAGTTCAGCCCAAGAACCCCGAGAAGAAGCCCTACACCAAGGCTCCCAAGATCCAACGTCTTGTCACCCCTGTCACTCTCCAACGCAAGAGAAGACAACAAGCTCTCAAGCGCAGACGTGCTGAGGCTTCCAAGGAGGCTGAGGCCACCTACAAGGAGCTTCTTGCCAAGCGTGTCAAGGAGTCCAAGGAGCGCAAGCACGAGATCAAGAGACGTCGCACTTCTTCCATGCAGAAGTCTTCCTCTGCTTAAGTTTGTTGCATTCTTAAAAATTTAGAACAAATTGCGAATGTAGGAAAGCTATAGCTTTTTTTCCAGCCCCATTGTTTTCTAAAATCTGTATCACCCATTTAACTTGAAGCACCCAATAAATCCGTATAAATGGCGGTAGATGTTTAAAAAGCCCTGTGTGTGTGTAGGATTTGAATCGGATTATAAAATCCCCAGCTCGGCACTTACGGCGAGAGCAGATCTCCAGCCAGCATGCAGGACGACTTTCTCGATATTTTACTGTTGCCATGACTGTGTGTGAAAGTCATCGAGTAATTCAAATTACGGTCACACGCACTGAAAGCGCCAGCCATCAAAAGCCGATCGATACTTTTATCAACGGTCACCAGCTTTCAAGTGGTGTGGCACGGCTGGCTTTGAAACTTACAGGCAAGTGACCCCATGTTGAACATGCTGCTCAGAATCGCACGTACATGCTCTAACTAGAAAGTATACGCAGTGAATCTATTTCGATGAATGATAAAAGCTAAGGTAGAACAACCAGCTAGTACGTATGCTTACAGTGGGCCAAAAGAAAAATGCAAAAGAGCGGGGCTGTTTTGGCTTGGTGCGACAACGGTAAGCATTAGAAATTTACGGGCATTCTGAGGCGCTATCTCGGTTTGAGTCTTTTCACTTTCAATCCTCTTTGAAAATGGCTTCCGAATCTCCCATTACCCAGGTACCAGAAACCAATGCTCGTCATCTCGGCCAAGGCAATGATGCAGATCAGTTAATTTACCAACAGCAACCTGGTAATCCATCCGATCCAACCAACAGCTCATTCCCGAATAAGCTTAAACTCGACTTGAGAGGCACTCGCCTTGACATTGACCGAGAAACTCTTGTCAGTCTTCCGGAATCCCTCCTCATTGTCATGTTTCCGAACGGTCTTATTCTTGGAAAAATGCACGACGATGACTACGAAGATGAAGATGACGAAGGATCCAATGACTCTGTAGCCCTGGAAGACCAAGTCAATTACGTCGACTTTGATCCAAAGTGCTTAGACTTTGTATTGCAATTTTATCGCCATGCACAACAAGTATTTGCAGACGAGCATAGAGGCGATAACAACGCTTCGAACTTTCAACAAGGTGCCAACGCCATGCCCATGATCAACCCCAACCAGAATCCCTTGCTCACCAAGCAAGCTATTATCGTTTTACGCGAAGAATTAGAATACTTTGCCCTTCCACTCGCCAACAAGGATGAAAAATCAACTTCTACTGCCAGCACTTTTATGCGCCAGTTGAAAATCGACTGTGGAAAACACTTGCTGGAACGAGACCAGATCTTCACAGCTTTACAGCGAAATATTAGCAAGGAGAATAATGTTGCTGAGCAACACCTAATTGATATGCTGTGTGATTCTGGATTTTCACGGGACGATAAATGGGGATACAGGGCGATGGAACCTATGAAGACTTGCATTGTCAGTATCGCTCTTGTCATGCTCAAGACCACTGGTCCTGAAAATCATATGGCTACCGCTCAGAAATTACTGTTGTTCTGGAGAAAACCAGCGGTAAGTGTTGTTTATCAATTTTGAGGCGGTTTCAAAAATGACAAAATAATGACTCCCCGTTGTAGAGAAAGTGCTGGTGGGATGGAAATGCTGTCGAAATCAATGAGCAGTCAGTACGACTTTGGGCCAGACGAACATGGACTCTCGAACTTGCACTAGTATAAGCCGAACGATGCCCGCCCACTACACATACTGCTTTTATGATACCCGCATCCTACTTCCGCTGCATCCAGATCCACAATAACAAACCGTCATCGTCCATTTGTTTCTTTCTTCTAGTACACTTCCCTCCGATTGCCGTTTCATTACAAAAAGCTGAAGATGCAAAGCCTTCTTTTACAACCGGATACAATTCAACCTTGAATGCCCTGGCATTTAGTTTCTACTTCTTTTTCTTCGATATTTTTTCCCCTACCCCTTTCTCTATGTCTACTACTCACTGTTCCCCTTGGTATTGTCGCTATTTCCCCTCCCCCTTTTTTCAATTTTTCTTCTTGTCGATACCATCTCCTTCATGTCTTGTTGCATAACTTGGCTTCAATACACTATGCTTGTTCATCAAATCAAAGTATGCTGGTCACAGGGAGAACTTTCTTTTTCTTTTATTACAGTATCACTGCAATAGATATAATACACAAATTTCTATTTCTTTTTTTTGGGGGAGGGGTTTGAGTTGCCTTAGGTTGAATCGACTTGCATTTCATCCTCTTTTGCTTTTTCCTGCTCTTGCTTTTTGGCAAACTCCAGTTGTTCTTCCATCATTTGGTAGACGAATTTACCCAAATGATCGACGTCCTCGATCTCGAACGGCTCTGTCTTCTCGTCTACGCCACGAACAGGAGGGTATCTCTCGTTCAGTTGTAGCAGCAACTTGTCAGGTCTTTCAGAGAACTTTGAAATAGTATTGGAGAGCTCAAGGCAGTTTTGGAAAAGCTGCTGTCGACAGAAGACATATAAACCAAGACGAGCCCGAGACATGGCAACGATCAGACGTCGAATGTCTCTAAGATGGCCAACAGCTTTTGTACGCACCAAGGACAAAAGGATATCTATCATCAAAAGCGAATATATCAGTTATGCTGTCAACTACATACAATAAGGAAAAAACACAGTTTGCATCAACTTACAATCGTTTTGCTGTCCTTGGTACTTGTCAACAGTGGTAACAGTAGCTGGACGGCCGAGGAATGGATTCCATGAGCACCGTTGTGTAATGACATCGTTGATCAAAGACACTTGTCCGTTGTAGGTTGTCAGGATTGTGATCTTGTCGGAGGGATATCTAAAAAAGTATCAAAAGTGAGTGTACTGATACACATGCTTCACACTAATATTGTGGAGATTACGTACCCTATTAAGCGCATGTACTGGAAGACAGCAACCACGTATTCAGCTTCACCAAGATTCTGGTAGTAGTATTGCACAGGTTCTGACTCTCCTTTGCCTTGATACTCGTCCACGTTGATCATTTGGTAATCATGCACGAAGCCAGCATTGGCCTTTTGATATTCTTGAAACTCAGAAATGTTAGGCAGATCACCAAGTTGATTATAACGCCAATTATAAAGCTGGGCAATAGTGGACCTGGAACGACCTTGAGCATCTAATTCAATGGAAGGAACACCAAGACGGACGAAACGAGTAAACATGCTTTGCTCCATGTTGCCATATTGCTGGAAAGCCATGTTCTTCACTACAGGAGGCAATTGATTGTGATCACCAATCATAATAACACGCTTCAAGCGGCTACGGCCTTCCTCTGGGTTTTGCAAGAGAAGTGGGATGAAGGTTTCCACTTCGAGAATTTGTGCAGATTCTTCCATAATGACATTATCGTACTTGAACTCGAGTCCTACAAGCTCTCGGCGCTGAAGAAAAATGTATTAGCACTGGGAAGGCTGACTTCAATGTTAAGACATATTGTGATTGAAAATTACCTTGAGTGCCGCATGCGTGCAAGTCATAGCAATAATCTTTGCTTCCTTGGTCAAGAGATAGTTTGCTCTATCTGTTCCGGTTCGAAGCAACTCGAAAGGTCGAATGTCTTCCAATTCGGTAAACATCTTTTCCAAATGCCGGAAGCATCCTTCAGCAACAGTGAGAGCATCATCATAGGCCATGTCGGACGTGAATAATGGCTGAGGAGCAGTAGCGAAGTACAGTGCAAAAGGGAACTTCTGCTCTAGAGCTTCAGTGGTAGCTATTTCCTTTGCGGCAGTTATATACGCGTTCCAAATGGGAAGGACGTGCATGGAGTAAAAGTAACCAGCTGTTTCGCATGTAGAGCCGTGTGCACCTTCAATATTGAGGGACTGAGACAGACGATCAACTTCTTGAAGAAGATACAATCTTCTCTCCAAGAATGAGTTGACACGACCAAACTTTCCAAAGCTTTGATCGGTGTTGAGCTCCTCTTCTCCGTGGCCCAATCGAAGCAAATGACGCTGATCGATATCTGTAAATCAGAGAGCACAGTAATTAGTTATATTAGATTGACAGCGGTTAAAAGAAGGAATGGCTTTCTTCAACATACCTAGTGCCATAATCTTTTCGAAAAGCTGGTTCAAGGCTTGATTACTGTGTGTGATGAGTAGTGTATGCTGATTAGGGAAGTTATGATACAAATTGGCAATGATTTGAACGGCAACATCAGTTTTGCCAGTGCCAGGAGGACCAACAATCATGGTCAGACCAGGATTCATACCGGAATGGATTGCCTCGGCTAGTCACATATAATGCGTTAGAAAGGATGGCAATTTGAATGAGTCTAAACAGGTTGGTCCTTACATTGAGCAGGTGTAAATCTTATGGTGTTTGTCTTAGGAATGTCTTGAGGATATGGTCCCATGTTCAAGGTAGGGCACGTCGACACTCGTAGAGTTTCTTTGGTGTTGGTCTTGGCTGCCCCATTGACAGTTTTTGACTTTTTCTTCTTGGGAACCTCTTCTTCTGCAGCTTCAGGCTCAATGAACTCAACAATGTAAGGTGGATTAAGCGGCTTCTTACTGCCATTGGCTGCTACTATGTTCTATAACATCAATCAGAGCATGTTAGCATTCGCCGTTCAAACTGTGAGATACTGTTGTTAAGCTTACCTTTCCAGGATAGCTCTCCTTTAGATGGTTCCAGTCCAGGTAGGTATCACGGAAGTTGATTTCGCGCACACGATTTGGCATGTTGGTGTAATGGGCACTGCTGGCATCACCGTAACCAAGGAAAACTCTCTGTAACCAGTCAGGGACGACAAGGTCACTCTGCATAAGATCCCGAATAGTCTCCAAGACTGCTTTGAAATTGTTCTCCTCAGGACGTCGACGAACCAACACATTGAACGTTTCATATACATCTCCGGACTCCTTTCTATTGAAGCGATCCATGTCCGTCTATACAAAAGAAGGTTACTTAGTTATTGAGCACCTTGTTCGTTGACCGTAATACACCATAAACATACCTTATACTGATTGGGGTCGAGCAGTACGCGAACAGTTCTAGAGGAACCTGACATCTTGCGGCTAAAGTCGTCGATGCGAGGCTTTCCTTGCTCAGTGATAGGTTTTCCTAAAGTATATGAAATGGAGATCAGATATCGAGTTCCTACTAATAAAAAGTATGTCATACTGTAGAGTAACTTACCATCGCCACCAATGATATCGCAAATCTCACAGCCTCTAATATATTTCAATCCGAAATGAGAACGGAAATCTTTGTCTTCCTTGTACGCTGAGCCACTATTGTCGGTCGCTTGGATGGTGAGTAAGAACAGAACATCATGTGGTCTAAGTCGATCCCATTCCGACTTGATAGATTGAGTAAACCGTCCAATGTCAAAAGTAACGTCAGCTTTGACATAGGCAGGCTGATTTTCGCCAAGGTTAGCTTTGGCAACGTCGACGATCGTGAAGTTAGATACGGCAACAGCCATTCTAGCCCAACCAGCAAATTCAGTCTTTCGATCAGGATATGTCAAGCGAGGCGATAATCTCTTCACAACATCTTCAATGTTTTGGCGAATTTCATATGAAGCTTCCAAATTGAAAAGATCGTGATTGCGAAGCAAATAGTCGTGAATGGTCAAAAATTGTAAATTGAGTTTAGGTAAGGCCAGTGGAACATCTCCTGAATAGAACTGTGCATTGATCAAAGTTTCGCTAAACAGACTCTCCTGGATAGGATGATAAAAGTCAGCGGGAAAGAAGTATTTGTTAAAGATATCGAATGAAACTTTACCTCATTCGGGTACAACGGTGTGGCATTGATTTTGTCAATCTGGCTCTCACGCTTCACAAACTTCGTCACCAATGACTCCAACAAGACATCTCTAACGTCAACATCAGCTTCTTGAAGTGTGGCCGCATCCAGAATCAAATCAGTTCGGATATGAAGTGCGTCACACAATTTAACAAGATCATCAGTTGAGAGTGGCTTGAAGTGTTTCAAGAGATTAGGTCGTGTTTCCAGAGATGCCAAGTTCGCTAAAGGTAAATCAGGAAGAGTTGATCGGAATTGTTGGAAGGCGACATGCTATACAACAATGTGAGTTTTGGCAACATACAGTAATGAGGTCTCATTGTACAAAAACACTTACTTGCAAAGACACAAGTCTGTCACAATGTGCTTGAGTCATATCATTCGTTGTCAGGGCTAGACCAGTGTGGTCATTGACCTCAAACCCAGAATAGAATGTAAGAATATCCAATAACTTCTGCAAAAGCTGAACATCCTGCTCTTCTCTCTTCATGAATGGTGCCATCGTAGCCAAAATAATCACTTGCTGGTCGGCCAACAAGGTGTTGAAGAATCGGCGAGTAGGAAGCTGTGATTCCAGATCGATGAAAAATTCCACGCAACGTTCCGCGAAGCGAATAGTCTCAACTGGAACTGAAATAAAGGATTGCTGAACGTCAATATCGTCTTATATCACGTATCAGTTTTAAGAAAAACATACCATCTCCAAGCTGCGGGATGCTGTATAGAGTTGTAAGAAACTTTTGTAACAAAGTAGAGATCCAATTGGCACCCTTTTCTAAAGCCGCTTTGCTGTCTTTATCTGGTATTATAGGTTAATATCATTTCAAGGTGTTGAGCTTCGTACAAATTTTGAATCAGCTTACCGGCAGTCTTAAGCTTCTTCTGTGAAGTATTCCAGAGCTTTCGAAGAGGCGGATATTCTTCGTAGTAGGCTTCACGTTTCAACTCAGAAATGGGAGTCCAGATGGCAATTGACAGTAAACTTTGAAATATGTTAAAATTAAGCCATATGCAGCATTACACTACCATCACTCCACACTTACTTCATGCATTCCTTTCTAACGATGGGATTTTCGAAACTGCGGTAACAATTAATGACGAACATGAGAAGAATTCGACGAACGTGGATATCGATATCATCACTTTCTTCCAAGAGCAAATCGGTAACGCGTTGGAAAAGTTGTGAGAATTTGTCGCCTTCCTGGGTGATGGTATCTATAGGATTGCTTTGTATTAGCCAATGTTAATTTGGAACGTTTTTTGCTGATCTACAAAGATACTTTACCCCATGGTGAGATATGCTGACGACATTTTTCGTTCACCATAACGCAGATGGACAATACGTGGTTTAGAGAGCTTTTGGTCAAGTCAAAGTGTGGCCAAAGGTACTATAGATAGAATGCATCGCGTTAAATGGAATTGACAAGTATGCGCTGCAAAGCAAATGAGACGCTTACTTTTTCGAGAAACTGCAACAACTCTAGAAGCATGACTTTACGACCGTCCCATGATGTCGATCCAAAATAATCTGCTGCGATCTCCTCAACGATCTTTGCATTCCACTTGACTTTGTGATTGTCGGTGTCCCAGTGCTTCTTTGCAAGAGCAAAGACCGGATCGTTTTGAACATCCACTTGCGTGAATTGTTTACCCTTTCCTCCAGCTAGCGCAGAAGGAGGTAATTCTGTTGGAGCAGCATAGGTAGGAAGCGTCGTTTTACGGCTCATCAGTGCTTCAAGCGTGCTTACACCAGAGAGGACACGGAATAAGCTGAAGAAGCGGTAAACAGGACATTGAAGTCACGTGCTTTATGAAACGCAGTCACGCGTCGCCAAGGAGACCTTGTGGCCCAGCCATGATGCAATGGACTGTCGGCACTCTTTCCTCTTTCTATGACAGCAAATAATAACCTTACCGGGTATCAGCGTACAGCTATCACCTTACCACCACGCTTATCTCGAATACCCCGTATTCATAGGCATCATATCAGATCGCTTGCTTCGCTTATCAAAGAAGCTGCTGAAAAGAACTGGCCTATCGAACAGTGGAAACGCTCCATACTAAAGATCCTTCATGGTGGTGCAGTCAACGAGGATGAAGTCAACTCCAAGGTGCCACATATCAATGACTCTCTTCACATGAGGTAGGTGCTTACGAATATAGAAAAAAACCCCAAAAGGATCAATTTTTAATCAGTTCAACCCCATATCAGTCTGTGTAAAGGCGATAAACTCAAACCGGCTGCTCTTGCTGTAATCAAAAAGCTTTTGCCAGAATGGAGAGATGTTCAAAGTATTGAAATGAATAGAATAAGTGGAGCTTTGACAAAGTGAGTAATGGATTGTATTCAAGATCAGTCAGATAGGCTTTTTACTAACTGGCTGGCAAACAGCGCTGTGTTCTTTGTCACCAGCATACACGGGAAGATCCTATTACGAATTTATGGCGTCGGTGTGGACGAAATATTACATAGAGACAGAGAAATCGTTTGGCTGAAGCTGTTGTCTCAGATGAATATTGGACCACAATTACTCGGAACCTTTGCCAATGGTAGACTGGAACAGTACCTGGATTCAGCAACCTTGACTCACCCTGAAATCAGCGACCCTGCAATTTCTGAAACGATAGCAAATAGAATTGGAGAACTCCACAGTATCGTTGATTCCTTTCCCCCAACTAAGAGCGAACGAGAGTCGCCAGAAATATGGTACAACGTGGACAAATGGTATCCAATGGCTATGCGTGTTGTGACGGAGATATACAAGCGCAAACCGGAAAGTCGAGAAGGCTTACGATCCTTTGGCATCTTGCAGCTCGACACTGAAATTAACGACTTGAAGGAAATCTTAAACAAGCTTGACAGCGAGATTGTGTTTTGCCACAATGATGTAAGTGTAGCCACCAAACATATTATATGGTTTCTTGAAGCCCAACCCATGATTATTTTACTTCTTTACAGACCCAATATGGTAATATCTTGAGGATGAACGATGAAGACGGTGAACTTGTGCTAGTCGACTACGAATACGCTGGTTATAACTATGCTGCTTTTGACATTGGAAATCATTGGTGCGAATGGACAGCCAACTACCATGCTGAAGATCCTGCTTTGATTCATCTTGAACAATATCCTAACGAAGAGGAGCAATTACGTTTTGTTCGTTCTTACCTCCGGGAACGAATGGCACCCAAGGTTTTAAGTGACGAGGAACTAGAAGAACAAGCCGTGCGCTTAGCCAGTGAATCAAGAAAATGGAGTGTTGCAAGCCATCTCATGTGGGGCCTATGGGGTTTGGTTCAAGCAAGTCAAAGCGAGATAGATTTTGATTATTATAAATATGCTATGCAGCGTCTTTCTGCGTTCCGGGACGGATTGATCAAATTGCAAACAGAGTAATTTTTTTTTTACTACCTAAAATAGATGATGTCATAATAAAAACTCAAACCTTGGAAAATCAAAACGTTTGATTCGTGGGTGGATTGCCCTATCATCTTGGACGTCTCCTTTTTTTTCTGTGAGCGTCTCTATTGGCTCAAACACACAAAGTCACCACCTGGAATATATTTCAGTCGCCTCAAGCAGTGAGTATGTCGTTGACCAGTACTATTCAGGGTCAACCTCGAGCATAGTCATGATCAGTCGGCTGAGCATCTTGCCATCAGCTTTAGACTCTTCATTTTCCATCGGCTTCCAAGAACTGTGCAGTAAACTACTTTTTATTAGCGAACTTCCGTGTCAACTAAAGCAAGAAACGCGTTTCAGTATCGGACGGCAATAATATGGAAAGTATGTAAAGTTTTGGATGAGCTATTAGTAATGATATTTTCGATGGCTGATCGGGAAGATAATCACACCTAGCTTCTCAATCGCACTCGGGAGGTGCCAGCCCTATTACTGAACAATTGGTAGGTTACATTCCTCGATAGCCATGGCAGCTGTCAGAAGTCTGACTTATTGGTTGCTACGTTTTTCTACGAACGAAAGAATCAAACATCTCACAGACAAATATCTTATGACCCCTCACATCAGCTTGCCTATGGACAACCTTCTGTGTCAATGGTAAGGATTTATTCGTTTTGCCTTCTTAGCGATCAGTCTGTTCCAACAACATTTCTTTACATAACATCATCTTCTTCCCTAGCATAACCCAGCTCTGTATAGGCATCAAGATCTCACTGCAGCAGCTGCCGCAGCAGCCATTGCTGTAGCACCTTCAGCCACTGCGCAGGCAGCGGAAGAAGAGCCACTTTATGTCAATGCCAAACAATACCATCGCATTCTCAAGCGTAGAGCTGCTCGAGCAAAGTTGGAAGAAATGAATAGAGTAGCTAAAACACGGAAACCGTATTTACACGAGAGCCGGCACAAGCATGCTATGCGACGACCTAGAGGCCCTGGTGGCCGTTTTTTAAGTAGGTTTTACTGCAAAGTCTCACTTTTTTCTATTCTACTTTATTAACTTTCATATCTCGGAACAGCTGCTTCAGAAATCGCGGAGCTCGAGAGACAGGGCAAGTTGGACAAAGATGGCATGTTGAAAATGGACGCTGACCTTTCGTCACTATCCTCTCATGCTGACAATACCCTGCATGAGGCCATGGTGCCCAATGGCTCTCGAAGCTAATGGACATTTTTCACCTTTTATCGACTTGTTATATTTTCCGCTCATAAAACTATCTAAGAAGAAATGCTTCTATTTCATAACCTTTTTCACTTCATTCCTTTGTTGTTTCCCATATACGTAGCATCATCGGGTTTCCCTTCTTTTGTGGTATACATCTTCAATGCCCAACTTCATTCCCCTATCGGTTTTTTCATTTTCCAGCGTCGGTTATGCTGGTATACACGCTTTTTCATTACGAAATTCATGGATAAAAATAAGAATACCTTATGATTAAATAATTAACGAATGGTACTGGATATTGCTAAGTAAGCGCTTTGTTCAAAACGTAATAAGTGGTTTGACTTGTCGGTTACGAAGACTCTGAGTATGTGAAGCCTCCGGGGTAAGGTCTAGCTGTAATAGGGGTCCCTCTTCGCCGGTGGTAGTAGGTAGTGGTGGCTGCGTCTCTGCGTCACGATCTATGTCTCGCACGGTAGGTTTTCGTCTAAGGGATTTGCTGCGAGACGTGGAACTGGAGGCATCTCTCGTATCATGCGCATGTCGAGAACGACTTTGCGATCTTGCCATATGGTTGTCTCGACTGATGGATTTTGATCGTCCCCGCGTGCCTCCTGTCTCGGATGCTTGCTGTAGCAGGGATCCTTCTACAAACTGTACCTCATTATCCAATTTTACTAAAGTACCTCCGTCGTCATGGGGACTGGCTGGTGTCGACCGATCGTCAAGACTAAGTAAAGCTGCCTTGTCAAATAGCCTCTTCTCATCCAGTTGGGCAACTCTTACAGACTCCAAAGACTGATCTAGGCTTCTTGGAAGAGGTCCTGCTCTCCTTGTACCTGTGGACTTTGATGCTCTCGGAATGGGAGGTTTGCTGTGAGGCATGTCCGCTACCCTATGTTTTGATTCCTGTTGCATCCTAGTCTCGGCGTTATGCCGAATAGAGCTTGAGAGCTCATGCGTCGATTTATATCGCCGAACAGTGGCTTTTCCCTGTCCTTCAGGTCGATTCACATTTGTTTGTCGATCCATAAGTGTAGCAGAGCGATGTACTTTGGCAGCCCCACCCACACTATCTTCCGATGACGTCTTATGGTCCAAACTCTGTTGTTCCAGAAGAGATGCACTAGTAGATGGAGACAAAACTTTTTGTATGACGCTTTGGGGCAATGGTGGAAGCTCCACCGGTCTCAATGGATGCAGTACCCGCTCAGGGTCAGAAGCATAAGCTGCAAGATTCTAAATAGGTAGCAATGGAGTGAATACATAACATGCGCAGCAGGACAATAAGAACGTAGTCACCTACCTTGCATTGCCTTAGACATAATACCCAGTATCGCATTATCTCCATTGTTTCTGCGCAGAAATAGAATACAAAATCCTCCGGGTTTTCAAATATCTTGGCCTTCTCCTGGGCTTTAAGCGCAAATCCATATGCAGTTGGATCCTTTTTCATGGGTACCATAAGGGTGTACACATCTACATTGGAAAGGTTGATAAGTGGAGTATCGCCTAGTTTCTAGACAAGCAAGAGTGTTAGATGATGAATGGATGGCATTCTCAGTTCATGCTGTCTGTACCTTGCTATCACGTCCACAGTAAATTCCATTCTCCCTGACCGCAAAAAATCTCTTATTCCATTTTCCTTTTTTGTACTGGAAATGTAATGGGCCATTTGGCGGCATAAAGTCAGATTGATTCAAGATGCTCTATTATTGGATTAAATGTCAGTTTCTATCAATAAAGCCAGACTCATTTGAATGAACGACAGAACATACCGCTGAGGTTAATGTCGACTTGTATGCGTACTGCTTAATTAATAGAGCATTCTTTTCATCTTGATCCCACGTTGAAAGTACATCAGTCACGATTTCCCAGTCCCTGAGTGGGCGTTCTTATAATTCGTAGAAAGGATAGAAATTTTGCATTGACAGTCAGCGGCCAAAAATAGGTCTGCGTTAAATGAAGGAAGAAATATCTTGGCTCACCAACACCAACTTTATTGGCAAGTTCAAACAAAGTCCAGCTCTGCTCATTGTCGATCACAGATCGCTCTCTTAATGACTCCAGAACCATAGCGGTGGTCATTAAACTGGTCAATTGCATATTGACATATCGTGAGGAATCATAAATATAGATTCGACTTGCTACTTTGTGAACGGCTGCAAGTTGAAGTTTGTGTAAGTCGGATTGGACGTCGTGTGTCCCACTTTTCCCTGAATTCTAAGAGAACCAAAATTTGATTAATCGAATTGCAACTACTAAAGCCTAAAGCCATGTGTGTGCTAACCTCTGCAGTATGTGATTTGTGAGTTCTAGTAGTGCTACGTCCACGCATGAGGCCGCTAGTATCACTATCAGAAGGAATATTTGATTTCGGTGGTGCATCTGACGCTAAATCACGCCTTCTATGATGATGTTCTGTTTTTCTACGAGCCAGACCGTTCTGGCTGTTTGAAGTGGAGTGAGAAGCCATGGTTTTGGCTCTAGACAGGTTGGTATGATCTCCTCTGGAGGTTAAGACTCTTGCAGCATGCTGTCGTGCAGCAATGGCGACGGGAATGTCATCGTCGTCGGATGAATGCATTGAAGAAGAAGAGAGTTAGCGTGGTTCCATACTGTCACTTTTTTCCAATTTTAAACCTTTTTCAGCGGCAGTCGGTCGGACCATAATTTTGAAGCTGCCTGGCACGGTAGACATATGACAAAGTGTCAACGTCTTTGACACTCGTTCCAACTTGATCATGTCAACCCCTCCACCACTACATTACTATTGGTACTGGAATTTCGAGGCATTTTCTCTATAAATGTTAATCACCCATTCAACCCTTATTCAATTCAACAGGTTCCATGCCGTTGACAAGCCGTTAAGCGACCCAATTCAGCAAAGACGCGAACAGAAGCAGCAGCAAACTGCCCCACTATCGCCTACAACAGTGAAGCCTCCCAGTGAGGACTCATCAAAGCTGAATAGCACTCCCCAAAAATGGGTACGCTTTTCAACTCGCGATAATGAACTTCTTGAACAGGCTTTTCAGGTAAGTAATAGGAGGTGATATCAGGAGGCCAACGGATATTTCGAGAGCGATTGAACAATTTATTTTAGACTGGTACACCGAAAACTGTTCTTGTGAATGAGGATCAACTATTTGAGGTCGACATAGATAAGCGAGTCATATCAGCCGCTTATTGGGAGAGTGCCGTATACAAAGTATGCAGGGCTACTTGGTTTACCAGAGGAAAAGATGGTTCTCAATGGATGCCTTGCGATGAGGAGTTTGCGCAGCACATTGAAGAAGGCTATCGGTGAGGCATAGGGAAAATTGTCCATGAATAACGGAGTTTACAGCGAATGGCCACAATTAACTTTCCGTCTTGAAATTCAGAGAACATAAACCGTGGAAAACGGATATCCATATCCCCATTATACCCGCAGCTAGCATTGCAGATGCTCCAGTACATATGCCAGGTTTTGATGGATTAGATACCCCTTTAACATTGGATGATGCGGAAGCTTCGTCGATGGAAATGAAATGGCAGCTTGCTGATCCCAATACAGAGGATTATATTGTGTATACCAGCGCCGATACGGCATGGCTGCTCTCGTAAATACCATCATTCCACTTATTGTAGGATGGTAACATGCACACTAACCAATTCGTTTGACTGCACAGAGACACTACTACAAGCAGAATCACCAAAAGTATCTTCATGACGCTGACAAACAATCAGAATTTGGGCGGAACAAGATTGATAAGAGGCTACCCAGAAGTAAAACAAGGTGAATCTGTCGGTATAGGCAGTAAGTCGAGGCAACAATCCATATCGGAAGGCAGTGAAGATAAGGAACCGGTCAGCCCAGAAATGACGGATAGCGAAATGAAAGATTCAGAAAGAAGAAAGCAAGAAATGGAAGATTATGAAAACGAAAAGTCAGAAGACACACGAGAGATCGACCACTTGATTATTTGCATCCATGGGTGAGCATTTTGGCCATTTCTCTCAAACCAACCATGATTATGGCTAAACCTTGCTTACACTTGCTTAGAATTGGACAAAAAATGACGGAACGTCTGGGCCTCAACTTTATACACGGTGAGTAAGAGCGTTTCTTACTCCAACAGCGCGCCTTTAAAACTCATAAAAACGATTATATCAACAGACATAAATGTTCTGCGAAGAGGAATTAAGGAAATCTTTGCAGCGTCGATAGCTGTCACACCGAACCCCAAGAAAAAAAATGGCATACAAGTACTACCAATTCTTTGGCGGCACCAGATCCGCTTTGGACTGGGCAACGAAGATGAGGATGAAAAGAACGATATGAGTCGACCAGATGTAGAAGAAGGGCAACCGACGCTTGAGGAACTTACCATCGATGGTGTACAATCAATACGGAACATTGTGTCTGACGCGTTACTGGACAGTAAGTTACTAATTTAAGACATGAGAAGATTATAATTTACTGGATGCTCAGCTGGTATTTCAACTTCAAGTCCCTCTTTATATGACAAAGTATCGGGATCAAATGTTGTCCATCATCTCTGGAGAAATCAATCGAGTATACAACCGATTTTTGAGAAATAATCCAGGTTTTTTGGCACGGGGCGGCAAAGTATCAGTCCTTGGACATTCACTCGGGGTATGTTGTTCTCAATTACAATGGTACAGTGCTGTTAACTTCGCACTAAACGAAATCTTTCTTTGAGAATCTAGTCAGCTCTTGCATTTGATCTTTTAACGCTACAACCTTTCGACGAAGGAGAGAAAGCTAGAGTTTTGGATGGAGAAAACAGAAAAAATAGATCGTATATATCTTCTCAGTACAATCCTCATGATGAGTTCGCGGATAGGCTCCCACCGCTCAACTTCACCATCGAAAATCTGTTCTGCCTTGGTTCTCCAGTGGGTCTTTTCCTACTAATTAAAGGCAGTAAAATAGCGTCACGAAAGCTTCTTCAGCATGACCGATTGCACCTTGAATCGCCTTCAGCAAATCCGGTCTGTTATCCAGATTGTGAAAACATTTTCAACATTTTTTATCGGTCTGATCCTGTTGCATACCGCTTGGAACCACTCATTGCACGCCACTATACAGCGAATCTCAAACCCGAACCAATACCGTATCATAAGGGTGGCCTGAAGGGAATATTTGATGCTGGTTATAATGTCGGATCTGACATTGCCAGCAAGGCTGAAGCAGTGATTTTTTCCTTACGATCTAGTGCAACCTCTTGGTTTCGACGAGACGAGATGCCTACAGCGGAACAAAGAGATACCATCTTGGATGAGCCCGAAGAAATATCCATGTCTAATCTACCTCCTCCTACTCCAACTACAATGCGTTCTTATGCTACTGGTGCCGAACGCCTGCGGATGCTGAACAGCACCGGGCGTGTAGACTACTTTATCCAAGAGGGCATACTAGAAAACTCATATCTCAGTGCGCTACAAAGTCATCTCAGCTATTGGAATGACACTGACGTAGCTGCCTTTCTAATTAGATCTGTTTACAAATAGCTACATTGAGTCGTTTACAATAATTTCGTAGAGCTGATATTGTCGTGTCGAGTCCCAGCTTGCCTCGATAGGTTTCAGACATCACTGGTGGATTTGAGGACCTACCGTCCCTACTTTTCGCCATATTAGATATCATGAAGGATTATATCAGAAAGTCTTTAATAAACATACCACATTTGATTCATTACCTATAACACAGAATTGGCTACATCATATACTGTTTATTGATTAATACAGCTTCCCGGGTGCTCATCAACATAACCTATCAGGAAATTGGAATGATTCTCTGTTAGCTTAGCCTTACGTCCGACTTCTGGCTCTTTGCCACTTACCGGTAGACGTCGTTACTCACCGTCATTGCATTTTTCAAGATAATGACCATGCTGTCCTAATGTTGATCCCAATCAAACGGGCGGGTCTTTTGCAGTCTTTCCCTGCTCAATCATGTAGTCAATCAATTGTTCGCTTTGATGCGCAGTGTATCATCTGTATGGTCCTGTCGTCTTTGGTTCACGTACCCGTTTGGTGGAGAGTTTAACGACCACTGCGGACACTACTGATAATATCTGTTGTGGTGCCACCATAATAGTATCAACATCCATCAACTTCTCAACGGGACTATCAGCGTCATCAAACACGCTTTCGTTTCCATGTTCCAGGCTGGCATTCCTCTTCGATCAAAGTCTCTACCGGTAGCATGTTATATTCTGTAGAAGCGGCATTACAGTATGACACAAGATCATTTTTTCGTCTTCAACATTAGAATTCTTATTGTTTTATATGGAAAGAGGAATTCGCTATTGCTAGTGACATCGCAGCCTATAGATTATGGCAATAATACAATCATGAGCAAACAAAGGGCAAGGACCTTAACCGCAGAATATGCTAAACTCTCTTTCTTCGTATTGACTTTTTCTTTTTTTTCATACAATGTACAGTGGCAAAAGCTTGATGGCGAAATTGCAAAGTTAACAAAACTTCCAGCGATTTCCGCACAAAACGCAGGTAACAAAGGTCGTCATCGGCTCATCGGCAGAACGAGTTTGCATCTAGGAATTATGGCCAGTCAGCAGAATGAAGTATACAATGTTCTAGCATCGAAAAAGAACGTACCTGGAAATAAGTAGTCTTACGACCTTTGCATTTACCACACATAAACATGTCCGTTTCTGCTTGAGCCGATCCAGCGCCTCTAGCATTGAACAAGGCTTCTTCAGCCAACTTGCGGTCCTGAGCTTTCTTCTCCTCAGATGCCATATCCTATCAGGCATTATCAATAATCAGATCCTCACAATGGAAAGAATAATCTCACACGACTATGGCGCTTACCTCTATGCTCATGGTACAAAGCTCTTTGATACTAAGCTCACCACTAACGACACTCTCTCGTAGACCAGGGTTTCGCTTATTTTTGAGATTGAGAATCAGAGATCGAACCTTGTTCTTATATCCATCTGTAACGCCTCCATAGTCTTCAAACAAAGTAAGTTCTATTTTCTCGGCACGCTTCATAAGCAGATCGGAGTCTAGTAGAGAACATGTAAAAATCAGTGTCATCGACCTTTTTCATGGCTAATTGATTTTCGCATCCTACCAGCAAAGCTTCCAAGGCCAATAGCAGCATACACCATTTCTATGGTTTTGTCACGAGGGGTATTTCCTGTTGGCTTCACTCGCATTTCATCGCCTTTCACAGTGCGTGCAACAACAGGTGCGTCGGATGGCGTATTAGGGCTTGATGCTATTGATGATGCAGCTGACGGTGTAGTACTATTGGATTTTGGTGCTAAAGATAGAGATCAGAATACACTGATAGTGAACTGAATCATTGTTGGTTCGGAAACTTACTAGGCTGAGGGTCAACCTTCGCTGGAGCCTTCGGTTGCGGCGTAGACATCACATCGTCTTTCCATTTTTTCACAATTTCTTTGGCTCGTCTGGATACAGCAACATCGGAGTGTGTCCTCAGTTTTCCGAGAACTTTACCAATGTCCGTTTTCTATAAGCGAAAATGGTGATAAAAGTTAGCACTGGAAAGTTTGTCAGTTGACAGGTACACCATGATTTTACTTTCAGTAGATCTTGAGTAGCCTTGACTTTGGCTAGTCTATCCATAACATTCATCAGGTCCTGTAGGTTGGTATGTGATTGGCATCACGCATGTCGGTTAGTAGATCGTTCAATAGAAATTACAAAATTGTTCATTGTGGAGGCAAACATGCCACGAGATTCTACTTAATGAGAATCGAAAGAAGTCTTATTGCGATCAACATACACTAATTCTACCATCTTCGCCAGCTTTAGTCAAAGCCCTTTTGGCTTTGGTTATGTCTTCAACTGTGGCCATCGAGATTCACGTACTCTGCAAAAACAGAAAAAAAATCCCCAAAAAAATTTCCCCGCGATACAGCATTTTTACCTCGCCATGCTTTGGCGATCACATGACTAGTAATGAGTTGACCAAGGCGATCGATGTACATCGACGTTGAACCCTATTCTGATAGAAATTGCTCTTGAAATAAGCTATCGTTTCTGAACGCTGGTAAAATCCTTTACCACACATTTTATTCTTCACTGTATTATTCCAAAGTAGAATTGGGAGCCATATCTTGCCCTATTTTATCATAGGTACCTGAGAGTCACTTTATTCAAATGGTCCACATAATTATGTATCGATATAGCAATTTTGTTTATAGATTCCTCAGACGCTGATAAGATATCTGGGCAATAGGAAAACTTGGTCTGTCATAACAATAGTTTATGGCTTTATCTAATGATATCAGTTAATTGTTATAGCTATATGCATAAGATTATTCATCTTCGCTACCAGAAAGTAATGGCACCTGCGGTGAAAGATTAGACTCCTATTTCTCTTTTTTACCATTCTGCGACGGAAAGTGGCGATATAAAAAGTCTGATCTTTCTAGAGAGTTCAGCCGTATTGCAAAGTTTTCTAGTTGTTACTTCGGTGCCACGAATTGCGTTATGGCCAAGGCGGGCCAATCATCGCAAGGCCAAGCCGCCATTCTACACTCCGGTATAATACAGTCTGCATACCGCAATCGAAATGACCGCTCGACACATGCATGCCATCCAAAGTTGAACATGATAGAACATGCAATGGCTCGGGTTGACCTTGGCTAGTATAGTTTAAACGAGTAGAGACTTTTATGGCCAAACTCTCGTTGACGGTTTTCAGAATCGCAGCAGACCAAAGGTGCTGCAATTGACTTGAACGCAATTGAATCCAAAACGGACTAACATCTTCTCGGAATAATGGTGTACAACAACCCATTTACCAATTTTTGTTGAGCGGTGATCATGGGAGAGTTTTCCAACCTCAATGTCTGTGCTCGATTGGCAGCTGAGATGGGACTGGGCTTGAATTGGAGATCACGCAATTTCGTCCTCCAAGCTTGCGCAAGCACTTGTAAGCACATACAATAGAAATAATTATATTATATGGTTTCGGGTCCACCTCACCGCTTCCTTACCTTTGTTCCTCGACGACTTCTTTACTCAGCAGGCCAAAAAAAAAAAAAAAAGCTGGTTTCTCTCTTTGTTTTATTATTTTTTATACATTGGTTCCATACTCTCCCAATAGAAACCCTCTCCCTGCGTTGCCTAAAAAAAAATCCAAAAAAAAGGAACGCCAAACAATTCGCACTAGCAATAAGTCGACCTATCTGGACATGAGAGCAACAATATCCGAGGACTTGAAGTCCTTTTCTGGGCAACCATTTCCTCTCATCATGTCAAACGACGACAACATGATATCTAATGAAGAAGATGCAGTCAGTTGGATCAAGGATTACAAACCGGCAATATTAGATTGCTTGCAGCAACATGGTGCAGTCTTACTTAGATCAATGCCACTCGATGTACCTGAGGCGTTCTCACTCTTTGCACGAGCATTCAACTTTCCAAAGTTCAGATATATCAACGGCGCCGCTATCCGCCACAAACATGCTATCGAAGTCTACACGGAATGCGAAATCGATGCTAGCCTGTATATCTTCCTTCATCATGAGTTAGCTCAATCCACTGAATATCCTAGATATGTTCTCTTTTTCTGTGAACAGCCTGCTGCCAACGGAGGAGAGACAATGCTCTTGTCGTCAATCGACTTGCACGACAGAATCGAAAAGGAAATGCCGGAATTCGTCAGAGAACTGGAAGCCAAGGTAATGCCTAGCTCCTATCTGTTGAAATTGCAATATGACAGTCATGACTAATCTAGAGCATGTCAATCAGGGTGTGTTGTACACAAGATATATGTCCGAGTATGACATGAACGACGGGAATGGAAGGGGTTGGAAAAATAGCTTGTGGTCCAGCACAAAAAAGCAAGCCGAGGTAAGGACCCAATTTTTTTATTTAAAGGTGGCGCCTCCACGACATGCATTATATTAACCTACTTTATGCTGTTCTGCAGAACGAAATGACAAAACTTGGTTTGACCTGGGAATGGCTTCCAAACGAAGGGCTGCTGACAAAGCTGAGAGCGCCAGCGATACGAGTTCACCCTCAGCATGGCCGAAAAGTATGGTTTAATCACATAACAAACAACCATCAGATCATGTAGGTCACCTTTTTCCTCCTCACCACATCCTCCGCCAGATCCTATAAAATAGTCAACTTAACCTTTTCTTTCTGTTATACAGCTGCCGCCACAAAAGATTACATCCAGAAGCCCTTCATTTGAGCAACGTCACTTTCGGAGACGGTTCTCCGTTCCCAGAGGATAAATTGCATCGAATTATTGAAATTCAGCAAGAACTTTGCTACGATGTACAGTGGAGACATGGCGATGTACTATTAATTGATAATTTTGCTGTCCAACATGGACGGCGACCGTACGATGGATCCAGGAGGAATGTCTTTATCAGTTCCTGGGGAGCTGAGGACGGCTCAAGCTTCTAACTTACTTAGTGTTATACCGTTTACTCAGAGCTGCCAGGAAATGAGTTGTAATTTTGAAATATAGACTCGCAAACATGCGAAATAAAAAATAACAGTATGAATCCGATTTATTGTTGAATATAGTATTCTATATGGGTTGAGGTATACATGATGTTAACTTTTGACGCGAATATACATTATTGAGTGAGAAAACAAAACCAGCAAGTAGACAAGAAACAAAACAATCTATTCTATCTTTTCCTCCGTCTGGACCAACCTAATTGTGAATTGCATCACGCCAGGATCGAAGGTTTTTAGGGACACGTTTCCATGTTGAAGGCTTGAGTATGCTCACACCTTCAAGTGGGTCATCTCTCTTACGGCCTTCGAATTCTGCATTGTGCCTAGATAAAATACGACTGTTTAACACAAGAACTTTTCTAGCCATAAATGAATCTATGCAACTTACAAAATGATCTCTTCTCGACCGGTTATTAAGTCCACCTCTGCTAATGGGATAAACTTGGTTTTCATGATGACCTTGTAGCCAACATAGAGCACGACGACAATGGGTACGCCAATGTAGCAAGCGACTAGCGATACAGGATCGATTGGATCCACTGACCAGTACGAATAACCTTGTCCTACTAAAACAAATGTACACACCGCAAAGGCGAAGATAGGGCCGAACGGGAAAAGTCGTGCTTTAAATGGTAGGTCATCAACACTATAGCCTTGCAAGACATAGGCTCGTCTGAATTGGAAGTGGCAGACTGCTATGTTCAACCAAGCGATCAGTCCAGCAACACCGGAAATAGAAATCAGCCATTGATATACCACACCTACAATTATATCATTAAAAGGTCAGTAGCCGCACAAGGTACCTCAATGTTACCCCTTAACCTACCATTTCCGAAGAGAGAAGACAAAAATGCCAATCCACCTATCAAGGTAGTCAAAAGGACACAATAGATGGGTACGCCTTGTTTGGTCAATTTTGTGAAGATTTTGGGAGCCCGACCTTCAGATGCTAAGTCGAACAATGTTCGGCTAGATGCATACAATCCAGAGTTACCAGCCGATAATACGGTGGTAAGAATAACCGCATTCATAAAATCTGCAATATGATATGTTAGGTCAATCTATCGTACTTGCAATATGCAGTAACCGAACTCACCATCAGCGCCAGCTAAACCAGCCTTTTGGAAAACCAGAGTAAATGGCGACGTAGCGATGTTTTCAACGCTGGCAGATAGCAGGGATGGATCATTATATGGAATGATCAGACCGATGATAAACAAGGAACAGATATAGAATAACAAGATTCTCCAGAAAACCTGCTTGATAGCTCGAGGCACCATTTTGCGAGGATTTTCAGTTTCTCCAGCAATGACACCAATTAGTTCAGAACCTTGAAAACTGAAAGCCGCTAACAAAAATGTGGTGAAAACACCCATTCCTTGGAATGCGCCAAGTTCATAATTTTCAAAGCCATATACATGTCCTCCAACAGCTCCGCTTGCCACCAAAATACCGACGATGATGAATATAATGACAGTTATGACCTTCAGTAGTGCCAGCCAATATTCCGTTTCACCTGAGGTTGATAGTCAGAATGAGATCAGTCAATCGAAACTCCGCTTATTCACTTTTGGCCATCCTTCCTCACTCACCATATCCTTTGACCGAAAATAAGTTCAGTGCAAGCATGAAAATCAAAAAAATAAGTGACCAGATCCAGCCGGGTACATCTGGTAGCCAATAAGCCATGATAATAGATCCTGCTGATAGTTCTACAGCCAAAGTAACAGCCCAATTGTACCAGTACTATCGGTAAACGTCTGAGTTAAACTGTCAAACGAAAAAAAAAAAAAAAAAAGTGGGACTCAGCATGAACGTACGTTCCATCCAAAAGCAAATCCTAGTGCTGGATCGAGGAAACGACCGGCATAGTTATTGAAACTGCCAGAAATAGGGAGGTAGGTGGCCATTTCACCAAGGGATTCCATCATGAAATACACCATAACACCAGTGATAGCGTATGCAACAAGAGCACCTCCAGGACCGGCTTGGGCAATCGATGCGCCTGAAGTCAAGAACAATCCTGTGCCAATAGTACCACCCAACGATATCATAGTTAACTGCATTGCGTAGGTTGTCCGCTCGTTAGTTCGAAGAAGTATAGAATGGTGTTCATGCTGACTGTAGTCTGGATCTACTTACATGGCGAGCTTTCAATGCTCTCTTCAATTCATGTGGTTTCTCTGGCACTTCGGTCCCTTGAGAACTGGTGACGGACTGTATGCTGACCGTGCCATCGTCGTTAAAGTTAGACAATTGCTTGAGTTTAGGAGATTGTCCAGTTATACTACGACGGGTCTTCATGGCCTTCATCGGCACCATTTGCTCATCTATCACAGAAGAATTCGTCTCTGATCTTCTAGGCATTAGAAAAGATGTTCAACTGTAAATAGTTGTTTAGAAGAAAAGAAAGAAAAGAAAAAACAGTTGGATCCAAAAGCTCAAATATGGCAAAAAATTGCTGATGGTCGGAGGGATCGGAATTTTAAAGAAATTTTTTTGACGTCTGAGAATTACATTTTGTAACTTTGACTTGCCATATTTTCGCTTAAAATCAAGTTACCGATTGATATGAAAGTTTGTATGAAAAGAAGGTCAAAAATTATAGATAATAAAGGATCAAGAAATTGTTGAGAGTACCTCAATGGTCAATATATACGCTGGACAAATCGCTACTTCCATGAACAATAGTGTCATGATGAAGTGTATCCTTCTGATAGTGCGTTGTCTGGTTTTATACATGGTAAACGAGGTACTTTTTCTTTCTTATAAATCTAGTACAACGTTTTTTACTAGTGAGGAAGCAGGTGCTCATCTAGTCTTGAGAGCTGAGATGGACCGTTTATGCGGATCGGACTTGGCTGCACGATATCAATGCTTCGTCCGTTCATTTGCAATGACGAAGCCAAACAAACACCCCTCTTTTAAATATTGGCTTACGAGCATGGCTGTAAGTGGTTTCATGGGATAGTGTCATCTCAAGTGAGATGACCATGATTGATAGGCGAACTTGTATAGAAATTTAACACACCATAGCATTTACATCAAAACAAGGCGATAAATTCATTGTCAGGTCAGATATTGACATTAGGGATCATATCAAGATGATTACTGCTGAATGATTGTTGTTGTTGCTATCTACACGTTTTCAGAGAGGTAAATAACGCTCAGACTGCAAGCCACTGACCTGGCGGGCTGGGTACTTTGCACTGTGTGACTGCTACTTAGTATGCCGCTCGCGTCCGTGAGTTGGATGCACGCGACCGGTCGCGTTCACTAACTTGACAATACACCCGACCATGCTCAGGTAAGGATTCATTGTCAAGAATATACCAATCATAATAGTTGGCTATGGGAGAACTCACCTTCTTTCTGTGTTTACCAGCTCAACAGCTGAAAACTGTCCTACGACACCAACTCGTACACCACGACGAGAAACAGACTACACCCCTTCAAAAAAACGCATGACCAATGGCCCCGGAACACCTAGCCGGGCACCATTCAGAACCCCAATGCATTTTTCACCCACTCGAAACTCTACGAGTGAAACACCCCTTCGACCTGGCCAGCCTCTCATTACTTCCCTTGCAGCTTTGGCTGGCACTAATGTAGCTAATACTTCCTTCTACACATACGATCCTGAGAACGAGCCCATAAAAGCTTTCCTGCGAATAAGGCCGAATCTTCAGCAAGGAACTGAAAAGAATCCCTACATGGAGGCAGTCAGCGACGTAGAAGTATCTATGCTCCCGCCAGAGGTACGTCAAAATTTAGATATGTCTTGAAACGGAAAAGCTGTAACTGACCTAGCCTTCCTCCAAAGCATTCCAATGCGTACAGGACACGTAACAGAGCGCCTGAGCGATACAAATTTACAAAGATCTTTCACGAAGACGTCTCGCAAAAGCACTTCTTTGATGAAACCGCATTACCGCTAGTTGAAGACGTTTTGAACGGCGAGAATGCATTGTTATTTGCATATGGCGTCACAAATTCTGGAAAAACATATAGTATACAAGGAACTAAAAACGATAGTGGTATCTTGCCAAGGTCGTTGGATGTTATATTCAACAGCATCAAGGAATACCAAAACGATTCAAAGGTTGGCGAGCGGATAACGTTGCAATACTCAATTTATAACAACGATGGAACTAATCTTCTCGTGCTACAGCTCAAACCCATGATGCATAGTCTTATTGTGCCATACAAAGACGAAAAAGAAGAATGCCGAGATATTTTAGAGCGTATTGGTCAAAACCGACTGGCTCACCCCGACTCAACGGTGCGTAATCTCGTCATTTGTATACTGGTAGTCTTCTTACTTAACAAAATGCTTCCAACAGAATCCCAACATGAAAAATGAGATGCGAGATTACGAAGAACGAGATCGAACAGGTGAGAAAATTATATTGACTTGAAGAGAGCAATGAAATATGTATCTGACTACGCTTCCAACAGTCGTCCCAATAGACACCAAATTTGAGTACGGAATCTGGGTATCCTATTCAGAAATATATACCGAGAAAATCTACGATCTCTTGGTTTCGCCATCTCATGACTCCAGGCGAACTTCTCTACCATTGAAATATGAGTTTAGAGGAGAGCACAAGTACATTTCTGGACTGACGGAAGTTCGAGTACACAATCTCCAGGTAAGCATACACTGGGACTGGCGTTCTCTGCTACATTTTAATTCTTATTCGCATTAAATTCGGAATACAGGAAGCATATGCCATCCTTCATGAAGGTCAACGGAACCGCGCGATCTATTCGACCTTGCTCAACAATACCAGTAGCCGAAGTCACAGTATATTCACGATTAAGGTTGTCCGTGTCATGATTGAAGATAAGAATTACATTATTGAGGTGAGAGGCAGCATTGATATTGATATCATGGATGATATATCGTACTGATGAACGATGATGACAGGATCCAAGCTATGCTACGCTGTCCAAGCTTTCGATTGTCGACTTGGCCGGATCTGAACGCCACCGCAATACTTTGAACAGCGGTCAAAGGTTGAAGGAGGCGGGCAATATAAACAAATCTTTGATGGTACTAGGTCAGTGTATGGATATTTTGAGACTCAATCAAAAGCGTGTGGATATAGGCAAGGTAAGTTGTGTCAGCAAAAATATAGAACTTTTCCTTGTTAAATGCTAATCCATGATGTCAAAGAAACCTGCTATCGTACCATTCAGGCATAGCAAATTGACCGATCTGTTCAAAAGTTCATTCCAAGGTGACGGCAAAGCTGTAAGTATAATATTGTAGTTATTACCTGCTTTATCGTCTTCTCACGCCAAATATATCGCAGGTCATGATAGTAAATGTCAACCCATATGACACCGGATTCGATGAGAATAGTCATGTAATGAAATTCGCGGCTGTTGCAAAGGATGTAGCCACATGGCGACGTGTACATCCTAAGCTTGATCTGACTGATGTCACCACAGCTAGTAAGTCTATGCTTTATCACACTCAAAGAGACTGAGCCATTTTAACGTTGATATATTTCAGCTCGACGACTTCGGACAGCAAATGAATTGTCTCTGGGTAAGTAATATCTAGTCATATTACGATGCTTAGCCCAAATTACTAATGTGGAGATAATATTAGCGCATGATCGGTCTGTCTTCGATGCCTCTGCTGAACACACTGCAGATGAATCAGACGACGATGATACGGAAGACGGCTCCGATCCGTTCGTCAACGCACTATTAGCTCAATTAGAAGAAGTACGCGGCAAGGTAAGTCCATTTTCAACGCATCAAACCTCATCAGCGCGCTTTCTCATAGCATTTTTAGTGGATTGATGCGGAAACACGCTGTGCCACGATAGAGTCTAACATCAGGCAACAAGTCACTTCGGAAATGTCTGATGAACTTCGAAACATTGAAGCTATGTACATGGCTTCTACGGATAAAGAGGTAAGAGCCAACCAACACAACAGACTGTATGGAGCGTTTATGATTGACATTTTATAAGCAGAATGTTTCAAAAGACCAAAAGGGTGCCAATAAGAAGAGAATGGACATGTCTCTTGTTATTGAGCAAGTAAGTACTATTGCATTGCCTCGAATTATCAGTAAACTTCTACCATCTTTCGCTGCTAACTCATAACCGTTAAGTTGAACATGAAAAACAAAACCTTGCAACTTGAAGTCACAAACTTGAAAGCCACGGTGAATGACCAACTGACAACAAAACAAAGCCTAATGGGCAAGGTAATAATCTTTCTTTGTGATAAAGGTGACAAATGAGCAAGAAATTCCTGATATCACCACTGTCGATCGCAGATTGTTCAACTCGAGAATGAAAAGGCTGATGCAGTCCGAAGATCTATTCAGCTAACGAAAGAGTTGAATGCACAACCTCCAGCCCCAGCAGATTCAAAACGATCACGAGCAGCTCGGTTGGAAAATACCAAACCATACACTCCAAGCGGCAGGCATAATAAAATCAGTCGGCCAGCTCCATCAAGTGACATCACAACACCAATCAAGAAGCTTCGGCTTACAGATGATCCTGGTCGGTTCAACGAGTTTTTAGAGTTGCGAAGAAGATTACAGCGATGTGTTTTGAAAGATGATCAGGTCAGTATACTTGAACAGCTACTCAATACATTTTATGTTTATTGATCTTTCTACTACATTCCAGCTGGATGGCTCTCAAGTTAATCAAATCATCAAGGAAATTGAAGCATACCCAAATGTTACATTTGAACTTGTTAAGGTACAATTCTAGCACATGTAGACCTTGGAGCATTGTAACAGGCTACTGACTACTGATTTACAATAGGATACAGGAATGGGAAAACTTTTGAAACTAGCTTGCTCTCGAAAATGGAGTACTGAGCACCAACAAGTTGAACAAAGACTTCGAATGCTGTTTAAAAAATTTGCTAAGCTGACCCATCCCAACTCAAGTCTCGCATCGTCGCCTATGAATTTATCAGCTTCTCAACTCTCAGTTGCGCCGGTCGCAAATGATAACAGCATATCACAAGATGAACATGTGGAGTCCATACAAGCCGAGGAATCATTGATAATAATGGAACCAGAATCGGACGCAGCCCCGCCATTGAATGAACCATCGTCGGACGTTATTCCGCTATCACCCAAGCCAGCCTCTCCTGTGATTCATGCTATAGATGACGACTATATGGTAAAGTTTATCCTTCTTTCACGTTCTATGATGATGGAAATGCTAACACTTTTACCTAGGAGTTTGATGAAGGATCTGTCTCAGCTCTAAATGACATCACTAATCCGTTTATAGATGAAGCCTCGCAAGTAGACCCTTCCGCTCCAACAATTAGCCAGTCCGACGAAATTGCACCAGCAACCAAAGCCAGTGAAACAATGGTGGTAGGCGATTATTTAGCTGCTCCAAAGCCCAATTAGAATCTCAGCATCTAACACCTTTTCATTATAGTCTGATCGGCGAGAGTCTATTGCACCCATGAGCCCGGAGCTTTTGGTCACTACGCCCATGGACTCACAGCAAGAAGTTGTGAAGATCGAAGATTTTGACATCACAAGCTACCACAATGAAATGATGAAACCTGCCAAACGAAAGCGGTAAAGGAACATTGATTAGCCACTGAGTTGCTATTTAGGTCGTGACACCCGAATAACCTTTAATTTTTTGGATCTCGGATAGGAGGCTGAGAGAGAAGAAGGCTCTAACAGCGGAGGAAGTTAAACGAATCAGCACGGATCTTGGCAATGACAAAAGCGCCATCCCATAGTATATAAACAAAGCAATAAATAAAGGGATTAATTTTCACAACAGTTTTATTTTTCTTCTCTACCAACCAACTTTACATTCAACATCAATATGACTTACCTAGTAGCTAACCCGGAGGAAGCCCTTATGCCATTGTATCGCGCAAGCCTTGAAGCTGGAAAGCGAGAAGCACCACTGTCTAAAGCTAGACTGCCTCCACCGGTTGACGACGATGACAGCGATTATGAGCACGAATACGAAGACTTGCCACCCTCTTATGAGCAATGTGTGGGTACTACGCCGTCCAGGCAAATGCGTTCAGGCAATGCAATCATGCGTAATATCAAGTACAAGATTGGAAACGTTAAAGCATCCCTGTCAAGGCAAAACTCGACTCCCAAGACCCGTAATGATAATAAGGTCCCCCAAGATGCCAAAACCAATCCAATGGAATGATAACCCCCAAAAACAGATATCAAAATCATTATAGTGTAGATAGATACAACCCTAGTCTCAAGTAGCAAATATGTATGCTGGACAAATACATCTACGAGGACGTTAAATTGAAAAATGGAATGGTCGGGACAATCGGTTTGATAAAATGTGAATAGCTGAAGCATTTGGCGGGCTTTTTGGGGCATGGCTAAAGTGAGAGATTGGGAAAAAAAAAAATCCTCACTTCGAAAAATAGCCGGCGGTATAGCAGACCTGGCTAGGGGAGAATTAGCTTTTCTATTCAGCTGCCGAGGTCATCTTCAATACACACGACGCCGTCATGACCTTGTATTTAACATATTATACCATGGTGATGACTTTTTCAAATGGAGCAATATGCAACTAAATGAAAGCGACTGACATCGGTGTTGCTTCAGTCAAACAATGATTAATTTCTACTGCAGTTACACACCTGCGAGCTTCTTTTAGTAAAACAATGATTTTGACATGACAGACTTTAATGCCATATTCTTATGTGATATTTTTATTATTGACTTTCACATTTCGTAATATATGAAGTTTTTATACAAAGTCATAATTCCAGATGAATGGTATTATTACATACGAATGGCATTTATTCCATTCCCATCTTCTCTTTAGCAGACTGCAAGATGCTCTTGTTTTGGTCGTCGGCGTGGCCCTTGACGGAGTCGTAAGCACTTTGATGAGCAGACTTTTGCGAATCCGGAGTGATTCCAGCCTGCACCTTATCATATCCGTTAGTGAGAGCTTCTTTACCTTTTTATGAAGGTAAGCGTTAATACAGAAGTTCTTATTCGTTCATATCTCTGAGTCCAATATTGCTCCCTTCTCGAATTTTCAGTTCCTTACCTTGCTGAGCATAGGTCTTTTGAGACTGAGGAGTCATTGTCTCTTCCATCTTCTGTCCAAATCCTTTGCGTCCAGCGTCAGCCATACTTGATGAGATATGTAGTAATAGTGCGGTATAGTTGGTGGATGGCTATGAAACCGCCCTTTATACGTTGATGCAGAAGCTACGATTCTCCTGAAGTCCTAGGGTATTTTAGTCGGATTTTTTTTTGGATTTACAACGTCATGTTTTATCCTGAATGAAAGGCGCGCCAATCAAAACGTATTTACCGCTAATATGCGAGACAGATATTCATTTTGCATTTCTTGGTGCGCAACAGTAGGGGTTATTCACGGAACGTTAAAGAATATTTTCGAAACGTACATCTTCAAAGTCGACTGTCGACCAACGTCATAAAATGGCTTGAAAGGAAATGGATTGCAGGGGTGCTTTTTAAGCACCTCCTAATGGGCGAAAACCGACTGAATGCAGAAACGCCTTTGCTTGACCACCATAAAATCTTTGTTCTATTGGAATTGTTCTGTTATGGGCAGTTATGATTTCCCAGTGTGCATCAATTAATTGAACATAGCTAGGACATTGAGATGTTTTTTTTTTTTTTTTTGCATTAACAATTGCATGAAGTGAGAGCCATGAAATTCGTAGTGAAACGGTTCAGAATATTCATGGAAAGTGTAGAATGGCATGTAGGCCTGCAGAATACGCCACATCTTATCATACGAAACTTTTCAAGTGTTCACTACAGTAGAACTAAAGTATTCACATCCATTGCATGAACATACTCCACAGTCGCGCAAAATGAAGCCAAACTACCATATTCCCACGGTACATTTTTTGAAGGAACACGTATCGTTACTGGATGTTGTGAAATAAGTAAACATTCACAGGATCTTAGAACACGCACACATCGCTCGATTGACAGATATAAGACTTCTTGGTACCAAGCAAACCACGCCAAGCATTGATGTGAAAAGACAGAGAATTTTCATACAAAATCATATAGACAAATTTATTTGACAATGTTGATATTAAATAAGATTATTCAGTATCACACGAGTATTTAACAGATATTTAGTTGTTGAGACCGAGCTTGTCCTTGGCCTTGTCAAGAATGCCTTCACCGTGCTTGGCATCGTCCTTGTTACCTCTGGCGCTATCGAAAGCGGATTGGTGAGCGCTCTTCTCAGAGTTGGGAAGAACAGCACCTTGGACACGGTCAACACCGGAGGAGACTTGTTCACCGGCTTGTTCGGTGTAGGTCTTTTGGGAATCGGGCTTAAGGGATTCCTTAGCTTGTTGAGAGAAATCTTTGCGTCCAGCGTCGGCCATTGTTAATTGTTTAGTAGTTAATTTGATATCGAGACAGAAAGTGCAGAGTTGGCCGGCTTTTATAGACATTTCATGGCTGTTTTACTCCACGGACGTAACCAATGCGTCATTGCGAGAAATCTGAAGACTCTGCGTGCATGTTTTCTCTTTTTTCTCTCGCGCCTTTTGGAAAAACAGGCTCACTTTCCATAAATGGCAAATCCATAGTGTAATGATTACGGATATTGAGTCTTTGAAACAATGGCACGATGTACGTGTACCTCCCTCGCTAAATTCTCGTTTTAGTACGTGGTCCAATAATGTTTTACACAATGTCAGAGTAAAAAGTAAATTTAGGTGGTCATGGATATAAAAAAAAAAAATACTTTGTTGGAGTAAGGCAGGACCCGACCCAGACCCAAGGAAGCCATTGCCAATCTAAGAACCTAGATCGATCTTCGTTCACTATTGGCCGATTTCGCATGTGCAACATTCTTTCAACGTTGAGTTCGCACATGACAAAGAGCAAGAAATTAATTGAAACTCTCCCATTGGGTTACGTTCTATCGTTCAATTTTGCCATTTATTCAAAATGTGATGTAATTAAGTCCTTTCGTCATCGTTGGAACAGACCGTCAAAGATTCTAGGATCAAGGTAGTTTCCCTTTCTATCTAAAATGTACCCCATCCGTTCACGCTCAGATCTTAGAAACACGTAAGATGATGTCGAATTGATGGCATCGGTCCCACGAGGTCCTATCATACGATAAATGAATAAACCCAGTTGGTTAAGCAATTAGATCAAAAACGACAACGTACCGACGCCGGTATATACCCGCTGCGATGCCGCCAATTTGTTTATGGGGTATTCCTTGACTTTATGGCTGGCGAGGCCTTTCGCACACGTCTCCAGTCGGACCATATTGCCGCCTTTGAGTAACGACAATCGGTTGATGTACCTAAGGAGACATCCAATTAGATTGCAAGTAGTGTTTGTGCTTTCCGGAATCCAGAACACATATTACCTCCAAGGATAAAGGCACATGGCAGCTGAGATACCAACGCCAACAGCAACCAGTCCAGAAGCTATGCCAAGACGCTGAGGTTTTGGCGCGAGTACATATGGGGAATCCTCTTCATCACTGGGATAACTCATCAACAAAAGGGAAGGGACCCGAGAAAAAGACTGTCCTTTAAGCTCACCTTTCCTTTTTACCATATGATACATAGGCTAGACTGGCTAGATTTCCCCTAAAGAAAAATTACACTCTGTTAGGAAACCCTGTCAACCCATATAACCTGGGAAACAGTGGACTTACCAAAATAACAATTGCACTCCAGCTGATATGTACATGAAGAAAAATGTTCGGTGAACGGTGCTTGGGGCTTCGTATAATATGACATCCTTGCTTTGGATTTGCTGTCGAAGTTGTTTGGTCAAGACATTGAATTTATTATGCTGGTGGGATGCTGAGGCGAAATTCCGTTGGAACGCTGCTATTGATTGACATCATTCGTTATTGAGACACGTTTACAAGGAATGTAAAAAGGCGCTTTAGCCGCAAACAACAAACAAACCTATCGAGGTCTGTGTCCTACATAGGCTCAATCGAACTCTTGAGAACCACATTCTGCCTTCGTCTTACTGGTATGAAGCACTGCGATCTCTTTTTTATTTTTTATTTTTTTATTAATTTTTGACAAGCGAGCCAAAAAAAAAAAAAACACCACAGACAGAATTACTTTCTGTAAAATTCTCGCTTAAAGTGAAAGTGTAGAGACAGAATACCGCGGTCAAAGGCACTTCTGAACCCTTTCTTGTGTGAGTATTCCCATTCTCGATTTACAATACGAAAAGCAACGTCCTCGTAGGGCGGTCCAGCATGGAACCGAATGGTAACCGTCTCGTTGGTACCCGGATCCTTTTCAATGAAATAGGTCGGCGCGCTGGATTTATCGATGAGATCAGGGTAAAAGATGTTAAACCTGTAGGGTTCATCGATTAGGACCAAAGAAATATTCTTTAACTGAATTCAAACAGGTATGATAAACTCACTTGTAGCCTTGTACAACTTTTGGTGGCGGGTTGTCCTGATCGTAATGCGTTTGGTTGTATTTGTTCCACTCGTAACCTGTGTGAACACGATTGAAGTATCTTGGTTTGCGTGGGCGGTATTTGTCTTGCCATAAGTAAGCCTCCTTTGCCAACTCTGTTTCGATATTGAACATTTCTTCATCTTCATCAATGCCTTTGGCTGCTTCCTGGTCAAACAAAACATCCGAGGCGATGGAGGCTGCCATTCCAGCCGCCACTTCATCAGGTTTGACGATAGCCTTAGGTTTGGATTTAGCAGGGATGACCTTGCTAGACATGACTTTGCGTCTTGCTTCCAACTACAAATAGATGATTAATTTTACATAGAAGCCATATAACACAGTCAAATAAAAGCTACATACCAGATGTTTCGTATCTTCTTCAGGATCAAGAATGGGAAGTTCCTTATCTTCGTTAGATAATTTGGTGAACAAGACAGGGCTCATGCCGCGTTCATATCGACTGGTAGTCGCCTCAATTTCCTCTTCAACAGATTCCTCAAATCGCTTATCTTGTTCTTCCGTGAGACTTTCATCCACAGGCTCGGCTTCAAGACCTTCGCCTGATTCAACACCACGGCCACGTACTTGACCATGCATTGCCAACACTTTCTCCAATTCTTCTTGTACCTTTTGAGCTTCCATTCGTTGTCTGAGACGAAGCTGTTCGAGGCGCTTCGTCAAGAGAACTTGATGCATATCTCGTAGCTTAGCCTTGGCCTTGTAGATGATGAGTTCCTTCAAGAGGTTTTCCCAATACTCCACATCAATTGGCTCGTTGGATTGCAGTTTCTTGGTGACTTGCATTTGCAATGCTGTGAGCTGATCCAAAGTTTTGTTGGAAAGCAAATTCTCTATATCTTGTTTGACAGAATCGGATACACCGCCTAATGCCCGCTGTTCCGAGTCTTGAACCATCTTTTCAAGAATATCTGCAGATACCAATAACATGGCTCTCCAGAACTCTAAACTTTCTTCATTCTTCTCCAATGTAAGGTACATTTGGATGTCACGATGAAGCTCTTCTGTTTCCGCCAATGTGAGGTCCTACAGTTCAGTGGCAAAGGAGAGATAAGAATTACAATGTTGTACGTCCCATGATCATCCGTTGAGTGATACTTACGTCAAAAATGGTGTACGGTTCATCCAAGTCAACTTCCAAATCAACTTCTTCTTCGACCTTATCAGCTTCATTGGCCAAGCGCATGTTCATTGCCAGAATGTCTATTGGCTTGGCGCGACCTTCTCGAATTCTAATTTCTGCACGTTTCTTAGCTTGCTCCAAATGAAACTGTCATGGTGATTAGTGTTGATGCGGCAATATGACCATTCAGTTTTAAATAAAGGAAGCTTACCTCGTCTTCTTTTGCTTTCCAGTCACCCATTTGTGCCAATTCAGCGTCACGTTGCATACGAGCTTTTTCCTCTTCTCTCAACTCCATTTCGATCTCTCGTTCGGCACGACGTTTGTTCAATTTGGCCAGTTCTTCTTCTGTATCACGTCGTCTGTCCTTCTCACGTTGTCTCATATCCGATGCATTGAGTCCCGCTTTTCGATCCTTCTCCTTTTTCTTGGTCCATTGAAATTTGGATTCGAGGTTGACGTCGTTAAATGGGTTGTTGACGTTGGTATAACCAAGATCATCCAATCTGGGTCGTGTGGACGTTGGATCCCTCGGGTCTTCTTCCTCCTCTTCTTCTTCCTCTTCTTCCTCATATCGCTCCTTCCTGGACTTTTTATGCTTCTTTTTGTCCTTTTTACTGCGTTTGCGATCTCGTCGGTCTTCTTCAGAATCGGAACGTCGTCGTCTGTAAATGTAAAATAGCTTTCAGTACCATACTCTCAACGCTGTTCTTCTGTTGCTTATGGGACATACCGGTCGTCTCGACGTCGACTACGGCCATATTCATCTTCACGCTCAACTGATGCACGACTGCGTGATCGACGTGCAGGCGGACTCCTGTCTCTATTGGACGATCGAGAGCTTTTGTGTGATGAGCGATGATCTCTATCGCGCTCAGAGTGTTCACGGCGAGAAGATCGTGGCGACCTTGACCTTGATCTAGGCATGGCAGACAGGTGGGAGGTTATAGTTGAATGTCGAACAGCCAAAAGACCTGGAAATTTCTGTGACGTCTTTTGGAAAATCCCCCTATGCGGCCGGCATTCCGCTGCTCTGAAGTCACTTCTTTAACTCAGCTTTTGCTTGTTGAATTGCCTAGCATGTCGTACATGACCAGAGACGACCTTAGTAAGTATGAAAACATTAAGCCTACTCGCCCAAGAAGTCTTCCTTTTAACACATGGTCATAGACAAATACTTGAAAAACCTGTCATCTCCTACACCTCAACAGCAAACTCCTGCACCAACACCACAAGCGCCTAAAACTCCACAAGACTATGCGTCTGAACGAAGAGCTTCGTCCTCAACGGGCCTTCGTGGTCCTCGACCTCCCAGCATCTCTAGTCCCCGAACTAGTTTTCAAAAGAACTCGTCTTCGGCCAGTGTCGATGATCTGAAGAACGACCTCTCCTATCCGTTTGAGCGCAAGCTAAATCTTAATGATTCTAGCCCTATTGCCAAGAGCGCTCAGAATTTACAAAATGCTGTTGGCATGACCGCCAATAGACCCCCTCCTCCAGTGAAAGCCAAGCCGGCTAATCTTTCTCGAAGCTCTAGTGTGGCCAGCCAAGATGCCTTTGAAGCCTCCTTGACCAAAGGAAAGCCGTTACCTCCAGCACATCCCAAGCCTTTCACACAGCCAAAGGTCAGTACACAACCATCCATGCATCCACCGCCTAGCTCCACGGAATTACCTGCACCTTCACCATCATCGCCATCACCAAGCGCAAACGAAAAGGTGTCTGTCCCCAACCCTCTCTATTCGAGTATTCTGTGTGCAGGATGCAGTAAACCCATCAGTGGAGTGGTGATCAGTGCTATGAACAAGCGTTGGCATGCCAGCTGCTTCAAATGCAAGGAATGCGGTGAACATTTGGAGCATATGGCTTATAACGAGAAGGACGGTGTTCCTTATTGCGCATTGGACTTTCATGAGAAATTTAGTGTGAAATGCGATTATTGTCATACTCCTATCGAAGAGGTAAGTCAAGTTTCAATTGGGCGCGTGTTTTCAAGGTGTATTGACTTTTGCCCTTTTTTAGAATATTGTTAGTGCGCTTGGCAAGCATTATCATCCGGGCCACTTCTTTTGCATTGAATGTGGCCATCCTTTTGACGGTGGCTATTTGGTACATGACGGCCAAGCCTATTGTGAGAAAGATTACCTCCGAAAGTTTGGACAAAAATGTATGGGATGCGGTGAATATATCACGACTGGAGAATTTGTGAATGCCTTGGACGGAGATTGGCATAGAGACTGTTTTGTTTGCACGGTGAGTTTTCACACCTGATGCTTCTACTACCGACCTTTCAAAACTGATGATGTGATTGGATATTTAGGAATGCAAGGAGCCGTTCGAAGCAGATCGATTCTATGTGAGGGACCGCAAACCTTATTGCCAACAGCATGCCAAGGCATCCAAGTCGTCCAATGTTAAAACGTCTAATATCTGTGCCGGTTGCGGAGATTATATCGAAGGAAGAGCAGCATCTGCGTTGGGTCAGAAATGGCATCCCAATCATTTCCAATGTGTATCTTGTAAAAAGGAGCTGTCAGCTAGTGTACCTGGTAAGATGATTGTTGGGGGGTTTTAACTGACTCGCTCGGGGTTTCCAATGACTAACTAACGAATGTGCGCAGGTATGTGGCAGGACAATGGCAATGCAGAGCCGATATGTAAAATGTGTGCAAGAAAAATGTAATGAAGCTGTAAAATAATGGGAATTCGATCAAACGTTTGCGGGGGAATCACAAAATAAAATTGATTGACAGACCGTGTGGAGAAAGCAGTAGTAATAATCACATGGAAAAAAAACAAAGAAACGTTTCTTCCAGAGGCTGCTGCTACTTTTCATCTCAACATTCTCCATGGCATCCATAAAGTAACACTCATCAGCAATATCTGCTCTACGCTTTCTCGCTCCACTCACGTCGTTTTATCCATTTTGTTCAGCGCTCGACGTACTTTGGCTACTTTCGCTAACCAGGCCAAGATCCCAAGATTGCCCATCCCGACTCTTCAGGAAACTGCGGAACGCTACAAGCGAAGCCTTTTGCCCTTGTTGACCCGTGCCGATTATGATCGCGCTTCAACTGCTGTGGAGGATTTCATCCGACCTGGCGGTTTAGGTGAGAAACTTCAGGAACGCCTGCATGGACTTGACAAGAAGGAACCTGAGTCGTGGCTCGATACTTTGTGGCTTAACAAGGCATACCTCGAGTACCGTGAACCTACTTTGATTAATGTGAATTGGTGGAATCAATTTGTTGACCCTCCATCTGGTCTTGTTGCTTCTCCTGGACAAGGTCGTGTGTCTGATTTACAATTGGATCGTGCTGCACTATTTCTATCCCAGCTGACACAATTCAATGATATGATTAACAAGTGAGTGAGAGCAGCAAAGAAAGGTCTTTGTAGGGATGAGATCATTGTATTTAAGCTTTTGTGACATCAAAGGGAGCAGGTTCCTCCGGATGTGTCGCGTGCTGGACCCATGTGTATGCATCAATTGAAAAATCAGTTTGGAGCCAGCCGTATTCCTGACGAACCCAGAGATCGTATTGTAACAACCTGGCCAGCGAATGCTAAGCACGCTACCGTGATTTACAAAGACCAACTCTTCTCTGTTCCCATTATTGGAGAAAATGGTGAATTTCCCTCTGTACAGCAGCTGAGAAGGTAGGCAAACGCTATATTGCCTTTATGTCGTTTCATTTCGATTGATGGGGCGTATTTCATACAGTCAACTCAAGGCAGTAGTGCAACAAGTCGACTCCCTTCCCCAGACTGAGCTTCAGCCTCCTATTGGCGTACTCACCTCTGAACACCGTGAGACTTGGGCAAAGGTAAGATTGTCATTGGCAAAACAGTGTTTCGTATGTTCCCTCTACTCACTGAGCTGTACGGATGGGTTTGGGTTGGATAATTTACAGCTCCGAAAAACCATGGCGAAAGACGCTGCTAATGCCAGCAACTTTGACAACATTGATGCATCCTTATTTGCACTATGCCTAGACGATTACGCCTCTGGACTTGATTTGGACAAATCCCATCTTAACTTGTTTCATGGACAAAAGGCCAGAAACCGCTGGTTTGACAAGGCCATGCAGTTTATTGTGGAAAATAACGGCCGAGCCGGTGTGAATGGCGAGGTAGGGTTTCTTTCTATGCGGGCGGGCGGAGAGCGAGATGAATGATGTATTGGGGGTCCCCAAGAACCTTTCTTTTTTTTTTTCGGACATCGCTGACCCCATTTTATGGGTATTATTAGCACTCGCCTGCCGACGCTGTCATCCCTGGCTCGATGTTTACAGAGATCCTAAAGAGGTAAGATATCTTCTATGCCGCCCCCGCGTCTAGTTGAGAGCATGGCAATTGACAATGTTGAAAAAATCATAAAACGTGGGGTTGTTGTTGTTATTGTTGTAGGGAGGAACAAGGAAACAAGGACATCAATTCATCAAACCCTGTGTCACTGGCCACCCCTCGTCAGTTACTGTGGAACATTGACTCAACCATTGGGAATGCCCTTGTTACGGCTGAAAACAACGCAGCCAAGACCATCGATAACTTATCGAGTGTCCTGTTACACTATCATGATTTCGGCTCGGATTTCTTAAAGAGAATCAAGTGCAGTCCTGATGGATTTCTTCAAATGGCCTACCAGCTCGCGTACTATCGCCAGCACGGTCAGCCATGTGCGACATACGAGTCCGCTTCCACGCGTATGTTCAAGCTTGGACGAACCGAGACCGTGCGATCGTGTTCTGTTGACACTGTTGCCTTTACCAAAGCATGGGATGACAAGGATGTCAAGGTAAGCACATTGTCTAATTGTGAACAAGCAGGCACTAATGACGCCACGGCATCCTTAAACCCGCATCTTTTCACTTGTCAAAAAATCCACACATTTATTGACATTCTGCGTTTAGCTGAGTGATAAGGTCAGCCTATTTCAGAAAGCCGTCGGCTCTCATTTGGAATACATGAAAGCTGCAAGCAATGGCAAGTATCATGGTTGCTCAAAGTTGAAATGGGGGGGAGGGACGGGTTATTGCTAGTTAATTAACTGACACCTCCTTAACGTGTGGGTGAGCAGGCAGAGGAGTAGATCGCCATTTATTAGGACTGAGATGCATGATGACGCAAGAGGAAGCCAGCCAGGCCGCCATCTTTACCGATCCATCTTATATCCAATCCATGTACTTCAAACTTTCCACTTCCAATACTTCACCTGGCGATTATTCATGGGGTGGCTTTGGTCCGGTTGTTCCCGAAGGCTATGGCAGTAATTACGCCATCGGGAAGGAGCGTATTCGATTGAGCATTTCGTCTTGGAAGACAGCTCCTGAAGCCGAAGCCACAACGTTCCGCACCACTCTCAAAAAGGTGTTTGATGATTTGGGCGAGGCCATTGAGCGTGCATAGATCCATTTAATGGCACTGGCGCGCGCGCAAAAAAAAAAAAAAACGACCGTGAATTTTTGGGAATATTTACAAAATAAAAGCCATGGATAAATGTGTATGGACTTGACGTTCCATTATGCCAGCCAGCGTATGAATTTTTTTTTTTTTTT